CGGTGTATGAACATCTCCACTGGGTTAGACAAAGGCGGCCGTGCGTGGCGCTGGCCACCCACCCCCTCGTGTACCGTGCCGGCTTTCATAGGTGCTCGCTAACAGCACTTGCCCCAGCAGTCTGCAATAGGCTACACGGGGGATCTTTGTCTTTGTAGCGGTGAGCGCTGCGCTACGAATCCGGCGAGCCGAGTTCGATTCCCGCTCACGGCCAACATCGGCGGCTATTATCTGAACCGGTCATTTTTCAATTTGTCCTTCAGGCATGAGTGTAGTTATTTCGCCCAAAATATTAATGAATTCCCAGAGAATATTAAACCCCCCCCCCCCCCAAAAAAAAAATATTTCACGATACACATTACCTTGGTATAACGTTTTTATTACATTATTACGACATAACGCAGATAGCTGTTTGTGCCACGTGTACCGCAGGGGGCGTGAGAACGGCAATGCACGTGACGATGGCTGTCGCTAATCAGCGGGTTCTCCTTCTCGTGCCGATAGCAACACAAACTCTGGCTATCGCCTGATGATGGCGGTTGTAATTACTGGTGAAATGTCACGGTACTCTTAATTGTGAATGTTGTAGTGGGTTTACTAACCAACACACAACCGCTGTGTATGCTGAACTGGTACACTACACTATACACCACACTATACACCACACTATACACCACACTATACACTACACTATACACCACACTATACACCACACTATACACTACACTATACACTACACACTACACTATACACCACACTGTACACCACACTATACACTACACTACACACTGCACTATTCACTACACACTATACTACACTATACACTACACTATACACTACTACACACTAGAGTATACACTACACTATAATTGTAAATGCTGTAGTGGGTTTACTCTCCAACACACAACCGGTGTGCTAAACTAGTATACTACACTATACACTACACTATACACTACACTATAATTGTAAATGCTGTAGTGGGTTTACTCTGCAACACACAACCGCTGTGCTGAACTAGTATACTACACTATACACTACACTATACACTACACTATACACTACACTATACACTACACTATATACTACACTATACACTACACTATACACTACACTATAATTGTAAATGTTGTAGTGGGTTTACTCTGCAACACACAACCGGTGTGTCCTCGACTAGTAACGAATTGCCACATTTTGTTCACGTGACAAACCTTAACTAATTTAATTTAACACGTAGGCTTTCGTGACCAGTATCTGTAATAGAGGTTTTTTTTGGATTAGAGCGTGTCAATAAAAAAATATGTGTCGTTAAACCGGCCACCACCCGACACAGCCAACTAGTAAGGTTTGTCACGTAAACAGAACGTGCCAATTCGTTACTAGTACAGCACACCGGTGTGTTGGAGAGCAAATCTGCAACGTTCACAATCTGAGTACGACGTTTCGCCAGTAATTACAACTAGCTTCATCAGGCGGACAGCCATATTTGACAGCCAGCTTAACTAATTGGCTGTGTCGGGTGGTGGCCGGTTTAACGACACATTTTTATTTACGCGACCCAACCCCAAAAAAGCCTCTATAATGAACAACGAAAAATGTTCACTAATTCACTCCTTTTGGGATCACACAGCAGCGGTAAATACAAGGTGTTTCAAACACATGGCCCCGATTTGAGATCGCTACATCTCTGCAACCACAAACCGCCCATGAATGAATCTCTTACCACTTGAGAGTGCGGGGCACAGAGTTTCAAGCGAGTATCGCGAGATGCCTCTCCTAGCGCACAAACAGCCCCCTAGCCTCGGTCATTCTCTAGACGGTGACCCCCGCAAACACAAGGGGCGTTTTGCGTTCTGCAGTTCAGCAAGACTGAATCCGTTATTGCGGTGCGGGGTGCGTTTCAACGGCGTCTTGGCATCGATCCGCCAATGTCAAAGAGCGTTCGTCATTGGTACCGACAATTTTAAGAAGCAGGCAGCTGTTGATGTAAGGGGAAGAGCACAGGGCGACCACGCACATCAGAGGGAAACGTGAAGAAGAGAGGCGTTTGGGACGAATTCAACTTTCGTGCCGATGTTGCCCGTACAGCAGGTGGAGGGCACATAGAGCATTTATAAAATGGTTAGTAAAACTTGATAACTTATTAAACCGTTTGTAACTTTTTGTGTAATTGTAGCACGTTGCCATCGTGAAATATACTGCTTTGAAATTGGGTCCATCATTTTAAAACACCCCGTAGAACTGTTGTGTCGTTAGACCCACCACCACCCGACACAGCCAATTGGTAAAGGTTTGTCACGGAAACAAAACGTGATTAGTTACTCAATGTTGTAGTGGGTTGGAGAGTAAGCCTACGTTTACGATTCGAGTAACCGTGACGTTTACGCCGGTGATTACAAAAACAACAACAACAACCAGCTTCATCAGGCGATTAGCCGAGAATTTTGCAGGGAAGCGGGAAGATTCCTGGCTAATCGCCTGATGAAGCTGGTTGTCATTGTTGTTGTGATCACCGGCGAAATGTCACGGTTCCCGCTTCCGGTCTTAAATAGAGTGAAATAAAAAACGTTTATTACGAATGATATTGCTCGCGAAGGCCTAATGCGTGTTAAGCGGCAGCAGCAGCAACACCATCGCTGCCCTATGCTGGAGCTGTCCCAGTTTGGGTTAAAACCATTTTACGGGTTTTCATCTCTCGGCATCTCCATCATTCTGCCATCTCTATTCTAATTTAAACTCTTATCATTAACAGCGCTATGAAGGAGAAGTGTGAATGTAATGTTACGGCATCATTGCTAAGATATATTCTTGGTTCTTTCGGTAAAGTCACGCGTGAGTCTGTGGGTCTCCGTGTCGGTCTATGGGTCGCTGTGTGAGTCTGTGGGTCTCTGTGTGAGACTGTGGGTCTCTGTGTGAGTCTGTGGGTCTCTGTGTGAGTCTGTGGGTCTCTGTGTGAGTCTGTGGGTTTCTGTGTGAGTCTGTGGGTCTCTGTGTGAGTCTATGGGTCTCTGTGTGAGTCTATGGGTCTCTGTGTGAGTCTGTGGGTATTTGTGTGAGTCTATAGGTCTTTGTGTGAGTCTATGGGTCTCTTTGTGAGTCTATGGGGTCTCTGTGTGAGTCTGTGGGTCTCTGTGTGGGTCTGTGGGTCTCTGTGTGAGTCTGTGGGTCTCTGTGTGAGTCTATGGGTCTCTGTGTGAGTCTGTGGGTCTTTGTGTGAGTCTATAGGTCTTTATGTGAGTCTATGTTCTGTGGGTCTCTGTGTGAGTCTATGGGTCTCTGTGTGAGTCTATGGGTCTCTGTGTGAGTCTATAGGTCTCTGTGTGAGTCTATGCGTCTCTGTGTGAGTCTATAGGTCTCTGTGTGGGTCTGTGGGTCTCTATGTGGGTCTGTGGGTCTCTGTGTGAGTCTGTGGGTCTCTGTGTGAGTCTGTGGGCCTCTTTGTGAGTCTGTGGGTCTCTGTGTGAGTCTATGGGTCTCTGTGTGAGTCTATGGTTCTCTGTGTGAGTCTATGTGTATCTGTGTGAGTCTATGGGTCTCTGTGTGAGTCTGTGGGTCTTTGTGTGAGTCTATAGATCTTTGTGTGAGTCTATGGGTCTCTGTGTGAGTCTATGGGTCTCTGTGTGAGTCTATGGGTCTCTGTGTGAGTCTGTGGGTCTCTGTGTGGGTCTGTGGGTCTCTGTGTGAGTCTGTGGGTCTCTGTGTGAGTCTATGGTACTCTGTGTGAGTCTGTGGGTCTTTGTGTGAGTCTATAGGTCTTTGTGTGAGGCTATGGGTCTCTGTGTGAGTCTGTGGGTCTCTGTGTGAGTCTGTGGGTCTCTATGTGAGTCTATGGGTCTCTGTGTAAGTCTATGGGTCTCTGTGTGAGTCTATAGGTCTCTGTGTGAGTCTATAGGTCTCTGTGTGAGTCTATAGGCCTCTGTGTGAGTCTGTGGGTCTCTGTGTGAGTCTGTGGGTCTCCGTGCGAGTCTATGGGTCTCTGTGTGAGTCTATGGGTCTCTGTGTGGGTCTGTGGGTCTCTGTGTGAGTATATGGGTCTCTGTGTGAGTCTGTGGGTCTCTTTGTGATGAGTCTGTGGGTCTCTGTGTGATGAGTCTGTGGGTCTCTGTGTGAGTCTGTGGGTCTCTTTGTGATGAGTCTGTGGGTCTCTGTGTGATGAGTCTGTGGGTCTCTGTGTGAGTCTATGGGTCTCTGTGTGATTGGCCTATGGGTCTCTGTGTGAGTCTATGTGCGTGTATGTATGGTGAACTTCTTTCACACCGTACACAACCACTTGTGCTAATCAGAGGTGCAGGGAGGGGGGCAACAAACACAACAACAACAAACACAACAACAAACAACAACAAACAACAACAAGCAGTTATAAAGAAATTCGCTCGTCACTCGTAACAAGGATTTAAAAGTGCATCCATCCAGCGGCTTCCTAACATTGGAAGGGAGAGCGTTCCAGACGGGCCTTGTGGGTTTTGCTCTCTCACCCACAAGCGTCGGTGCTCAAGTCGCGAACACATTGGCACGTTGTCTTCGCGTCACGAACATTCCTCATTGGCTGCGTCGGGCGGTGGTAGGGGGTCTGTGACGCGCAATTAGGCGATCTAGCCCAAAGGGCAAAAAAAAAACCCCACCACATTTACAGTAAAAACCTTGGATTGCGAGCATAATTCGTTCCGGAAACGTGTTTGTGATCCAAATCACTCGTATATTAAAGCACTCGTGCATCAGTTGTGATCACGTGACGCTCGGCAGTACAAAGCGTGTACACGTACTACTACTCGTATTGCAAGACCCTCGCTCGTTTATCAAATCAATATTTACTTACAATTTTTTGCTCGTCTTGCAAAACACTCGCAGGCCAAGTTACTCGCGATCCAAGGTTTTACTTTGTATCTTGCACGGCAACGATTAACACAATACTCTCCGCAACGCCGCTGACGAGCATTGTGCCGCAATTAACCTCTTCGTCTTCCTCTTCTTCCTCCTCCTCCTCTTCTTCCTCCTCCCTGCAGGGAAGAAGGGGACCACGAAACAGTCCAACGTCAACCTGCAGGACGACGATGGGTGAGTGGGCTTCAGTGTTTCGTCCGCCTGTCGCCGTGGGCGCACCGTGAGGGCACCGTGGGAAACCCTCCGCCGTCTGACACGACCTGAAGCGATGATTCATGCAGCTGGCGCGGCCCGACGCCCGGGGCTCGTTAGCGGATGCCGGCAGTTCGGATCACCACGGCCGCCCCGGTTATTGCCACGCTATCCGCTTATTGCCACGCCGTTCGATTATTACCAGGCCCTTTGGTTCTATTGGGTAAAGTCACCTGATGAAGGCCACTTGTGTTTGTGGCCGAAACGTCGTGATTTTTTGTTGTTTTATTTTTTTTACCTACGTGACTTTACCGAATAGAACCAAAGAGTATGGATCCTTGCAGTCACGAAAACTTCAAATCTAGAATTATTACCACGCCATTCGATTATTACCACGCCATCCGGTTATTACCACACTATCCGGTTATTACCACACTATCTGGTTATTACCACACCATCTGGTTATTACCACACCATCTGGTTATTACCACACTATCTGGTTATTACCACATTCTCTAGTTATTCCCACACTATCCGGTTATTACCACACTATCTGGTTATTACCACACTCTCTAGTTATTACCACACTCTCTAGTTATTACCACACTATCTGGTTATTACCACACTATCTGGTTATTACCACACTATCTAGTTATTACCACACTATCTGGTTATTACCACACTATCTGGTCATTACCACACTCTCTAGTTATTACCACACTATCTGGTTATTACCACACTATCCGGTTATTACCACACTATCTGGTTATTACCACACTATCTGGTCATTACCACACTCTCTAGTTATTACCACACTATCTGGTTATTACCACATTCTCTAGTTATTCCCACACTATCCGGTTATTACCACACTATCTGGTTATTACCACACTCTCTAGTTATTACCACACTCTCTAGTTATTACCACACTATCTGGTTATTACCACACTATCTGGTTATTACCACACTATCTAGTTATTACCACACTATCTGGTTATTACCACACTATCTGGTCATTACCACACTATACGGTTATTACCACACTCTCTAGTTATTACCACACTATCTGGTTATTACCACACTATCTGGTTATTACCACACTATCTGGTTATTACCACACTATCTGGTTATTACCACACTATCTGGTTATTACCACACTCTCTAGTTATTACCACACTATCTGGTTATTACCACACTATCCGGTTATTACCACACTATCTGGTTATTACCACACTCTCTAGTTATTACCACACTATCTGGTTATTACCACACTATCCGGTTATTACCACACTCTCCGGTTATTGCCACACAGTCCAGTTAATGCCACGCCGTCCGGTTCACTCGCATGACCTCTCTCGCGAGATTTGGTTTCCATCGTGTGCCAGAGTCACGGTACAAATTTGCTGAATTCCTAAACAAAAAGAAATACACGGCACAGTTGAGATTGTAGGCAGAGCAATCATCACACTGCCACTGTGATTGTACACACAGCGATCATCATATTACCACTGTGATTGTACACACAGCGATCATCACACTACCACTGTGATTGTACACACGGCGATCATTACACTACCACTGTGATTGTACACACAGCGATCATCACACTACCACTGTGATTGTACACACAGCGATCATCACACTACCACTGTGATTGTACACACAGCGATCATCACACCACCACTGTGATTGTACACACAGCGATCATCACACCACCACTGTGATTGTACACACAGCGATCATCACACCACCACTGTGATTGTACACACAGCAATCATCACACCACCACTGTGATTGTACACACAGCGATCATCACACTACCACTGTGATTGTACACACGGCGATCATCACACTACCACTGTGATTGTACACACAGCGATCATCACACTACCACTGTGATTGTACACACAGCGATCATCACATCACCACTGTGATTGTACACACAGCGATCATAATACCACTACTGTAATTGTACACACAGCGATCATCACGCCACCACTGTGATTGTACACACAGCGATCATCATACCACTACTGTGATTGTACACACAGCGATCATCACATCACCACTGTGATTGTACAGACAGCGATCATAATACCACTACTGTAATTGTACACACAGCGATCATCACACCACCACTGTGATTGTACACACAGCGATCATCACACTACCACTGTGATTGTACACACAGCAATTATCACACTACCACTGTGATTCTACACACAGTGATCATCACACCACCACCACTGTGATTGTACACGCAGCGATCATCACACCACTACTGTGATTGTACACACAGCGATCATCACACTGCCACTGTGATTGTACACACAGCGATCATCACACCACTACTGTGATTGTACACACAGCGATCATCACACCACCACTGTGATTGTACACACAGCGATCATCACACTACCACTGTGATTGTACACACAGCGATCATCGCTCCACTCTTGCAAATGAGACTTCTGTTGGACTCCCGAGTTCTGACCCGGTTAATAAACAAAATCAACTCGACCTTAAATTGTCAATGTGTGCAAGGCTATTCATAACAGAGGTCATTTTGGGTTAGATCGCTTAAATATATCAATGTGTCGTTAACCCAACACCATCCGACACAGCCAATTAGTAAGGTTTGTCACGTAAACAAAACGTGCGATATTCTTTGGGTCTTTCGGTAAAGTCACGTAGATAGGTTCAAATAAAATAACTAAAAATAACGGAAAGCTACGACGTTTCGATCGCAACACAAGCAATCGTCCTCAGGAGAAAAAAAAAGAGGGGGAAAGCTGCTGAGGCAGGCTGCTTTAAAGGTTTGAAATGGGTGTAGCCCAAGGGTCATAAGCGAAGTGGGCGGAGCTTGTTATGTTAATGTGAGAAATTTGCATGTCAATGTAAGATCGGAGAGCAACCTCCACGACGACGAAGCTGCGGAGGTGGCCATTGTATTGTGAGAGATTTGCATGTCAATGTAAGATCGCAGAGCCACCGCCACATCGAGGAAAACGAGCAACGGTGGCTGTGTTATTGTGAGACATTTAACCTGTTAATGTAAAGACATTTAACCTGTTAATGTAAAACCAGAGAGTCGAAAATAACTGCTAACATCGGAAGGTAGGATGGAAACATCACAGCCAGTTATGACTTAAACTGGTTAATAACGTCCTTCCAATGATTGCTCAGTTTGTACCCATCTTCTCGGTTGAAATTGTGTCTGTGTCTGTATATATGGATGGCTTCACGAACAAATCTGTGTTGATAGCCAGTGGGCTTGCAAAGTAACTTTCGTCTTGGAGAAATCAATTTCGTGTGAGCCCACCGCATTAAAACAATGATCATCCACGGCCGAGGTATTGGTCCTACCGTGTTTTGTGCCAATTAGTTACTACCCCAGCACATCGGTGCGAGGGCGAGTAAACCCGCAACGTTTACAGCTGACCAACCGTGACGTTTCGCCGGTGATTACCACAACGACGACGACGGTCGGCTTCGTCGGACGATTCGCCGCTTGGAAATTGGCAAACCGCCATTGGATTTCGCCCCGGAAGATTCTAGGCGCAGTTCCAAAGCGAAGCGTCGGCATGGCCTGGCCGTGAGAAAAAACGTTCGCCCGCCCAGCACGGTGGGGTTGGCCTCCGATGGCGACGAGCGAGGCATCGTTGAACTGCTTGGAGCGCGCGCCTGCCCATGAAGGCGGCGGTGGCCGGCGGTCGGTGTCACCACAACGAATGTGTCCACGTCGGTCCGTGGCCCGCCGTGGAAAATCAATCGCGAATCATATCTTTGGCTGCGGCGGTGGGGGGGTCGGGGATATAATAGCAAAATAACAAAAATTATTTTCCCCATTAAATAATGATACGCCAAAAAAACATCTATGGCACGTGACGCTGAACCCTCACGACGTGGCCAAACAAGTCAAATACGCCGCAATCTTAGCTTCGTTGATCTGGGGGGGGGGGGTGGGGGGCACCTCCGGGCCGTGCTCAGAATGCACTCAGGAATGGTGACGGTCATCTTGACATGCAGGGAATCCCGTTGTGCTATTTCAGACAGCTTGTTGCGTAGCCGTCAGAAATATGATAGTGCTGAAAGTCAACCTGAAGCCTTTATCTGTCATTTAGTTACAACTTTGAACTTTGATAGTGTGCTGATTGTTGATGTCCCCGAACCTTATGTGTCCTCACTTTTGGGCCACCCTGTATAACAACAACAACCCCTATGTGTCCTAACTTCTGGTGCCACCCTGTGTAACAACAACAACCCCTATGTGTCCTAACTTCTGGGCCACCCTGTACAACAACAACAACCCCTATGTGTCCTGACTTCTGGGCCACCCTGTATAACAACAACCCCTATGTGTCCTGACTTCTGGGCCACCCTGTATAATAACAACAACCCCTATGTGTCCTGACTTCTGGTGCCACCCTGTGTAACAACAACAACCCCTATGTGTCCTAACTTCTGGGCCACCCTGTACAACAACAACAACCCCTATGTGTCCTGACTTCTGGGCCATCCTGTATAACAACAACAACCCCTATGTGTCCTGACTTCTGGGCCACCCTGTATAACAACATCCCTATGTGTCCTGACTTCTGGGCCACCCTGTACAACAACAACAACCCCTATGTGTCCTGACTTCTGGGCCACCCTGTATAACAACAACCCCTATGTGTCCTGACTTCTGGGCCACCCTGTATAATAACAACAACCCCTATGTGTCCTGACTTCTGGTGCCACCCTGTGTAACAACAACAACCCCTATGTGTCCTAACTTCTGGGCCACCCTGTACAACAACAACAACCCCTATGTGTCCTGACTTCTGGGCCATCCTGTATAACAACAACCCCTATGTGTCCTGACTTCTGGGCCACCCTGTACAACAACAACAACAACCCCTATGTGTCCTGACTTCTGGGCCACCCTGTGTAATAACAACAACCCCTATGTGTCCTGACTTCTGGGCCACCCTGTATAACAACAACAACAACCCCTATGTGTTCTGACTTCTGGGCCACCCTGTATAACAACAACCCCTATGTGTCCTGACTTCTGGGCCACCCTGTATAACAACAACCCCTATGTGTCCTGACTTCGGGGCCACCCTGTATAACAACCCCTATGTGTCCTAACTTCTGGGCCACCCTGTACAACAACAACAACCCCTATGTGTCCTGACTTCTGGGCCACGCGGTGTAACAACAACAACAACCCCTATGTGTCCTGACTTCTGGGCCACCCTGTGTAACAACAACATCCCTATGTGTCCTGACTTCTGGGCCACCCTGTATAACAACAACCCCTATGTGTCCTGACTTCTGGGCCACCCTGTATAGTAGCAACAACCCCTATGTGTCCTAACTTCTGGGCCACCCTGTACAACAACAACCCCTATGTGTCCTGACTTCTGGGCCACCCTGTACAACAACAACAACCCTTATGTGTCCTGACCTCTGGTGCCACCCTGTGTAATAACAACAACAACCCCTATGTGTCCTGACTTCTGGGCCACCCTGAATAACAACAACAACCCCTATGTGTCCTGACTTCTGGGCCACCCTGTACAACAACCCCTGTGTCCTGACTTCTGGGCCACGCTGTGTAACAACAACAACCCCTATGTGTCCTGACCTGTGGTGCCACCCTGTGTAACAACAACAACAACCCCTATGTGTCCTGACTTCTGGGCCACCCTGTGTAATAACAACAACCCCTATGTGTCCCGACTTCTGGGCCACGCTGTGTAACAACAACAACAACAACCCTATGTGTCCTGACCTCTGGGCCACCCTGTGTAACAACAACAACCCCTATGTGTCCTGACTTCTTGGCCACCCTGTACAATAACATCCCCTATGTGTCCTGACTTCTGGGCCACCCTGTACAACAACAACCCCTATGTGTCCTGACTTCTGGGCCACCCTGTACAACAACAACCCCTATGTGTCCTGACTTCTGGGCCACCCTGTATAACAACAACCCCTATGTGTCCTGACCTGTGGTGCCACCCTGTACAACAACAACAACCCCTATGTGTCCTGACTTCTGGGCCACCCTGTGTAACAACAACCCCTATGTGTCCTGACTTCTGGGCCACCCTGTTTGCAGGATGTCCCTGCTCCATCACGCCTGCCTCAGTGGCAGCGCGGGCGTTGTCACCGCACTGCTGGACGGACACTGCACCGTGGACATCAGTGACAGCAAAGGTGTGGGCGAGTGAGGGGCGTGCCGGTGGCGGTGCCGGTGGAGGTGGGTGGGCGGGTGGCCCCCAGGGGTCAGAGCGCCGCCCTGACCCGGCACCTGGGTTCCACTCCAGGTTCGGTGGACTACCACCACCACCACCACCCCTCCAAAGGATGCTCGCTCGTTTTTTTTCCCGTTCATTTATCGGAACGTGTGCGCGCGCGCGCGCGGGTTTCGGCGTTGCGATGGCGAGCCGAGTTCGATTCCCGATCGAGGTCAATAACAAACCGGTTCCCGGGCCTCCCCTGGGTCGACTCAGCCATTAAAAAAAAATCAGCGCATGGCGCGGTGTGCGTGAACGTCGCCGCCGCTCGTAGAGGCAGAGGCGGCCGGGCGTGGTGCTGGCCACCCTCCGGCCCTCTCTTCATAGCACTTGCCCCAACAGTCTGTGAAGGCTGTCCGGGGGGTGGGGGGTCTTTGTCTGCGTGGGTCAGGCTTGCGTCCCCTGCATTACGCGGCGTGGCAGGGCAGCGCCGACACGGTGCAGGCGCTGCTGAAGGCCGGCGCCTCGGCGAACCTCCCCTCCCACGAGCAGAGGACTCCGCTCCACCTCGCCAGCCAGCACGGCCACCACCACGCAGTGAGGAGCTCGCGCACGTACACGCGCACACACGTACACACACACACGTACACACACACACGTACACACACACATGTACACACACACACGTACACACACACACGTACACACACACGGAACACACCCACACCTACACACCCACCCACGGAACACACCCATACACGGAACACACCCACACCCACGCACGGAACACAACAACAACAACCGCCATTCGCCACTAAGTGGCGGTGACGTCACCACGACGCTTGTGCCAGGCTATGTGCACCCTGAGGCCACGTGAAGTGTCGAACGCCCGCTGGCAGGAGGTCACGGGGCAGACCCAGGTGCCACGGGTCGACTGACTGAGATGACTGGCTGATGCACCACCTGTGCCCCCTACTGTGGCAACCTGCTGTGCTTTAGCCACCCGGCGCTGCGCTCGTTGTTGTGAGCGTCGCTCCTCCGCCCTCCGTTGTTGTTGGAGGGCGAGTGCCTCCAACTGCCCAGTAGCATCCTTCACGAGCCTCCTCCACAGAGGCCGCTCTTGACACAGCTGGTACCAGTCATCGGCAAGTCCACTCAGCTCCACGTCCTCCTGTACCACATCACTCCATCTCTTCTCTAGCCCGAGCCGCGCCCGTTTAGCCCCCTCGATCCGGCCGAACAAAAGCTGTTTCGGCATGGGGTGGCTGGGCATGCGGGCTACATGACCCAGCCATCGCAGCCTTCCCCGCCGGAGGAGCTCACCGATGGGACCCTGCCCAGATCTTTCAAGGATTTGTGAGCTCCTCACACAATCCAGTCTGGTTAAACCCAGGATGGATCGAAGACAGGCCAGCCTAAATGTTTCTAACCAGCGAAGATGTTCCATTATGGGGGTCCACGTTTCGCAAGCGTAGAGAAGGGAGGGAATGACCGTGGCCGAGAAGACCTGAAGCTTAGTGCGGAGCGACAGACCAGGTAGCTTCCACACAGCGTTACGCAACCGATGAAAAGATATTGCCGCTCGACTGATTCGGAGTGAGACCTCTGCTGTTAAACTGGAGCCGGTCATAAGCACACTGCCCAGGTATGGGAAACGCTCCACTCGCTCCACAACTGCCCCATCACCGATTGGGAGTTGTGGGGGTGGAGTGTCCGATGGTACAAAATACCCAGGCAGGTGCTTAGTTTTGGTGGGGCTGATGGTAAGGCCCCACCTCTTAGTGGCACGCTCCAGTCTCAGCAGCAGCGTCTCCAACTCCTCCTCTGAATGAGCAGCTATTACCAAATCATCAGCATACATAACGTGGTTGAGCAATAGGGAGCCATCCCTTGACCGCACCCGGGCATCGATCAGCCTCCCATTTTATCTGTACCATATGGAGATTCCCCCGGTACTGCAGTTGAAGGCTTCACGAACTACGTGGTCAAAATAGATGTTAAATAATGTGGGAGCCAGAGGACATCCCTGTCGCACCTCAAGGTGTACAGGGAATGGATCTGACTCCCGACCACGTAGTTTTACCCGGGCCCGCTCACCATCATGAAGGTCCTTAATGATCGTGAGCAGAGGGTCAGGTACTCCAAAAGCACGAAGAACAACCCAGAGCCCAGGCCTACTGATGGTATCATAGGCCTTGACCAGGTCTGCTGTAGCAGACGGAACACACCCACACCTACACACCCACACACGGAACACACCCACACACGGAACACACCCACACACCCACACACACGGAACACACCCACACACGGAACACACCCACACACCCACACATGGAACACACCCACACATGGAACACACCCACACACGGAACACACCCACACACGGAACACACCCACACACCCACACATGAAACACACCCACACACACACACGGAACACACCCACACACGGAACACACCCACACATGGAACACACACCCACACCCACACACGGAACACACCCACACACCCACACACGGAACACACCCACACACCCACACACGGAACACACCCACACATGGAACACACCCACACACGGAACATACACCCACACACGGAACACACCCACACACGGAACACACCCACACACACGGAACACACCCACACACACGGAACACACCCACACACACGGAACACACCCACACACACGGAACACGCCCACACACGGAACACACCCACACACCCACACACGGAACACACCCACACACGGGACACACCCACACACCCACACATGGAACACACCCACACCCACACGCGGAACACACCCACACACACACAGAACACACCCACACACCCACACACCCACACACCCACACACGGAACACACCCACACACGGAACACACCCACACACACACAGAACACACCCACACACCCACACACCCACACACACACACAGAACACACACACACACGGAACACACCCACACACACACACGGAACACACACACACACGGAACACACCCACACACCCACACACGGAACACACCCACACACACACACGGAACACACACCCACACACACACACACGGAACATGCGCCCCTTTCCCACTGGCACACCCGAGCCGAGCCAGCGCGGTGTCCTCTGCGGCACAGGGGTTGGTTCGTTTTTAACGATGGCCAAAACGTGGCCCCATACCCCCCTGGTCGACTTTTCCCACGTAAGGCCAGTGGCTGAACGTGCTCTCACTTTCTTTCATCTTTAATCCCCATCACCGCATTTGCCAGGGGCCTTTCCTCACACCCACGGGCCGCTCTGTCCAAGCCTATTGCCGGCCAATGTCCTCCCGGATGGGGGGGGGGTGGGGGGCGAGACTCGGGGCGCGACTCACGGGGCGACTCTGGCTGTCGCCTGATTATGCTGCTGGTCGGTGAAACGTCACGGTTAAATGTCGTCGTGGGTTCACTCTCCAACACACAACCAGTGTGGTGCTGTACTAGTACACTACACTATACACTACACTATACACTACACACTACACTACACTATACACTCCACTACACATTACACACTACAATATACACTACACTACACTATACACTACACTATACACTACACTATACACTACACACTACACTATACACTACACTATACACTACACTACACTACACACTACACTACACTATACACTACACTATACACTACACACCCACACACCCACACACGGAACACACCCACACACACACAGAACACTACACTACACACTACACTACACTATACACTACACACTACACTACACTATACACTACACTATACACTACACTATACACTAAACACTACACACTACACTAGACACTACACTATACACTACACTATACACTACACTACGATATACACTACACTATACACTACACACTACACTATACACTACACTACTATACACTACACACTACACTATACACTACACTATACACTACACTACACACTACACTATACACTACACTATACACTACACTATACACTACACTACACACTACACTATACACTACACTATACACTACACACTATACACTACACACTACACTATACACTACACTATACACTACACTACTATACACTACACTATACACTACACTATACACTACACTATACACTACACTACACACTACACTACACTACACACTACACTATACACTACACTACTACACTACACTATACACTACACACTACACTACACTATACACTACACTACTACACACTACACTACTACACTATACACTACACACTACACTACACTATACACTACACTACTACACACTACACTACTACACTACACTATACACTACACACTACACTACACTACACACTACACTACTACACTATACACTACACACTACACTACACTATACACTACACTACTACACTACACTATACACTACACACTATCATTGTAAACTCTCCAACACACACCCCGGTGTTGCGTCCCGAGCTCGTGAACGAACCCCTCGCCGCCCGCCCGCCCGCCCGTGCGGCCGCGCGGGCGGGCGGGCGGGCGGGCGGGCGGGCGGGCGGCCGGGCGGGCGGCCGGGCGGCCGGGCGGGCGGGCGGGCCTGAACGGCACAGCACTGCTCCTGGCGCGGTCTCGCCCCGAGACGAAAGCAAACGGACCCCACCGCTCTCGCTGCGCGCCGCTTGCCGGCGAAAGCCTCCAAACTACTCCGGCGGCGTTCGGCGGACGGGGGTGGAGGCGAGCGACTCAGCGAGCCGCGATCCCTTCCGTCCGTTGCGTGCCAGGCCGAGGTCCTTCTGCAGCACCGGGCCGACCCGTGCGTCCGCGACGCCGCCGGCAAGACGGCCCTCTCGCTGGCCTGCGAGTTCGGCAGGCTCCAGGTGGGGTGTCGGTCGGCAACGCTCGTGCGCGTATTCTGTGGCGCGCGCGGGGAGGTGGTGGGGGTACGCGCGGAGGTACACGCGGCAGTGCACACGTGTACGCACGAACACACGCGCGAGTGCGCGGAGAGTACGCGCGCGTGCGTGCGTTTTGGTTTCTGGGTGTGCGTATGTATACGCGTGTGCGCGTGTGTGCGTTGCGTGGAGCGGTCAGCGCGCCGCGCTCCCAACCAGGCGACCCGGGGTTTCGATTCCCGCTCACGGCCACCGACAACCTCGTGCTGGGCCTTCCCCGAGGTCGCCTGAACTTTGAGCTCGCCGGCTCTCCCCTCTGTCCCTGCCTGCAGGTCGTCCGCCTCCTCCTGGGGAGCCACGTGTCCCCCAGGCTGCTGGAAGGAGCTCCCAGCGAGCAGGGAGACGGCACGGTCGGAAACTCGCCCATCCACCTCGCCGCCAAAAATGGGCACGCGGACATCACGCGGTGAGCCTACACACACGCACGGCCTGGGTCTCGGGGTGTCCCTCCATCTCTCTCTCTCTACTGGGAGGCGCCACAGTGGCTAGGAGTTGTTAACTACCTCGCCTGGTGTACAGGAGGTCGTGGGTTCGATCGCGACCCTGACGCCTGCTGCTGTATATTTGGAGTCTGCGTGTCTCTCTCTCATCATCATCACGGTGGCTAGGAGATGTTAACTACCTCGCCTGGTACACAGGAGGTCGTGGGTTCGATCCCGACCCTGACGCCTGCTGCTGCTGTATATTTGTAGTTTGCGTGTCTCTCTCTCTCATCATCATCATGGTGGCTATGAGATGTTAACTACCTCGCCTGGTACACAGGAGGTCGTGGGTTTGATCCCAACCCTGACGCCTGCTGCTGCTGTATATTTGGAGTTTGTGTCTCTCTCTCCCCGTGGTCGCGTGGATTTTTCTCCGGGTCCTCCAGTTTTTCCCTCTACATTTAGAATCAACGTCACGCGTTTACAGTGTTTGGCCGCTATGAATTTCCACGTGATGAGCCACTTCATTGAGCTATCATTTGTGGTCCAGGTCGCTTCTGACAAAGAGCTACGTAGCTCAGTGGGCCTTTCCTGGTTTAATAAAAAAATATATATAGTTGAAATATTTTGATTTAAAGCTTTCGTGACTGCAGTAATTCATATTCTTAGTTTTTTCGGTAAAGTCACGTTGAAGAGAAACAACAAAATAACAAAATATATATAAAACAATAAAAAATTCTCACGACGTTTCGACCATAACTCAAACGGTCATCATCAGGTGTGTCGGTTTGCATAAATTTATTTTGAAAACGGCATATTTATTTATATATATAAAAATAACGTTTGCGTCACGCGCAACGATTGGCTGTTTGCCAGGACTAGTCCATCTATTTTTTGAAAAGAGGAGGGGGGAGACGAAATTTGTTTTTATGTATGCTGTCTGAAAGCCACTGTAAGCGTGAACAATCAATCAAGAACTGAAATGATTTATCAAATCTTTCCAATGATTGCTAAGATAGAATCCATCTTCTCGGTTGAAATTGTCTCTGTGTTTGTATATGTGGATAGCCTCATGAACGAATCTCTCATGGAAGCCAGATGGCTTACAAAGAACCTCCGTCTTGGAAAAGTCAATGGCATGTGAGCCTACTGAATTAGAACAATGATCTGCTACGGCCGAGGTGTTGGTCCTACCGTGTTTAAGGTCTGCTTTATGTTCACGAATGCGGTCCGAGATATGGCGTTTGGTTTCTCCAATGTAACTACTACCACAGAGACAACTTAGTTTGTAGACACCAGGGTATTGTATGTCCGGAATCACATCTTTTACAGACGGAACCAGATCACGGATTTTATGTAATGGAGGACAGCGCTGGAGTTGGCCGCTTGTGTTGTGGCCGAAACGTCGTGAGAATATTATTGTGTTATTTTATTTTATCAATTTATTATTTTATTCTCATTCTACGTGACTTTACCGAAAGAACCAAAGAATATGTTAGGTTCATGATGGCCTTGCCAGTGACACTGATCCAACACGGCTGAGATGGAGCCCTGGGTCTGGGCGTCTCTCTCCTTCCTTCATTCAGTTTATTTATTTTTGGTATTGCCCTGTGAGCCATTCGGCTCTTGAATCGGGTGCGACCGCAACAAACAAACAAAAACACGAACAAGAAAAACATCTTAGTGTGACTACGTGTGTGACTGTGCAAACAGAAAATCCATGAAAACAAAAACAGCAGCAAAAATATTCCTGAAACAAGCACCGTGTACACCAACGCTGTGTGAAAAAAAAAATTCCGAGTCAGAGACAATGAGCCATTAGCACCGGGACGCTGCGTTTGTACCGCGGGTCTGGATTGTCTCTCTCTCTCAACCACATCAGAACACCTCGCCTTTGTGAATGGAGAACTAAAGGCACGGTGCTATAGTGCGATTGTGGCCATGCGACCCAAACTACGCACCATGTAATAAACCCATAGAGACACGTGGAGTTGAATTAAAATCTAAGCTAAAATATGTTTTATTTTATAGTAATAGGTTTTACCCTTTTGACTGGCACAAAGACTGACACCTTTATTCAAGGCATCATGTTTGCAATAACCACAACACAAGCAGTCAAAATGCAAACAAAAGAGACAACTCTGATAATAATATGCACTGTCCTTGAATTTGATTGGTCCACACCCGAGATGGCTTTTCTTAGAGCCTAGTCTCCACTGGTGTTGGACCAGAGGATGCCTTTTAGGTAAAACCTATTACTATATCTTGTTACTGACAAAGGAGGTCTCGTAATTTTATGAGACCTCCTTTGCCAGAAACAAGATATAGGAATAGGTTTTACCCTTTTAACTGGCACAAAAACTGACACCTTTATTCAAGGCATCATGTTTGCAATGACCACAACACAAGCAGTCAAAATGCAAACAAAAAAGACAACTCTGATAATAATATGCACTGTCCTTGAATTTGATTGGTCCACAAACATGATGCCTTGAATAAAGGTGTCAGTTTTTGTGCCAGTTAAAAGGGTAAAACCTATTCCTATATCTTGTTTCTGGCAAAGGAGGTCTCATAATGTAAATGCTCACCCCGAGCCCTCAATACTCTGATAGTGCGCTGTTTTTGAGTTGTACGCCTTTTGGCGTCTTCTGGTCCAACACCAATGGAGACTAGGCTCTAAGAAAAGCTGTCTCGGGTGTGGACCAATCAAATTCAAGGACAGTGCATATTATTATCAGAGTTGTCTTTTTTGTTTGCATTTTGACTGCTTGTGTTGTGGTCATTGCAAACATGATGCCTTGAATAAAGGTGTCAGTTTTTGTGCCAGTTAAAAGGGTAAAACCTATTCCTAGGTCTCATAATGTTTTATTTTACCAGGTTTACAAAGCCCCACGAAGCTGTGTAGCACTTTTTCAGGAGCGACCTGGCCACAAATGATAGCTCAACGAAGTGGCTGATCATGTGTGGACATTGATAGCAACCACCTACAGTGGTACCTCGGTATACGTCGTTAATTCGTTCCAGAAGGGGGAGGACTTATACCGGAAATGACGTCTACCAAACGAATTTTTCCCATAAGAAATAAAGGGAAAGGACATAATCCGTTACAGAGTATAAGAAATTATATTTTATATGGCATATTATACATTAATTTGGGTTGTATTAAATAATTTAGACACTACTTATTACTAAAATGCATACATACATTAGGGTTGTGCACTGAACGAGATCTACAGGCAGACTGAGGAGCGGCGCTTTGTCTCGGTCGTGAACGGGGTCTTTGCGGGCACGCGGTGACTCATCCCGGCCCAGACAAGTTCTAGCAAGCGCCTAGTATCCCAAGCAAGACGTCGCATCCCAAGACATTTTTTTCTCGTCAAAACACGACGTGTACCAAATTGGACGTATTCCAAAGCGGTCGCATACCGAGGTGTGACTGTACTCTAAACGCACGCTGATTCTAAATGTGGAGGGGAAAAGGTGGAGGACCCGGAGGAAATTCCGCGCGATCACACGGAGAACACGCAAACTCCAAATATACAGGCAACACGGTCGGGATCGAACCCACGAACTCCTGTATACCGGGCGAGGTAGTTAACATCTCGCCACCGTGGCGCCCATACTTAGAGGCCCAGGCATATACATAGAGGCACATATAGATGCTTACCCATAGAAGACACAGAGACCCATAGCGATGCGTAGATTAGTTAAAAACAAAAGACGCAGGAGTGTGATTATGGCTATGCAACGCAAACTACAGACCACACAGTAAACCCACTGTGGTCGTCTGTGCTCCTTCAACGGAGGAGGAACAGCAAAGCGACACGAAGTCCTCTGTATAGAAATAGGATTCACCCTTTTTAACTGGCACAAAAACTGACACCTTTATTCAAGGCATCATGTTTGCAATAACCACAACACAAGCAGTCAAAATGCAAACAAAAAAGACAACTCTGATAATAATATGCACTGTCCTTGAATTTGATTGGTCCACACCCGAGACGGCTTTTCTTAGAGCCCAGTCTCCATTGGTGTTGGACCAGAAGACGCCAAAAGGCGTACAACTCAAAAACAGCGCACTCTCAGAGTATTGAGGGCTCGGGGTGAGCATTTACATATTATTATCAGAGTTGTCTTTTTTGTTTGCATTTTGACTGCTTGTGTTGTGGTTATTGCAAACATGATGCCTTGAATAAAGGTGTCAGTTTTTGTGCCAGTTAAAAGGATAAAACCTATTTCTATATCTTGTTACTGGCAAAGGAGGTCTCATAATGAAGTCCTCTGTCTTTGCTGAAGCCCTCTCGTCGTGGCCAGCAGCAGCAGCAGCAGGACCTCGACATTAGCAACGAGCTCCTGATCACATTGCCATCGTGCGCACGAGCAGAATAAGTATGTGACGTTCACGAGGGGGGCCGGCAAACACGTGTCCAAACGTCGTCCTGGTGTGCGCTGGCCACCAGGACGCGCGCTTGGGCCCTCTTCACGACCGGCTTTGTGATGCTCAGCTCGCAGGATGCTGTTTTTGGAAGACGTGGATTTGAATTGTGATGATTGTCCCACAGAATGCTGATCTTGGAAGGCGTGGATTTGAATTGTGATGATTGTCCCGCAGAATGCTGATCTTGGAAGGCGTGGATTTGAATTGTGATGATTGTCCCGCAGAATGCTGATCTTGGAAGACGTGGATTTGAATTGTGATGATTGTCCTGCAGAATGCTGATCTTGGAAGGCGTGGATTTGAATTGTGATGATTGCCGCGCAGAATGCTGATCTTGGAAGACGTGGATTTGAATTGTGATGATTGTCCCACAGAATTCTGATCTTGGAAGGCGTGGATTTGAATTGTGATGATTGCCGCGCAGAATGCTGATCTTGGAAGACGTAGATTTGAATTGTGATGATTGTCCCACAGAATGCTGATCTTGGAAGGCGTGGATTTGAATTCACAAACGAACATCGGCACGCCGTTGCACGAGGCCGCGCTGCACGGCAAACTGGACATCGTGAAACTACTGCTGCAGGTGCAAAAATAATAACAATGGCTTCTAAACAATAAAAAAAAATGTACCGGTCTCTACGTGAGTCTACGTGTCTCTCTATGTGAGTCTACGAGTCTCTCTACGTGAGTCTACGTGTCTCTCTACGTGAGTCTACGAGTCTCTCTACGTGAGTCTACGTGTCTCTCTACGTGAGTCTACGGGTCTCTCTACGTGAGTCTACGTGTCTCTCTACGTGAGTCTACGTCTCTCTCTACGTGAGTCTACGTGTCTCTCTACGTGAGTCTACGTGTCTCTCTACGTGAGTCTACGAGCCTCTCTACGTGAGTCTACGAGTCTCTCTACGTGAGTCTACGAGTCTCTCTACGTGAGTCTACGGGTCTCTACGTGAGTCTACGTGTCTCTCTACGTGAGTCTACGTGTCTCTCTACGTGAGTCTACGAGTCTCTCTCTATGTGAGTCTACGGGTCTCTACGTGAGTCTACGAGTCTCTCTATGTGAGTCTACGTGTCTCTCTACGTGAGTCTACGTGTCTCTCTACGTGAGTCTACGAGTCTCTCTACGTGAGTCTACGTGTCTCTCTACGTGAGTCTACGTAACTCTCTACGTGAGTCTACGTGTCTCTCTACGTGAGTCTACGTGTCTCTCTACGTGAGTCTACGTGTCTCTCTACGTGAGTCTACGAGTCTCTCTATGTGAGTCTACGTGTCTCTCTACGTGAGTCTACGTGTCTCTCTACGTGAGTCTACGAGTCTCTCTCTCTGTGAGTCTACGGGTCTCTACGTGAGTCTACAAGTCTCTCTATGTGAGTCTACGTGTCTCTCTATGTGAGTCTACGTGTCTCTCTATGTGAGTCTACGAGTCTCTCTATGTGAGTCTACGTGTCTCTCTACGTGAGTCTACGAGTCTCTCTACGTGAGTCTACGTGTCTCTACATGAGTCTACGGGTCTCTCTACGTGAGTCTACGTGTCTCTCTACGTGAGTCTACGAGTCTCTCTCTACGTGAGTCTACGTGTCTCTCTATGTGAGTCTACGAGTCTCTCTACGTGAGTCTACGTGTCTCTCTACGTGAGTCTACGAGTCTCTCTCTACGTGAGTCTACGAGTCTCTCTCTACGTGAGTCTACGAGTCTCTCTACGTGAGTCTACGTGTCTCTCTACGTGAGTCTACGTGTCTCTCTACGTGAGTCTACGAGTCTCTCTATGTGAGTCTACGGGTCTCTACGTGAGTCTACGTGTCTCTCTACGTGAGTCTACGTGTCTCTCTACGTGAGTCTACGAGTCTCTCTACGTGAGTCTACGTGTCTCTCTACGTGAGTCTACGGGTCTCTCTACGTGAGTCTACGTGTCTCTCTACGTGAGTCTACGAGTCTCTCTCTACGTGAGTCTACGTGTCTCTCTATGTGAGTCTACGAGTCTCTCTACATGAGTCTACGTGTCTCCCTACGCGAGTCTACGTGTCTCTCTACGTGAGTCTACGTGTCTCTACGTGAGTCTACGTGTCTCTCTATGTGAGTCTACGCGTCTCTCTACGTGAGTCTACCTGTCTCTCTACGTGAGTCTACGTGTCTCTCTACGTGAGTCTACGGCTCTCTACGTGAGTCTACGTGTCTCTCTATGTGAGTCTACGTTTCACTCTACGTGAGTCTACGGGTCTCTCTACGTGAGTCTACGAGTCTCTCTACGTGAGTCTACGTGTCTCTCTACGTGAGTCTACATCTCTCTCTGTGAGTATACGTCTCTCTCTCTCTCTCTGTGAGTTTACAACTCTCTCTACGTGAGTCTACATCTCTCTCTGCGTGAGTGTACGTCTCCCTGTGAGTTTACATTTCTCTCTGCGTGAGTCTCTGGTGCTCTATCCACCACATCCACTCACGTGGACCGCGTCTCCGTCGCTGTTGCCGCTGCTGCTGCTTCTGCAGAGTGGCGCCGAGGCCGCCGCTGAGAACAAGTTCAAGCAGACGGCGCTGGACCTGGTGATGCAGTTCACGGGGCGCCAGGCAAGCAAGGAGATCAAGCATGCACTCCGAGGTGCCGGAGCACGCGTCTATGTGTGTGTGTGTCTCTGTATGTGTGTCTCTATGCGTCTGTGTGTCTCTATGCGTCTGTGTGTCCCTGTGTGTCTCTGTGCGTCTCTATGCATCTGTGTATCACTGTGTGTCTCTGTGCGTCTCTATGCGTCTGTGTGTCCCTGTGTGTCTCTGTGCGTCTCTATGCATCTGTGTATCACTGTGTGTCTCTATGTATCTCTATGCATATGTGTATCACTGTGTGTCTCTGCGTCTGTATGCGTCTGTGTGTCCCTGTGTGTCTCTATCCATCTGTGTGTCTCTGTGCGTCTCTATGCATCTGTGTGTCCCTGTGTGTCTCTATGCATCTGTGTATCGCTGTGTATCTCTGTGCGTCTCTATGCATCTGTGTATCTCTGTGTCTCTGTGCGTCTCTATGCATTTGTGAATCTCTGTGTGTCTCTGTGTGTCTTTATGCGTCTGTGTGTCTCTGTGCGTCTCTATGCGTCTCTATGCATCTGTGTATCGCTGTGTGTCTCTGTGCGTCTCTATGTGTCTGTGTATCTCTGTGTGTCTGTGTGTCTCTGTGTATCTTTATGCGTCTGTGTGTCTCTGTGTGTCTCTGTGTGTCTCCATGCATCTCTGTATCTCTACGGGTCTCTGTGTCTTCACTATCGGGTCCATGGTGTGGCTTGCAATTAATGTATCTCTTTGAGTCTATGTATCTCTTTAAGTCTATGTATCTTTGTGTGTCTCCATGCGTCTCTGTATCTCTGCTTCACTATCGGCTCCGCGGTGTATCTTGCGTGGCGACAATCGCACTTCCCGTGGCTAATGCTCTTCCCATTTGCGGAGGAGGGTGTACCCGTCGGCCCGCTGATGTTCCGATACCGATTGACGGTTCCCGGCCACCAGTGTCTTGAGGCTATGGTCCCAAGCCTAACCCCTGTGCTGCTGCCGCTGTGGTGGTGATCTTGCCGCGTGCGTGGTCTTGCAGAGGCAATGCACACAGTGCAGGCGTGCGCCGTCACGGACTACTGCAACGCGTACGACTCGACGTGCCTGCGGATAACTGCCGGAGACATCATCACCGTGAGTCTGAACTGTAAACCGTTTAGCGTGCGGTCGGCTTTCGCGACCAGTATCATCCGTAATTAATAAAGGTTTTTTTTTGGGTTAGATCGCGTAAATATATAAATGTGTTTTTAAACCCACCACCACCCGACAACCAACGAGTAAGTTTTGTCACGTAAACAGAACATGCCAATTCGTTACTGCGGTGTGAGTGGACTAGTGGCCACAGGAGGTAATGACAGGGGTGTCAGCCTGCAGTGTGAATGGACTAGTGGCCACGGGAGGTAATGACAGGGGAGTCAGCCTACAGTGCGAATGGACTAGTGGCCACGGGAGGTAATGACAGGGGAGTCAGCCTACAGTGCGAAGGGACTGGTGGCTACGGGAATGATCAAGAATAGGAGCATGGCCAGGTGATGTAAGAGGACGGTGGAGTCTGCCGGTAGAGCGAGTGGCCTAGAACAAGCGAGAAGGTTCGAGAATGGGGCCGTGGCCTCGGTCCGTATATAAGGGAGAGACGCGCGGGAGACTCGGGGCTGTTGCAGTGGGGGTCTCCGCCTGTTCGAGTGAACGTGTCTCTACAAGAAAGAAACCAAGTCAAGACAAGTGTGTAAAGTCGTCATTACACTAGTACAGCTCACTGGTGTGTTGGAGAGCAAAGCCACAACATTTACAATCTGAGCACGACGTTTCGCCAATAATTACAACTAGCTTCATCAGGCCACAGACAGATTTTTGGAGAAATCCTCCTGTTTCGTTCCTTAAATAGAGGGGTAGACGTTCATATTCTAGATTTAAAGCTTTCGTGACTGCAATGATCCATACTCTTTGGTTCTATTCGGTAAAGTCACGTAGGTAAAAAATAAAACAACAAAAATCACGATGTTTCGGCCACAACACAAGTGGCCTTCATCAGGTGAAGGGACCGTACTGTCCAGAGGACAGCGTTGGAGTGAAGACATCATTTAACTCAATCTGGCTGTATTCACTCCAACGCTGTCCTCTGGACAGTACGGTCCCTTCACCTGATGAAGGCCACTTGTGTTGTGGCCGAAACGTCGTGATTTTTGTTGTTTTATTGTTTACCTACGTGACTTTACCGAATAGAACCAAAGAGTATAGATGTTCATAATAAAGGTTTTTGGGATAAATCGCGTTATTTATAAATGTGTCGTAACCCTCCACCACCCGACACGGCCAAACAGTAAAAAAAGTGTCACGTAGACAAAAGACAAAATAGTTCACTACTTTAGCCCACCGGTGTGTTGCAGAGTGAATCAACATCATTTAAAATTTAGAGTATGGCGTTTCGCTGGTAATTACATCCAGCATCATCGGGCAATTTGCCAGAATGGTAAAGCCCTCACTTGCTCCCGGTCTTAAATAGAGCAGCAGCATGGTGACGTCATCATCAATTAACCCAATCAGGTGCAGTGATTTGAGGCGGAGAGGGGGAGGGTATTGTAATTATATAATCGATTGGTAATCATTCAATTGTTATTCATTGGTATTTGTAGATGTGATGACAACACTTATGTGCTCTTCTTGTGTGAAGTGGGGAGGGGGGGTTAATTAATGCATATAAATGACTATGGGTATCCATTGTGGACTTCTCCACAAATCTGGCTGTCGCCTGATGAAGCTGGTTGTAATTACTCGCGAAACGTCGTACTCAGATTGTAAATGTTGTAGCTTGGCTCTCACCGGTGTGCTGTACTAGTGTAATACACTATACACTACACTGTACACTAGTGCTGTACCCGTAACGAATTGGCACGTTCTGTTTATGTGACAAACCTTCCTGATTGGCCATGGCGGGTCGTGGCGGGTTCAAAGACACATTTATATTTTTTGCGCGATCTAACCCATGAAACCTCTGTTATGGACGAACTGTAAACGATTGAACACGTTGTCTTCGTATAGTACCAGGCGTTAAGGCGTCCGCGGAGCTACGTAGTGTAGCTCTTTTTCAGAGGCGACCACAAATGGTAGCCTCAGCAAAGTGGCTTAGCATCATCGTCGTCATCATCGCGTGGAAATTTATAGCAGCAGCCAAATACTGAAAAAACCGGAGTACCCGGAGAAAAATCCACACGACCACGGGGAGAGAGAGAGAGACATGCAAACTCCAAATATACAGCAGCAGCAGGCGTCAGGATCACAATCAGCTGCATTGCGATTTTGGCCATGCACCTTGGACCACGTCGTGAACCCATCGAGACACACGCAGAGATAAGCTAAAATCCAAATTAAACTATTTATTTTTATTTTACCACGGGTAAGGCCCCACTGAGCTACGTAGTGTCTCTATTTCAGAAGCGACTACCTGGCGATCAAAGATTAAAGAAGCTCAGCAAAGTGGCTTATCGCCATCGCCATCATCATCATCCCAACGTGGAAATACATAGCAGTAGCCAAATAACCCTAAACGCGTGGTGATGTTGATTCTAAATGTGTTACTGCTGCTGCAGGTGTAGGAGTGGCAGGAGAGCGGCCTATGGAAGGGCTACGTGAGTGGTGGCTGTTGCTGTTGTTGTTGTTGCTGCAGGTGTTGGAGTGGCAGGAGAGCGGCCTATGGAAGGGCTAGGTGAGTGGTGGCTGTTGTTGTTGTTGCTGCTGCAGGTGTTGGAGCGGCAGGAGAGCGGCCTATGGAAGGGCTACGTGAGTGGTGGCTGTTGTTGCTGCTGCAGGTGTTGGAGTGGCAGGAGAGCGGCCTATGGAAGGGCTACGTGAGTGATGGCTGCTGTTGTTGTTGCTGCAGGTGTTGGAGTGGCAGGAGAGCGGCCTATGGAAGGGCTACGTGAGTGGTGGCTGTTGTTGTTGTTGCAGGTGTTGGAGTGGCAGGAGAACGGCCTATGGAAGGGCTACGTGAGTGGTGGCTGTTGTTGTTGTTGCAGGTGTTGGAGTGGCAGGAGAGCGGCCTATGAAAGGGCTACGTGAGTGGTGGCTGTTGTTGTTGCTGTTGCTGCTGCAGGTGTTGGAGCGGCAGGAGAGCGGCCTATGGAAGGGCTACGTGAGGGACCGGCTGGGCGCCTCTCGCGTCGGCTATTTCCCATCGTCCGTTGTGCAAATCATCAGCTCGTCCGCGGGTGAGCAGCGGCCTGCGGTTTGTTGTTGTTGTTGGGTGCAATTGTCAACAACAGCCACATCGGACATGAGGACATCTCAGCGGCGTCATCATTGGTGCACTGCAGCAGCTCCAAGATGTACCACGTTTCTGAGTGTGTGTGTCTGTGTGTCTGTGTGTGTGTCTGTGTGTGTGTGTCTGTGTGTGTGTCTGTGTGTGTGTGTCTGTGTGTGTCTGTGTGTCTGTGTGTGTGTGTCTGTGTGTGTGTCTGTGTGTGTGTCTGTGTGTGTGTGTCTGTGTGTGTGTCTGTGTGTGTGTCTGTGTGTGTGTGTCTGTGTGTGTGTCTGTGTGTGTGTGTCTGTGTGTGTGTGTCTGTGTGTGTGTCTGTGTGTGTGTCTGTGTGTGTGTGTCTGAGTGTGTGTGTCTGTGTGTGTGTGTGTCTGTGTGTGTGTCTGTGTGTGTGTGTCTGTGTGTGTGTGTCTGTGTGTGTCTGTGTGTGTGTCTGAGTGTGTGTTTCTGTGTGTGTGTCTGAGTGTGTGTGTCTGTGTGTGTGTCTGAGTGTGTGTTTCTGTGTGTGTGTCTGAGTGTGTGTCTGTGTGTGGGTGTCTGAGTGTGTGTTTCTGCGTGTGTGTCTGAGTGTGTGTTTCTGTGTGTGTGTCTGTGTGTGTGTTTCTGTGTGTGGGTGTCTGTGTGTGTCGCTTGCGAAACGTGGACCCCCCTAATGGAACATCTTCGCCGGTTAGAAACATTTAGGCTGGCCTGCCCTACGATCCATCCTGGGTTTAACCAGGCTGGATTGTGTGAGGAACTCACAAATCCTTGAAAGATCTGGATAAAGTCCCATCAGTGAGCTCCTCCGGCAGGCAATGCTGCGTTGTCTGGGTCATGTAGCCCGCATGCCCAGCCACCGCATGCCTAAACAGCTTTTTGTTCGGCCAGATAGAGGGAGCTAAACGGGCGTGGCACGGGCTAGAGAAGAGATGGAGTGACGTGGTACAGAAGGATGTGGAGCTGAGTGAACATGTCGATGACCGGTACCAGCGGTGTCAAGATCGGCCTCTGTGGAGGAGGCTCGTGAAAGACGCTGCAGGGCAGTTGGAGGCAGTCTCCCTCCAACAACAACGGAGGGCGGAGGAGCGACGCTCACAACAACGAGCGGAGTGCCGGATGACTAAAGCACAGCAAGTTGGCACAGTAGGGGGCACAGGTGGTGCATCAGCCAGTCATCTCAGTCATCTCAGTCAGTCGACCCGTGGCACCTGGGTCTGCCCCGTGACCTCCTGCCAGCGGGCGTTCGACACCTCAACATGCACATAGCCTGGCACAAGCGTCGTGGTGACGTCACCACCACTTAGTGGCGAATGGCGGTTGTTGTGTCTCTGTGTGTGTCTGTGTGTTTGTGTGTGTGTGCTCGGTGGTAGTGGGGAGCAGTAGTGTAGCGGTTAGCACGCTGCGCTACGAACCCGGTTTCCCGAGTTCCATTCCCGCTCTAGTGACGAATATCTGAAACCGGTCCTGAACCTCCCCTAGGTCGAGTCGGCCTCAAATGAGTACATGGGTGCGGTGTGTAAACATCGCTATTGGGGAGACAAAGGCGGTTGGGTGTGGTGCTGGCCACCCACCCCCTAGCGTGCCGTTCCAGCCTTCATAGGTGCTCGATAACAGCACTTGCCCCAACCGCCTGTGAAGGCTACATGGGGGATCTTTATCTTTGTGGATGTGTGTGTGTGTGTGCGCGCGCGTGTTTTCTCAGACCCAACGTCTTCCATTGCGCGGCCGGTCTCTCTTCCGTTCTCCAAAGACCGTGACAGCGGAGGGCTGTTCACACACGCGGGTGAGTGGCGGATGCGTGCACCTGTACCCGAGGCCGTCGGATGTACGTGTACGTTGAACTTCTTTTGCACAGCACGTAGCCATACCGTGCTCGTCGGAGGTACGGTGAAGAGGCCTTGAACCCCGACAGTTCTGGACGTCTCACACTTCATTTCCCGCTTTCCATGCACGGCGCATCGGGGTATACGAATGAAATGCACCTTGCAAATTTTAAATCATCGCTTTTATTATCATGGCTACGATGATGGGTGACGGTGATGGTGGCAGTGACGGTGGTGGTGCATCGTTTGTGTTGATGTCACCTCCTTGACAGACACCCTGGATTTTCACAAGGCCCAGACAGTGTGTGGAGGCTCAAGGGACCTCGTCTGGGGATACAATACCGGTGGTAAAACACACAAAAAGACAAAGATCCCCCCGTATAGCCTTCACAGACTGTTGGTGTTCGTAAGTGCGGGTGTTCGTGAGTGCGGGTGTTTGTAAGTGTGGCTGTTTGTGAGTGTTCATATGTCGGGTGCTCATAAGTGTGTGGGTGTTCGTAAGTCCAAATGGCAATGGCGTAACGTTGCTATGTTTACTCGTGAAGTGTGTAGCGTGACGACGTTGTTGTGAAGGACGCTGTACTAAATAAAGTTTGATCGACTGATATACAGTGAGGGAAAAAAGTATTTGATCCCCTGCTGATTTTGTACGTTTGCCCACTGACAAAGAAATGATCAGGCTATAATTTTAATGGTAGGTTTATTTGAACAGTGAGAGACAGAATAACAACAAAAAATCCAGAAAAACGCATGTCAAAAATGTTATAAATTGATTAGCATTTTAATGAGGGAAATAAGTATTTGACCCCCTCTCAGAAAGATTTCTGGCTCCCAGGTGTCTTTTATACAGGTAACGAGCTGAGATTAGGCGCACACTCTTAAAGGGAGTGCTCCTAATCTCAGCTTGTTACCTGTACAAAAGACGCCTGTCCACAGAAGCAATCAATCAATCAGATTCCAAACTCTCCACCATGGCCAAGACCAAAAAAACTCTCCAAGGATGCCAGGGACAAGATTGTAGACCTACACAAGGCTGGAATGGGCTACAAGACCATTGCCAAGCAGCTTGGTGAGAAGGTGACAACAGTTGGTGCGATTATTCGCAAATGGAAGAAACACAAAAGAACTGTCAGTCTCCCTCGGCCTGGGGCTCCATGCAAGATCTCACCTCGTGGAGTTGCAATGATCATGGGAACGGTGAGGAATCAGCCCAGAACTACACGGGAGGATCTTGTCAATGATCTCAAGGCAGCTGGGACCATAGTCACCAAGAAAACAATTGGTAACACACTACGCCGTGAAGGACTGAAATCCTGCAGCGCCCGCAAGGTCCCCGTGCTCAAGAAAGCACATATACATGCCCGTCTGAAGTTTGCCAATGAACATCTGAATAATTCAGAGGACAACTGGGTGAAAGTGTTGTGGTCAGATGAGACCAAAATGGAGCTCTTTGGCATCAACTCAACTCGCCATGTTTGGAGGAGGAGGAATGCTGCCTATGACCCCAAGAACACCATCACCACCGTCAAAGATGGAGGTGGAAACATTATGCTTTGGGGGTGTTTTTCTGCTAAGGGGACAGGACAACTTCACCGCATCAAAGGGACGATGGACGGGGCCATGTACCGTCAAATCTTCAGTGAGAACCTCCTTCCCTCTGCCAGGACATTGAAAATGGGTCGTGGATGGGTATTCCAGCATGACAATGACCCAAAACACACGGCCAAGGCAACAAAGGAGTGGCTCAAGAAGAAGCACATTAAGGTCCTGGAGTGGCCTAGCCAGTCTCCAGACCTTAATCCCATAGAATATCTGTGGAGGGAGCTGAAGGTTCGAGTTGCCAAACGTCAGCCTCGAAACCTTAATGACTTGGAGAAGATCTGCAAAGAAGAGTGGGACAAAATCCCTCCTGAGATGTGTGCAAACCTAGTGGCCAACTACAAGAAACGTCTGACCTCTGTGATTGCCAACAAGGGTTTTGCCACCAAGTACTAAGTCATGTTTTGCAGAGGGATCAAATACTTATTTCCCTCATTAAAATGCAAATCAATTTATAACATTTTTGACATGCGTTTTTCTGGATTTTTTGTTGTTGTTATTCTGTCTCTCACTGTTCAAATAAACCTACCATTAAAATTATAGACTGATCATTCCTTTGTCGGTGGGCAAACGTACAAAATCAGCAGGGGATCAAATACTTTTTTCCCTCGCTGTACGATTGGTTGCACCGGTACCACGTGTACTCCATGGCTACAACTGCACTTATTACGTTTCATTATTCACGTGTTTTTCTTTCATCTCCCAGATGCGACGGTCGGCGATTGTAGCAGTGTGGGCAGCAGCAGAAGCTCGGGCAGCGGAGAGAGCGTGGGCAGCAGGAGAGGGCAGCAGGATCATCATCATCATCAGCAGCAGCAGCATCGTCAGCAGCAGCAACATCATCATCAGCAGCATTATCAGCATCAGCAGCTAAACACAATCGCAAAGGTACTGCATGTGTGTGTCGTCGCGTCTGCGTCTGCCCCGTGACCTCCCTGCCAGCGGGCGTCAGACACTTCACGTGGCCTCGACGTGCACGTGGCCTGGCACAAGCGCCGTGGTGACGTCACCGCCACTTAGCGGCGAATGGCGGTGGCTGTTGTTGTCATTGGTGGACCGTGATTCTGCCAATTCTAGATTTGAAGCTTTCGTGACTGCAAGGATCCATACTCTTTGGTTCTATTCGGTAAAGTCGCGTCGGTAAAAAATAAAACAACAAAAATAACGACGTTTCGGCCACAACACAAGTGGCCTTCATCAGGTTCAGGGACCGTACTGTCCAACGCTGTCCTCTGGACAGTACGGTCCCTTCACCTGATGAAGGCCACTTGTGTTGTGGCCGAAACGTCGAGATTTTTGTTGCTTTATTTTTTACCGACGTGATTCTGCCGGTCATCGTAGCACCCGGGGTCCGTCCCGTGACCTCCGGCCGGCCGCGAGCCGTTCGCGCGTCTCGCGACGGCCTCAAAGCGCATCTTGGCCTTGCCACGAGCCTTGCTGTCACGTGATATTTAACGTCCGCTGGATTAACCGGGGCGGCCGCCGGGGTTCGAACCGCCATCGTCAGCAGCAGGCGGCAAAGGCGCCACTCCTGCCCCACCATCCCTCTCCCACCATGGAAATGAATGACATTGTACTGTGTCTGTGTGTTGTGTGTGTTGTGTGTGTTGTGTGTGTTGTGTGTAGATTACACACGGAGAAGAAAGGATCATACAGACGGGAAACCTGCCCAGCGCAGGTGAATGAACACCAACACACATCAATACCATTGCTGCTGATAACACCGCTGATGCTACTGCTGCTGGCACTGCTGCTGATGATACTGCTGCTGACACTACTGTTGATGATACTGCTGCTGACACTACCGCTGCTGCTGATACTACTGCTGATACTACTGCTGCTGACACGACTGCTGCTGACACTACTACCATTGATACCACCGCTGACGCCACCGCTGACGCCACCGCTGATACCACCGCTGACACCACCGCTGATGCCACCGTTGATACCACCGCTGACACCACCGCTGCTGATATCACCGCTGCTGATACTACCGCTGATACCACCACCGCTGATACCACCACTGCTGATACCACCGCTGACACCACCACTGCTGATACCACCGCTGATACCACCGCTGCTGATACCACTGCTGATACCACTGCTGACACCACCGCTGCTGATACCACTGCTGACGCCACCGCTGCTGATACTTCCGCTGATACGTCCGCGAGCTCCAAAAATGTTTTCACCCCAATCGCGGAACGGCATCGACCCTGACCTGGGACTGAACTCATGAACTCATTGTCAAGGGTGCCCCCCCCACCCCCACACACTCTGTGGTGGTGGTGGTGGTAAGAAACTGGTCCGGCAGAAGCGGAGCTTCGAGCCGACTCCAAAGTCGCCGGAGACCGGCGGCTGGGGCCGGGGCGTTGGAACGTGAAGAGACAGCACCCTGCATTCCTGAGCGAGGGAGAGGCGTCGCGTGCGAGAGCTTCGTGCGAACGTTTACGGGTGAATGGGTCCCTCTGTAACATAGCGCACTGCGATAGTGGCGTGTGTGTGCGTACGTGTGTGTGTCTGTGTGTGTGTGTCTGTGTGTCTGTGTGTGTGTGTCTTTGTGTCTATGTGTGTGTCTGTGTGTGTCTGTGCGTGTGTGTCTGTGCGTGTGTGGGGAGCGGTAGTGTAGCGGTTAGCGCGCTGCGCTATGAACCTGGCGACCCGGGTTCGATTCCCGCTCACGGCCAACACCAGTGACGATTTTCTGAACCGGTCCCGGGCCTCCCCTAGGTCGACTCAGCCTCAAATGAGTACCTGGTGCGGTGTGTAAACATTGCCACTGGGGAGACAAAGGCGGTCGGGCGTGGTGCTGGCCACCCACCCCCTCGTGTACCGTTCCGGCCTTCATAGGTGCTCGCTCACAGCACTTGCCCCTACAGTCTGTTAAGGCTATATGGGGGATCTTTTTTATCTGTGTGTGTATCTGTGTGTGTATCTGTGTGTGTATCTGTGTGTGTATGTGTATCTGTGTGTGTATCTGTGTGTGTATGTGTATCTGTGTGTGTATGTGTGTGTATGTGTGTCTGTGTGTGTGTCTGTGTGTGTGTCTGTGTGTGTATCTGTGTGTGTGTCTGTGTGTCTGTGTGTGTGTGTGTGTGTATCTGTGTGTCTGTGTGTCTGTGTGTGTATCTGTGTGTCTGTGTGTGTATCTGTGTGTCTGTGTGTCCGTGTGTGGGGAGCGGTGGTGTAGCGGTTAGCGCTATGCTGCGCTATAAACCCGGCAACCCGAGTTTGATTCCCGCTCATGGCCAACATCGTTGACGATTATCTGAACCAGTCGACTTAGCCTCAAATGAGTACCTGGTGCGGTGTGTCAACATGGCCACTGGGAAGACAAAGGCGGCCGGGCGTGGTGCTGGCCTTCACAGGTGCCACTACTCACTAACAGCACTTGCCCCGACAGGTCCGTTAAGGCTATACGGGGTATCTTTGCCTTGTGTCTGTGTGAGTTATGGGTGAATGAGTTGCTTGTGTAATAGGACACTGATAATTGTGTGTGTGTATGTGTGTGTGTATGTGTGTGTATGCGTGCGATAGTGTAGCGGTTAGCGCGCTGCGCTATGAACCTGGCGACACGGGTTCGATTCCCGCTCACGGCTAACACCAGTGACGATTATCTTAACCGGTCCCTGGCCTCCCCTAGGTCGACTCAGCCTCAAATGAGTACCTGGTGCAGTGTGTAAACATTGCCACTAGGGAGACAAAGGCGGTCGGGCTTGGTGCTGGCCACCCACCCCCTCGTGTACCGTTACCGGCCTTCATAGGTGCTCGCTAACAGCACTTGCCCCTACAGTCTGTTAAGGCTATATGGGGGATCTTTTTTTATCTTTGTGTATGTGTGTGTGTATGTGTGTGTGTATGTGTGTGTATGTGTGTGTGTATGTGTGTGGGTGCCTGAGTGTGTGTTTCTGTGTGTCTGTGTGTGTGTTTCTGTGTGTGTGTCTGAGTGTGTGTCTGTGTGTGTGTTTCTGTGTGTATGTCTGAGTGTGTGTGTCTGTGTGTGTTTCTGTGTGTGTGTGTCTGAGGTGCTCGCTAGCATCACTTGCCCCCACAGCCTGTTGAAGGCTTTCCGATTCGCACGGCTGGCGACGTACGGTGCGAAATAATTTCAACATGTATTTATATATGTGGGGATCTTTGTCTTTGCGTGTACGTTGAAATTCTTTAGCGCCGTACGTAGCAAACCGTGCTCATCGGAGGTTCAGTGTTAGTCTATGGGCAGTGTTAGTCTATGGGTAGTGTTGAGTCTATGGGTAGTGTTGAGTCTATGGGTAGTGTTGAGTCTATGGGTAGTGTTGAGTCTATGGGCAGTATTGAGTCTATGGGTAGTGTTAGTCTATGGGCAGTGTTGAGTCTATGGGCAGTGTTGAGTCTATGGGCAGTGTTGAGTCTATGGGTAGTGTTAGTCTATGGGCAGTGTTGAGTCTATGGGTAGTGTTGAGTCTATGGGCAGTGTGAGTCTATGGGGAGTGTTAGTCTATGGGGAGTGTTAGTCTATGGGGAGTGTTAGTCTATGGGCAGTGTGAGTCTATGGGCAGTGTGAGTCTATGGGTAGTGTGAGTCTATGGGTAGTGTTGAGTCTATGGGTAGTGTGAGTCTATGGGTAGTGTGAGTCTATGGGTAGTGTGAGTCTATGGGTAGTGTTAGTCTATGGGCAGTGTTGAGTCTATGGGTAGTGTTAGTCTATGGGCAGTGTGAGTCTATGGGCAGTGTTGAGTCTATGGGCAGTGTTGAGTCTATGGGCAGTGTTGAGTCTATGGGCAGTGTTGAGTCTATGGGCAGTGTTGAGTCTATGGGTAGTGTTAGTCTATGGGCAGTGTTGAGTCTATGGGTAGTGTTGAGTCTATGGGCAGTGTGAGTCTATGGGGAGTGTTAGTCTATGGGGAGTGTTAGTCTATGGGGAGTGTGAGTCTATGGGCAGTGTTGAGTCTATGGGCAGTGTGAGTCTATGGGTAGTGTTGAGTCTATGGGCAGTGTGAGTCTATGGGCAGTGTTAGTCTATGGGTAGTGTTGAGTCTATGGGTAGTGTTAGTCTATGGATAGTGTTAGTCTATGGATAGTGTTAGTCTATGGGCAGTGTTAGTCTATGGGTAGTGTTATTCTATGGGCAGTGTGAGTCTATGGGCAGTGTGAGTCTATGGGCAGTGTTAGTCTATGGGCAGTGTGAGTCTATGGGCAGTGTTGCGTCTATGGGCAGTGTTGAGTCTATGGGTAGTGTTAGTCTATGGGCAGTGTTAGTCTATGGGTAGTGTTGAGTCTATGGGCAGTGTTGAGTCTATGGGTAGTGTTAGTCTATGGGCAGTGTTAGTCTATGGGCAGTGTTGAGTCTATGGGTAGTGTTGAGTCTATGGGTAGTGTTGAGTCTATGGGCAGTGTTAGTCTATGGGCAGTGTTGAGTCTATGGGTAGTGTTGAGTCTATGGGCAGTGTTAGTCTATGGTCAGTGTTGAGTCTATGGGTAGTGTTGAGTCTATGGGCAGTGCTGAGTCTATGGGCAGTGTTGAGTCTATGGGTAGTGTTGAGTCTATGGGCAGTGTTAGTCTATTGGCAGTGTTAGTCTATGGGCAGTGTTAGTCTATGGGCAGTGTGAGTCTATGGGCAGTGTTAGTCTATGGGCAGTGTGAGTCTATGGCAGTGTTAGTCTATGGGGAGTGTTAGTGTATGGGCAGTGTTAGTGTATGGGCAGTGTGAGTCTATGGGCAGTATTATGTGGAACTTATTTCGCACCATGCGTAGCCAACCGTGCTAATCCCGTGTAAACCAGCGGTATACATTTATGCAGGGAACTCGCCACCGACCAACCCCGCACGCATCTCTCGGTCACCACCGGGGTTCCTTCTCATCAAAGACTGCCGCAGGTTTACTGCGGTACCCTGGGGGGAGCCACCCACGCCCACCCACACACACACACCCACACACACACACACACCCACACACACACCCACACACCCACCTACACACCCACACACCCACACACACACTCACCCACACACCCACACATCCACACACCCACACACCCACTCACCCACCCACATACCCACTCACCCACCCACACACTCACCCACCCACACACCCACTCACCCGCCCACACACACACCCACCCACACACCCACCCACACACACACTCACTCACTCACCCACCCACACACTCACCCACCCACCCACACACCCACCCACACACCCACTCACCCGCCCACACACACCCACCCACACACAGACTCACTCACTCACCCACCCGCACACCCACCCACACAGAAGGGGCCAATTCCTGGGTTGTTCGGGTCACACCCGGACAGATGGAAACCTCTGGTGGGGGTGGTGGTGAGTGGGTGGTGGTAGTGGTGAGTAGGTGGTGGTGGGTGGGTCGTGGTGGTGGGTGGGTGGTGGTGGTGAGTGGGTGGTGGTGGTGAGTGGGTGGTGGTGGTGAGTGGGTGGTGGTGGGTGGTGAGTGGGTGATGGTGAGTGGGTGATGGTGAGTGGGTGGTGGTGGGTAGTGGGTGGTGGTGAGTGGGTGGTGGTGGTGAGTGTGTGAGTGGGGTGGTGGATGGTGAGTGGGTGGTAATGGGTAGTGGGTGGTGGGGGTGGTGTGTGAGTGTATAGGTGGGTGGGTGGGTGTGTGGGTGGGTGTGTGGGTGGTGAGTGGGTGGTAATGGGTAGTGGGTGGTGGTGGTGGTGAGTGGGTGGTGGTGGTGAGTGTGTGAGTGGGTGGTGGTGGTGAGTGGGTGGTGGTGGGTGGTGAGTGGGTGGTAATACGTAGTGGGTGGTGGTGAGTGTGTGGTGAGTGGGTAGTGGTGGTGGTGGTGAGTGTGTGAGTGGGTGGTGGTGGGTGGTGAGTGAGTGGTAATGGGTAGTGGGTGGTGGTGGTGGTGAGTGGGTGGTGGTGGTGGTGTGTGGGTGGGTGTGTGGGTGGGTGGGTGTGTTGGTGGTGAGTGGGTGGTGGTGAGTGGGTGGTGGTGAGTGTGTCAGTGTGTGGGTGGGTGTGTGGGTGGGTGGTTGTGTGGTTGGTGGTGGTGAGTGTGAGTGTGTGGGTGGTGGTGAGTAGGTGATGGTGAGTAGGTGGTGGTGGTGAGTGTGTGGTGGTGGTGGTGAGTGTGTGTGTACATTCTGTGTATGTTGTATGTGGGTTATGGGTGAACGAGAGTCTGTGTAATAGTATCCTGATAATAGCGGTGTGTGTGTGGCTTTCTGGGTGTGTCTACCTAAACACGTGTGTAGTAGTGAGTTTGTGTTGTGTGTTAACGTGGGGAGCGGTAGTGAAGTAGCGGGTAGCGCTACGCTGTGCTACGAACCCGGCGACCCGAGTTCGAGTCCCGCTCACGGCCAACACCAGTGGCGATTATCTGAACCGGTCATGGGCCTCCCCTAGGTCGACTCAGCCTTAAATGAGTCCCCGGTACGGTGTGTAAACATCGCCACTGGGGAGACAAAGGCGGCCGGGCGTGGTGCTGGCCACCCACCCCCTCGTGTGCCGTACCGGCCTTCATAGATGCTCGCTAACAGCACTTGCCCCAACAGTCTGTTAAGACTATACGGGGAATCTTTGTCCTTGTGTCAGCGCACTGCGCTACACACTTGATATCTGAATGGGTCCTGAGCCTCCCCTAGGTCGACTCAGCCTTAAATGAGTACCTGCTTCTGCGTGTAAACATCGAGACGAAGGCGGCTAGGCGTGGTGCTAGCCACACCATCCTAGGAACCCGGTCACCTGAGTTTGATTCCCACTCACGGCCAACATCAGTGACGGACACCTAAACCGGTCCTGAATCGCGTCTAGGTTAACTCGACCTTAAATGAGCACCTGGTGCAGTTGTAAATATCAGCACTGGGGAGACAAAGGTGGTTGGGTGGAGGGCAGACCACCCACCCCCTCGTGTGCCGTGCCAGCCTTCGCAGTTACTACTCGCTAACAGCACTTTGCCCAAACAGCCTGTGGGAGTCTACACGGGGGATCTTTGTCTCTGTGCGTGAACGATACACAACTGTGTCCCAGTGTGTGCTTGCTACATCACGGCTGTCTGGTGTGTGTCTGGTGTGTGTTCACAGTGAGAGACGCGTCGTCGTCCGCCAAACACCTGAACGAGGCTGACCAGGTACCATTCAAGATGAATCTGTGTGTGTGTGTATATGTGTGTATATGTGTGTATATATGTGTGTATATGCTGAGGCTGCGGTGCCTCAAATATTGGAAGAAGTCACCCCCTGTGAGTGGCTGGCTGAGGTGCCATCTGTTGACGAAGTACTGAAGGCGATCCGGAGTCTGAGACCAGGAAAGGCACCGGGCAGAGATGATCTCCCAAGCGAAATGCTGAGGGAGGGTGGCGTTTGTGCACAGACTGCCCTATATGACATCATAACAACAGTCTGGACCACTGGACGGGTTCCGCAGGATTGGAAGGATGCCCTGGTGGTCCACCTCTTTAAGAAGGGGGACCACACAGACTGTAACAACTACAGGGGAATCTCACTCAGTGTGCCGGGAAAGGTCCTGGCAAGGAATATTCAACATTGCCTTGCCAGGAACGCTGAGGAGAGGCTTTCAGGAATGGGCAGTCCTGCACAGATGCCATATTTTCTGTCCGTCTGCTACAGCAGAGGTGTAGAGAATTCCAACAAGACCTATATCTCTGCTTTATTGACCTGGTCAAGGCCTATGATACCATCAGTAGGCCTGGGCTCTGCGTTGTTCTTCGTGCTTTTGGAGTCCCTGACCCCCTGCTCATGATCATTAAGGACCTTCATGATGGTGAGCGGGCCCGGGTAAAACTACATGGCCGGGAGTCAGAGCCATTCCCTGTACACCTTGGGGTGCGACAGGGATGTCCTCTGGCTCCCACATTATTTAACATCTATTTTGACCACATACAGTGAGGGAAAAAAGTATTTGATCCCCTGCTGATTTTGTACGTTTGCCCACTGTCAAAGAAATGATTAGTCTATAATTTTAATGGTTGGTTTATTTGAACAGTGAGAGACAGAATAACAACAAAAACATCCAGAAAAACGCATATCAAAAATGTTATAAATTGATTTGCATTTTAATGAGGGAAATAAGTATTTGATCCCCTCTCAATCAGAAAGATTTCTGGCTCCTAGGTGTCTTTTATACAGGTAACGAGCTAAGATTAGGAGCACACTCTTAAAGGGAGTGCTCCTAATGTCAGCTTTTTACCTGTATAAAAGACACCTGTCCACAGAAGCAATCAATCAATCAATCAGATTCCAAACTCTCCACCATGGCCAAGACCAAAGAGCTCTCCAAGGATGCCAGGGACAAGATTGTAGAACTACACAAGGCTGGAATGGGCCACAAGACCATTGCCAAGCAGCTTGGTAAGAAGGTGACAATAGTTGGTGCGATTATTCGCAAATGGAAGATCTCACCTCGTGGAGTTGCAATGATCATGAGAACGGTGAGGAATCAGTCCAGAACTACACGGGAGGATCTTATCAATGATCTCAAGGCAGCTGGGACCATAGTCACCAAGAAAACAATTGGTAACACACTACGCCGTGAAGGACTGATATTCTGCAGCGCCCGCAAGGTCCCCCTGCTCAAGAAAGCACATATACATGCCCGTCTGAAGTTTGCCAATGAACATCTGAATGATTCAGAGGACAACTGGGTGAATGTGTTTGTGGTCAGATGAGACCAAAATGGAGCTCTTTGGCATCAACTCAACTCGCCGTGTTTGGAGGAGGAGGAATGCTGCCTATGACCCCAAGAACACCATCCCCACCGTCAAACATGGAGGTGGAAACATTATGCTTTGGGGGTGTTTTTCTGCTAAGGGGACAGGACAACTTCACCGCATCAAAGGGACGATGGACGGGGCCATGTACCATCAAATCTTGGGTGAGAACTTCCTTCCCTCAGCCAGGGCATTGAAAATGGGTCATGGATGGGTATTCCAGCATGACAATGACCCAAAACACACGGCCAAGGCAACAAAGAAGTGGCTCAAGAAGAAGCACATTAAGGTCCTGGAGTGGCCTAGCCAGTCTCCAGACCTTAATCCCATAGACAATCTGTGGAGGGAGCTGAAGGTTCGAGTTGCCAAACGTCAGACCCGAAATCTTAATGGCATGGAGAAGATCTGGAAAGAGGAGTGGGACAAAATCCCTCCTGAGATATGTGCAAACCTGGTGGCCAACTACAAGAAACGTCTGACCTCTGTAATTGCCAACAAGGGTTTTGCCACCAAGTACTAAGTCATGTTTTGCAGAGGGGTCAAATACTTATTTCCCTCATTAAAATGCAAATCAATGCATAACATTTTTGACATGCGTTTTTCTGGATTTTTTTGTTGTTCTTCTGTCTCTCACTGTTCAAATAAACCTACCATTAAAATTATAGACTGATCATTTCTTTGTCACTGGGCAAACGTACAAAATCAGCAGGGGATCAAATACTTTTTTCCCTCACTAGTTCGTGAAGCCTTCAATAGCTGTACCGGGGGAATCTCCATTTGGTACAGATATAATGGGAGGCTGATCGATGCCCGGGTGCGGTCAAGGGATGGCTCCCTATTGCTCAACCACGTTATGTATGCCGATGATTTGGTAATAGCTGCTCATTCAGAGGAGGAGTTGGAGATGTTGCTGCTGAGACTGGAGCGTGCCACTAAGAGATGGGGCCTTACCATCAGCCCCACCAAAACTAAGCACCTGCCTGGGTATTTTGTACCATCGGACACTCCACCCCCACAACTCCCAATCGGTGATGGGGCAGTTGTGGAGAGAGTCGAGAGTTTCCCATACCTGGGCAGTGTGCTTATGACCGGATCCAGTTTAACAGCAGAGGTCTCACTCCGAATCAGTCGAGCGGCAATATATTTTCATCGGTTGCATAACACTGTGTGGAAGCTACCTGGTTTGTCACTCCGCACTAACCTTCAGGTCTTCTCGGCCACGGTTATTCCCTCCCTTCTCTACGCTTGCGAAACGTGGACCCCATTAATGGAGCATCTCCGCTGGTTAGAAACATTTAGGCTAGCCTGCCTACGATCCATCCTGGGTTTAACCAGGCTGGATTGTGTGAGGAGCTCACAAATCCTTGAAAGATCTGGGCAGGGTCCCATCGGTGAGCTCCTCTGGCAGGCAAGGCTGCGTTGGCTGGGTCATGTAGCCCGCATGCCCAGCCACCGCATGCCAAAACAGCTTTTGTTCGGCCGGATCGAGGGGGCTAAACGGGCGCGGCATGGGCTAGAAAAGAGATGGAGTGATGTGGTACAAAGAGGATGTGGAGCTGGGTGGACATGCCGATGACTGGTACCAGCGGTGTCAAGATCGGCCTCTGTGGAGGAGGCTCGTGAAGAACGCTACTGGGCAGTTGGAGGAAGTCGCCCTCCAACAACAACGGATGGCGGAGAAGCGATGCTCACAACAACGAGCGGAGCGCTGGGTGGCTTAAGCACAGCAAGTTGGCACAGTAGGGGGGCACAGGTGGTGCATCAGCCAGTCATCTCAGTCATCTCAGTCAGTCGACCCGTGGCACCTTGTGGGTCTGCCCCGTGACCTGCCAGCGGGCGTTCGACACTTCACGTGGCCTCAGGGTGCACATAGCCTGGCACGAGCGCCGTGGCGACGTCACCGCCACTTAGTGGCGAATGGCGGTTGTTGTTGTTGAGTACACGCTGCAGTGCGTAACACATCAGCCCTGGGGAGACAAAGGCGGCCGTGCGTGGTGCTGGCCACACCACCCACCCCCCCTCGTGTGCAGTGTCTCCCCTTCTTAGGCGCTGCTACTCGCTAACTGCACTTGCCCCAACAGCCTGTTACAGGCTACACGGGGGTGGGATCTTTGTCTTTGCTCAGGGGGTTGGGTTGGTGACACGGCCCCGCTGCTTCTCGCCTGAGACTGTGGCCGCTCGATCGGAATCCTTCCGGCCGCCCCAGTTAACACTGCGGCGCGACAGACGACCATGACGCGCACTCCGCCACGCTTCGCTTCACCGCGAAACGTTGAAAGAATCCCCCGCGGCGTCGTTCATAACGAGGTCGGCCGCGACGCCGTGCCCCCAAGTTCCCGAAACGACCTGCGGGCCGCTCCCATGGCCTTCCGCGAGATGCAGGGGCGAGGAGGGCGGCACTGTGGCACACGAGGCCGTGGGTGGCCCGCCACCACGCCCGCCACGCACCCACAAAGACAAAGACCCCCCCGTGTTGCCTGAACAGACTGTTGGGGCAAGTGCTGTTGGCGAGCAGCACCTATGAAGGCCGGCACTGTGGTACACAAGGGGGGTGGGTGGCCAGCACCAAGCCCAGCCGCTTCTCTGTCCCTCCCCCAGTGGCGATGTTTACTACACATCGCACCAGGTACTCATTTGAGGCTGAATCGACCTAGGGGAGGCCCAGAAAACGGTTCAGATAATCGTCACCGGTCTTGGCCGTAAGCGGGAATCGAACTCGGGACGTCGGTTTCGTAGCGCAGCACAGCGCTCACCGCCTACACTACTGCTCCCCACATATACACAATCTCCACCGATACACAATCTCCACCGATACACATGTACACAATATACACGTAGACACAATATACACAAACCAAGACCGCCGTATAGCCTGGACGGACCGTAGGAGCAAGCGCTGCTAGTAGCGAGTAGCACTTCGGGAAGACCCGGCACGGCACACTAGGGGGTGGGTGGCCAACGCAATGTGCACACATCCTACCGTCGTTGTCCATATGTCTCTCTCGCTCGCGTGCTTCCAGGCTGTCTACAAGTGGCTCACGGGCTTTGACCTGCAGCAATACACGCCCTGCTTCACATCTGCCGGATATGACCTCTTCACGATGAGCCACATGACCCCCCAGGTAATCGCTCTCCGCGTCCAGGTCAGCTGTCAGCCGCGGGGGGAGGGGGGCAGTAATCCGACTACAGGGACTCCTCTACTTAGGGACATTCGACTTACGAACTTTCAGAGATACGAAAAAACCTGTACACCGTATGTCCAGTTGCAGCTGGTCGGACCGAGAGTCGTAAGTTCAACCGCCGTGCAATAGACGGCGGCGGTGGCGTCTACAGCTGCAGGACGTGAAGAACCAGTGGTATACACATCTGTAGAACGTGAAGAACCAGTGGCATCCACATCTGTAGAACGTGAGGAACCAGTGGCATCCACATCTGTAGAACGGGAAGAACCAGTGGCATCTACATCTACAGAACGTGAAGAAGCAGTGGCATCTACATCTGCAGAACATGAAGAACCAGTGGCATCTACATCTGCAGCACGTGAAGAACCAGTGACATCTACATGTACAGAACGTGAAGAACCAGTGACATCTACATCTGTAGAACGTGAAGAACCAGTGGCATCTACATCTACAGAACGTGAAGAAGCAGTGGCATCTACATCTGCAGAACATGAAGAACCAGTGTCATCTACATCTGCAGAACGTGAAGAACCAGTGGCATCTATATCTGCAGCACGTGAAGAACCAGTCACATCTACATGTACAGAACGTGAAGAACCAGTGACATCTACATATGTAGAACGTGAAGAACCAGTGGCATCTACATCTACAGAACGTGAAGAAGCAGTGGCATCTACATCTGCAGAACATGAAGAACCAGTGGCATCTATATCTGCAGCACGTGAAGAACCAGTGACATCTACATCTGTAGAACGTGAAGAACCAGTGTCATCTACATCTGCAGAACGTGAAGAACCAGTGGCATCTACATCTGCAGCACGTGAAGAACCAGTTACATCTACATCTGTAGAACGTGAAGAACCAGTGGCATCTACATCTGAAGAACGTGAAGAACCAGTGGCATCTACATCTACAGAACGTGAAGAACCAGTGACATCTACATCTACAGAACGTGAAGAACCAGTGGCATCTACATCTATAGAACATGAACCAGTGGCATCTACATCTGCAGAACGTGAAGAACCAGTGGCATCTATATCTGCAGCACGTGAAGAACCAGTGACATCTACATGTACAGAACGTGAAGAACCAGTGACATCTACATATGTAGAACGTGAAGAACCAGTGGCATCTACAGAACGTGAAGAAGCAGTGGCATCTACATCTGCAGAACATGAAGAACCAGTGGCAGCTATATCTGCAGCACGTGAAGAACCAGTGACATCTACATCTGTAGAACGTGAAGAACCAGTGTCATCTACATCTGCAGAACGTGAAGAACCAGTGGCATCTACATCTGCAGCACGTGAAGAACCAGTGACATCTACATCTGTAGAACGTGAAGAACCAGTGGCATCTACATCTGAAGAACGTGAAGAACCAGTGGCATCTACATCTACAGAACGTGAAGAACCAGTGACATCTACATCTACAGAACGTGAAGAACCAGTGGCATCTACATCTATAGAACATGAACCAGTGGCATCTACATCTGCAGAACGTGAAGAACCAGTAGCATCTACATCTGCAGCACGTGAAGAACCAGTGACATCTACATCTGTAGAACGTGAAGAACCAGTGGCATCTACATCTGAAGAACGTGAAGAACCAGTGGCATCTACATCTACAGAACGTGAAGAACCAGTGACACCTACATCTACAGAACGTGAAGAACCAGTGGCATCTACATCTGAAGAACGTGAAGAACCAGTGACATCTACATCTACAGAACGTGAAGAACCAGTGACGTCTACATCTGCAGAACGTGAAGAACCAGTAGCATCTACATCTGTAGAACATGAACCAGTGACATCTACATCTACAGAACGTGAAGAACCAGTGACGTCTACATCTGCAGAACGTGAAGAACCAGTGGCATCTACATCTGCAGAACGTGAAGAACCAGTGGCATCTACATCTGCAGGATATTATAAAACTTTTAAAGCCACTCCCCATGTTTAGTGTACACGCTGTACAACGCGTTTGGAATCGACGGGAGTAAAGTTCGTCAGGAGAGGAGTCCCTGCACCTTTCGTGAGCGAGAAATGAAGAAGAAGAAGAACCACAGACGACGAGTTCTACTCTGCCTTCAACTGCAGCCTGCGCGGGTTAAGGGTAGAGGCGCAGCCCGGCAAGTGCTGCTTGCTCTCGCCACTGCTGGCCAGATATCTTGGAGGAGGGGAGGAGAGGGGCGGGGGGCAGTGGTGGTGGGGGAGGGGGCAGCGGGGGAGGGAGGCAGTGGTGGTGGGGGGGTAACGATGGGGGGGGTTAGGGGCAGTGGTGGGGGGGGGTGGATTACCACCCTCCCCCAACACTACCTTGAGAGACCCCAATATTTTTTTTTATTGATGTCAGAGATAATACAGTGGAGATAAATAATAATTATTATTTGTATTAACGCGGGGGCCCTGTTTAAAATGCTTCCAACTCCCCCGGGCAGTCTCTCGTGCCGGCCTCTGGGTTCGGGACGCAGAGCGGTCGCTGGCGCGAGTTTAACGGTAACCTGCGTGCCGTCGGGAACCGGAGTCCAACAGCGACGTCCGGATCACGCCGACCTACCGACCGTCGTGCCAGCGTCCCGGAGAGAGAGACGGAGAGAGAGACGGAGGAGAGAAAGACGGAGAGACATACAGAGGAGAGAGCCGGAGAGAGAGACGGAGAGAGAGACACGGAGAGACATACGGAGAGACGGAGAGAGACGGAGAGAGAGACACGGAGAGACGGAGAGAGAGACGGAGGAGAGAGACGGAGAGAGAGACGGAGAGACATACGGAGGAGAGAGAGACGGAGAGAGAGACACGGAGAGACGGAGAGAGAGACGGAGGCACACAGAGAGAGACGGAGAGACGGAGAGAGAGAGACGGAGGAGAGAGACGGAGGAGAGACGGAGAGAGAGACACGGAGAGACGGCGGAGGAGAGAGAGACGGAGAGAGAGACACGGAGAGACGGAGAGAGAGACACGGAGAGACGGAGAGAGAGACGGAGGAGAGAGAGAGACGGAGGAGAGAGAGACGGAGAGAGAGACACGGAGAGACGGAGAGAGAGACGGAGGAGAGAGAGACGGAGAGAGGTTCAAGGGTCACGCCAAGCCAGCGCGTGTGACGAGCGTCTCCTCCCTGCCCCCCGCCCCCCCCGTGTGCGGCAGGACGTAGCGGCCGTGGGGATCACCAAGCCGGGTCACAGGAAGATCGTCGGCTTGGAAATCTCGAGGCTTGCCGTGGCGGACGAGCTGCCGACCACCAAACCGGTCGGCCGAGGGCACTGTCCCCCTCCCACCCACCCCATGCAAGAACGAGAGCGCCAAATGTGCACTTAGTAACGCATTTTAATCGTGCGTGCGCATGTGTTCCGCAGGCTACGCTGCGCGAATGGCTGTCTCAAATAGGACTCGGGCACTACCACGCCATCCTGGCTGACAATGGCTACGACAAGGTGGATTTTATCTCCGAGATAACGCTGGAAGACTTGCAGGAGATAGGAATCACTAAACTAGGTAATTGGCTCTCACTCACGCGCTCGCAAGAACACGAACACATGCACGCGAACTATATGCACAGATGTCATTCTACACAACAACAACAACAGGCGGTGACGTCACCACGGCACCTGTGCCAGGCCAGGTGCACCATGAGGCCACGTCAAGTGTCGAAGGCTCTCTGCTGATAGGAGGTCACGGGGCGTTATAGTAGGTGCCATGGGTTGGCTGAGATGACCGGCCGATGCACCACCAGCGCCCCCTACTGTGCCATTTCGCTGCGTTCTGAGCATCGCTCCTCTGCCCTCCGCTGTTGTTGGAGGGCGACCGCATCCCACTGCGCCCTTCACGAGTCTCCTAATTCTCCACACACACACACAATGTACGCACACTTACACAACAGCAACAACAGCCGCCATTTGCCACGAAGCGACTCATTTATGACGATCATTAAGGGGGGGAAAAAAAAGCTTGCTTTTCACGATGCCATACGAAAGAAGAATAAGAGGAAGAAGTCGGGGGTCACGGGATCAGAACGTCGCAACGACAGACATTCGATAAACACCGCAGTCGTGCAAGGTCTGTTAGGGCCGGCATCGGCACACCGAGGGTTGGCGTGTGGCCGGTACAACACGCAGACGCCCGCGTCCCCAGCGGCGACGTTCACCACCAACGCACCGAGAAAACTAATTTAAGGCTGAGTCGACCTACGCGAGAGCCAGGACCGTTTCATTTACCACCGCGTCGCTGCTGTTAAAACCGCGGCCGGGGAATTAAACCAAGGTCGCCGAGGTCCGTAGCTCGGCGTTGCCGTGGCCGCTCCGCCGATGCACGTTGAGAGGCGCGAGTGAGGCTGTTCGTCTTGCGGACGGGAACCAGCTCCTACCACAGTAATGTGGAATGTCCACCGCTGGCTTCCAACAGAGGGACGACCGCTGTAGCGCTCCTCATCCTCCGTAGTTTCCTCCAGCAGCATCGGCGCACGCCTACAACCGTGCTCACAACCGGTCACTCTTACAACCGCCTATGCCGCGCTGTCCCGTCTAGGGGCAGCATTCGCAACGCGTAACCCCCTCCTGACACCCCTCCCGACCCCCCCTCCCGACCCCCCCTCCCGACCCCCCCTCCCAACCCCCCCTCCCGACCCCCCCTCGCCCCCAACTTCCTCCAGGTCACCAAAAGCGGCTCCTCTTGGCCGGCAAGAGGCTCAAGGCGCTGCAGAAGCGCGAGGCGGCGCAGGCCCAGAGCACCCCTCGCCTGCCCGGTGGCACCGCCGCCCTCTTCAGCAGCGGCCCCGGCAGCGACAGCGGCCTCAGCAACGCATCTGACTTCGCCGACGAGGGCAGCCCGGCGCCGTTTCACCAGCTGGGGCGGCGCGGCTCGCGCCAGCAGCAGCAGCAGACGGCGGCGGCGGCGTTCGTGTTCCCGCCGATGCGGCCCGCCGCTCCCCCTCCCGCTACTCCGACCGCTAACCCCGCCGCTCACCCCGCCGCTCACCTCGCCGCTCACCCCGCCGCTCACCCCGCCACTCCCCGTCCCGCTACTCCGACCGCTAACCCCGCCGCTCACCTCGCCGCTCACCCCGCCGCTCACCCCGCCGCTCCCCGTCCCGCTACTCCGACCGCTCCCCCCGCCGCTCCCCCGTTCCCGCTCAAGGTCTCCGAGGACTTTCAGCGGGCGCTGTCGGCGGTCGGAAGGCAACGTGCCGCCGCCACCCGCCGCCGCCACCGCCGCCGCCGTTCCCTTGCCGCCGAAATTTCCACCGGAGGCTCGCCTTCGGCCTGACTCGCCGCCGGAGCAGAGCGGCGCCGGCGCCGGCGGCTTTGGGGGATTCGCGAGAAGCGCGTCGCTGCGTTCGCGCGCCAGCGCGGCGTCGCCGCCGCCGCCCGCGGACGGAGGCCTCGCGCGGAGCAACTCGTTCGCCACGCGGCAGAAGAGGAAGGGACCCCCGCCACCGCCCCCCAAGCGCTCCGCTTCCGTCAGCGGCGGCGGCTACAGCAGCGGCGGCAGCAGCAGCGGCATCGGCGGCAGCAGCAGCAGCAGCATCGCCAGCAGCAACAGCGGTCGGTCGGTCGGAGGGGGAGAAGCGTCGAGCAGGAGCGATGGCGGCGGGGACGGGGACGCGCCGGCAAACGTGCGACGCCTCGCCGCTCTGCTGGAGAGGTCGACCTTCGCCGCGTCGCTCGGCGGAGCGGCGCTCGTCGCGCCAGATCGGCAGCCGCAGCCGCAGCCGCAGCTGCAGCCGCAGCAGCCGCAGCAGCAGCAGCCGCAGCTCTGGCGGCAGCAATCACAGAAGAGGCCGAGCGAATTGGCGGTAAACAACCCAAGCGCCACCGCTGTTAATCCGACAGGCAGAACTGCCAGCCCGAATGTGAGCGTCGTTTATCCGAACGGCAGGATGGTTGTCAGCCCAGGCGACGGCAGCGCCGTGACCCCGGGCGACTGCGGCAGAACCCTCGGCGTCGCCAAGCGTCGGCCCTCCGTGTCGGAGGAAGCCGGGGCGGCCCTCGACGGCCTCCCGGGCCCCGCAAGGGCCGGCGGGTCCGGCGTCGACGACCGCGCGACGAGCTCGCGCTCTCCCTCCGCCGCCAGATCGCACGGCGCGACCGGGGGGGTGCCCACGCAAGTGATCCGGTGGAACGGAGGGCGGGACGGAACCGGCTCCCTCTCGGCCGCCGAGCCTTTGCCGTCGCCGCCTCCCGGGCAGTCGAAGCGAGAGGTTCCGCTAGCCGGGCCGGAGAAAATCGTCGCCAAAAGCGGGCCGGGTTTCCTCCGCCCGCCGGTCGACCGCAGGGCGGCGGTCGTCGCGTTTGGCGGCGGCGGCGGCGGCCGTAGCGTCGCCCCTCCCGCGCCGCGCCTTAGCGGGGCGGAGTCGGGCGCGCCGACGAGCCGGGTGGAGGACCGCTGGAGCGGCCGCTCGAGCGAGCGGTCGGCGCTGCGGCGCCCGGCGGCCGGTCAAGAGGCGGCGGGGCAGGCGTTCCCGTTCGGCGGTGCCGGGGACGTCGCCGGGGCCGACGAGCGGTCGGGGACGCGGGCGCGGCCGTCGGTCAAGCGCCAGGCCTCGCTGCGTCCGTCGGACGCCGGCGAGCTGAATCCGTGCCGCGGGTTGCCTCCTCCGCCGCCGGCCTCGGCGAAACCTCAGCGCGGCAACGGCGGCGGGGCGGTCGCCGCGAGGACCTACATGGGCTTCCCGTTGGCTCCCGGCTGCGTGGGGCCAGAGGCCGAGTCCCCGAGTGGAAAGGTCGTGAGGTGAGATGAAGCCGCCGCTCCGTTGTGTGTGGGGGAGTCACGGAGCGACGGCAGTTGGGTATGCGTCAGACCCATGGTAGACGTTTTTTGGGGTTAGATCGCGTAAACAGAGAGATGTGTCATTAAAACGGCCACCACCCCGGCGCAGCCAATAAGTAAAGTTTGTCACGTAAACGGAACGTGGCCGATTCGTTACCAGTACAGCAACACCGGTGTGTTGGAGAGCAAAGCCACAACATTTACAATCTGAGCGCATGACATTTCGCCAGAAATTACAACCAGCTCCATCAGGCGGACAGCGAGATTTGTGGAGAAATCCTCCTGTTTCGCTCCTTAAACAGAGGGGTAGACGTGATGGCATCACTTGCGAGCACTTCTTGAGCCGAAGTTGGTGGGGGTGGCGATTAACGAATGCACATAAATGACAACGCGTTACACGTACGGATGTTGAACGTGGATCGTGCACGGTACAGTCGTGTGCAGCATTTATGCGTGTCGAACTTCTGTCCGCACCGTACGTAGCCAACCGTGCCAATCCGAGGTGCCGGGTTTGTGGGGGGGGGGGCGCTCACTTACTTACTCCTCCTCGCTCCCTGTGGAGCACACGGCCACAACAAACCCACGCCATGCCGGCCGGTCTTGAGCAGCTTTCTCCGCTTCACCCCAAGACGGTGCCGTCGCCAGGCGGTCTTTGGCCTGCCCCCCCCCTCCCCCCCCGTGGTCTCTTTCCCTTGCGGTGTCGACCAGAGGGAAGCTTTCGCGATGGACTCGGGTGTATAGTAGTGTAGTGTATAGTGGTGTATAGTGTAGTGTATAGTGTAGTGCATAGTAGTGTATTGTATACTAGTGTAGTGTATAGTAGTGTATAGTGTAGTGTATCGTAGTGTATTGTATAGTAGTGTATAGTAGTGTATAGTGTAGTGTATAGTGTAGTGTATAGTGTAGTGTATAGTAGTGTAGTGTATAGTGTAGTGTGTAGTATAGTAGTGTGTAGTGTAGTGCATAGTGGTGTAGTGCCTCCATAGAGCCCAATGTGTTCGCTTACCGACCATTCCCCTGTGAACGACGGGCTGTTGTAGGTACAGTAAATAATTAATTAACGCATTGACTAATCGTGTTTGTTTTAACACCATGTGTTTATCGTGTTGTTAGTGTCTGTACGTGTTAATATCCATCGTTTTCAAGTACTTTTTTGGGTGTAAAAGGGGGCGTATTAGGCCTGTAACGTGGTATCTGCTCTGCTCACTTAGCAACCAAATCACTTCACGGCCCGTTTCGTGGAACCAATTAGCGTGGTTAAGAGAGGTTTGACTGTATTTATATTGGCGTGTATATGCAGGACAGTCTTGATTATCCGCGCTAATGAATCAGAATATTGATTCACACTGCGGGAGGAATCCGAGTGTCTCTAAAGCTCTTTATCACATGTCCAGCAGTGGGCACGGAGTAAGAACGTCACAACAATAAACAGAAACAAACAGAAACACGACAGCGGAGTGCAAAGTACAAGAGAGCTGAACATATCACGCAAACACTCAAACACACAAACACGCAAACACACAAACACACAAACACAAACACGCAAACACAAACACACAAACACACAAACACGCAAACACACAAACACACAAACACGCAAACACACAAACACACAAACACGCAAACACACAAACACAAACACACAAACACGCAAACACAAACACACAAACACGTAAACACAAACACACAAACACAAACACACAAACACGCAAACACAAACACACAAACACACAAACAACACTAAACCATCCCCAACCTACCAGGCAAAGCCCCGCTGAGGTGTTAACTTGGTTTTTTCACAAGGGACCTGGCCACAAATGATACCTCAACAAAGTGGCTCATCGTTTGGACCTTTATAGCAACAAAATAATCTAAAATAATCTCAAATAAATAATCCATATAATCTCAAATAATCTCAAATAAATAATCGAAATAATCTCAAATACTTTCAAATATATAATCGAAATAATCTCAAATAAATAATCGAAATAATCTCAAATACTTTCAAATAAATAATCGAAATAATCTCAAATAAATAATCGAAATAATCTCAAATAATCGAAATAATCTCAAATAAATAATCTAAATAATCTCAAATAAATAATCCATATAATCTCAAATAATATCAAATAAATAATCTAAATAATCTTAAATATATTATCTAAATAACCTAAAATAAATAATCTAAATAATTACAAATAATCTAAATAATCTCAAATAAATAATCTTAATAATCTCAAATAAATAATCCATATAACATCAAATCATCTTAAGTAAATAATCCAATAATCTCAAATACTCTCAAATAAATAATCTAAATAATCTCAAATATATAATCTTAATAATCTCAAATAAATAATCTAAATAATCTCAAATAAATAATCTAAATAATCTCAAATAAATAATCCATATAATCTCATAATCTCAAATAAATAATCTAAATAATCTCAAATACTTTCAAATAAATAATCTAAATAATCTCAAATATGTAATCTAAATAATCTCAAATAAATAATCGAAATAATCTCAAATAATCTAAATAATCTCAAATAAATAATCTAAATCATCTCAAATAGATAATCCATATAATCTCAAATAATCTCAAATAAATAATCAAAATAATCTCAAATAATCGAAATAATCTCAAATACTCTCAAATAAATAATCTAAATAATCTCAAATATGTAATCTAAATAATCTTAAATAAATAATCTAAATAATTACAAATAATTTAAATAATCTCAAAAAAATTATCTCAAATAAATCATCTATAAAATCTCAAATAATCTCAAATAAATAATCTAAATAATCTCAAATACTCTCAAATAAATTATATAAATAATCTCAAATATATAATCTAAATAATCTCAAATAAATAATCTAAATAATCTCAAATAAATAATCGAAATAATCTCAAATACTCTCAAGTAAATTATATAAATCATCTCAAATATATCATCTAAATAATCTCAAATAAATAATCGAAATAATCTAAAATAAATCTAAATCTCAAATAAATAATTTAAATCATCTCAAATGATCTCAAATAATCTAAATCACCTCATATAATCTGAAATAAGTAATCTAAATAATCTTAAATATAACCTAAATAATCTCAATGGATGTTTCTAATGATGGGCAGGACAGCCGTGGAAAATATGAAATCGCGGAAAATCCAAAAGTATAACAATTTTCTGTGGCTCTCTGTGTCAAAAACCACAAAATTACGTTTTAAGTTAAGGAAATGTAGTTTGTTAAAGAACGAATACTAACGATCGATCGATTTGTCGCATTCTCGGTGGTAATAAAACTTTCCTGGGTCCCGCCCAGCAGGAGACTCGGCCCACTAAGCAGACATCAGCAGAGCGACAGCCAATCAACATCAATCAAACTCCGCCCCCGCCACTGTTGGCAACTCCTGTAGTGTAGAGCCAATGGCGTGGATTTCGGATTAACCAGAGCAACATATTTGTTCGGTTTAAGCACGTGACTTGTAATAAACATTTCCAAAAAATAACGATGTACAGTAAAACCTTAGGATTGCGAGCATAATTTGTTCCGGAAACGTGTTTGTAATCTAAAGCACTCGTATATCAAAGCAGTCGTGTATCAGTTGTGATCATGTGACGCTCGTCAGACAAAGCGTGTACACGTACACTACTCGTATTGCAAGACACTCGCTCGTTTATCAAATTAAAATTTAAGTTTTTTGCTCGTCCTGCGAAACACTCGCAGGCCAAGTTACTCGCGATCCAAGGTTTTACTGTATAACTGTTGTTAGATTGTAAATGTTTGGGCTTAAGGGAAAATTCACGAGTCGTTATTTCACGTAAACATCTCAGGAGCGCGGTTAATCCGCAAAATCAGATAAACCGCACGCGGAGAGTCGAGACTCTATGATGTGTTTATGTATTGACGGAACTGGGCACGGCACGGCAGACGTTCATTATTCTCTCGCGGCTGGGCAGGCGCCGGCTTGGCTCACCGCTGCAGCGCTGCGCTGGTGACGACGCTGTGCCCGTGCGCGCTTCCCCCTTGCAGATACGACGCGGAGGAGCAGCAGCAGCAGAAGACGCCGGCAGATATTCTGGATGACATCGGCTGCATGTTCGATGACCTCGCGAGCCAGCTCAACTCCATGCTTGAGTGAAGTCGGCCCGGCGACGCTTGGGGCGATGAACGCCGGAGCCCTCGACGCCGAGAGAGACGAGTCGATGGCTCCCCAGCCCCCCCCCCGGCCCCCCCCGGCCCCCCACCTCCATCCGCCACAAACGCCAAATGCTGCTGCTGCTGGTGCTCGCCGACCGGCACTTGCCCCCGACTGTCTGTGAAGGCAACACGACACGGGGTTGAGGATGGGGGGGGGGGGCGATCTTTTGTCGTTGATGAGACTCTGAGATCGGTCCTCGTACGGACACCTCACGGTCGTGTGCCGTCTCGTCTCGGGCTGGGGGGGGGGTGGAGGGGGCTTGGCCCCCTGGGCTTAATCCCCGGGCCCGGGTGTGTGTCTCTCGCCAATCCCGTACGTCATTTCCCACCAAACGATATATCGCGAACACAAAATTGAGTCAGCGTGTTCGCCCACGCCGATTAAATAAGCTTTGCGCGCGTTACTTTTTGTGTTTTAAAGGTTAACTCGCGCGCTAGCAGCGGCAGCGCCATAAAAGCGGCCGCGCGGGTACGGACGCGAGGGGGATCTTCCGCGGGCCCCGTACGGCACTCGCAAAGGCGTGCCAGACACCGGGTAAAGGCGCAGTCCTGCGACTGTTCCCGCTCACGCAACCACCGACGGCGGTAAGGGGCCTTCACCCCCAGCCGGAACGCATTAACTTCTCCCTCTTGAATACCACGAATAAAAAACTATGATTCATACTACCGGAACATGAACAAAAACAATGCAGCTATAAGGTTATTTTTTTAGGACGGGCGGTGGGGGGGTGGGAATTTAAATGTTAGGGTAAGTTTAATCGGGGTAGTTTGCCCAGCCTTAATTTTTTTGTATGAAATAACATGAGTAAAATATTACGTAATGACCCGAAACAAAAGATACAGGGACTCCTCTGCGTATGAACGAGTTAGGTTACAGGAGTCTGTTTGAAAGTCGATTTGTTCATAAGTCCAACTTTACTGCTGTCGATTCCAAACGCGTTGTACGGCGTGTACACTAAACATGGGGAGTGGCTTCAAAAGTTGTATCATCTCCTGCAGATGTAGATGCCACTGGTTCTTCATGTTCTGCAGATGTAGATGCCACTGGTTCTTCACGTTCTGCAGATGTAGATGCCACTGGTTCTTCAGGTTCTGCAGATGTACATGCCACTGGTTCTTCACGTGCTGCAGATGTAGATGCCACTGGTTCTTCAGGTTCTGCAGATGTAGATGCCACTGGTTCTTCACGTTCTGCAGATGTAGATGCCACTGGTTCTTCACATTCTTCAGATGTAGATGCGACTGGTTCTTTACGTTCTGCAGATGCCACTGGTTCTTCATGTTGTGCAGATGTAGATGCTACTGGTTCTTCACGTGCTGCAGATGTAGATGCCACTGGTTCTTCACATCTGCAGAACGTGAAGAATCAGTGGCATCTGCAGAACGTGAAAAACCAGTGGCATCTACACCTGCACAACGTGAAGAACCAGTGTCATCTACATCTGCAGCACGTGAAGAACCAGTGGCATCTACAGATTGTGAAGAACCAGTGGCATCTACATCTGCAGAACGTGAAGAACCAGTGGCATCTATATCTGCAGAACGTGAAGAACCAGTAGCATCTACATCTAACTAATCGGCACGTTTTGTTTACGTGACAGACCCCGACCGGCTGTGTCGGGTGGCGGCGGCTTTAACGACACAATTTTAATATTTACGCGATCTAACTCCACCCCCCCCCCCCCCCACCTAAAAAACCTGTTTATAAATAATGTTGGTCGCCAAAGCTTCCTCCTGACTCCGACGTGTTAAACTGACGACGCGTAGTAGTAGTACTCTCCCCCGTACGAGAGTTAAGACATGATGGGGGTTTTATATTTTTTTAAACATATTTTTTTTTACAACAGAAAAAAACACGAAACTTCACGTTTGTTGTTGTTGTTGTTGGCCCAAGCTGGCACGGATTTAGTCGTTCGTGCGTTTCACGTTGACTCAACGCGTGCCGACGACGATAATAACGATGCTGACGATGATGCTAAGCTGATTTTATTACGTGCTAGCGACGAATATAGCCAAATTATTGGCAAGCAAAGTTGATCGACTCTGGGGCGTGTAAATATAGGAACGTTTCATTAAATAAATTGAGTACCATTTAAACTTTCTCGTTGAAGCGATGAATGTTGCCAACGTGGTTTTGATCTGTGTGTGTGTGCGCGCGTGTGCGGTAGTGTTGCGGTTAGCGCGCTGGGCTATGAACCTGGCGACCCGGGTTCGATTCCCGCTCACGGCCACCAACACCAGTGACGATTATCTGAACCGGTCCCGGGCATCCCCTAAGTCGACTCAGCCTCAAATGAGTACCTGGTGCGGTGTGTAAACATCGCCACTAGGGAGACAAAGGCGGTCGGGCGTGGTGCTGGCCACCCACCCCGGCCTTCATAGGTGCTCGCTAACAGCACTTGCCCCTACAGTCTGTTACAGGCTATATGGGGGATCTTTGTCTTTGTTGTCTCGTGTAAGTCAGTAGTATAAGTGTAAAAGTTTCGTGTGTTTTGGAGAGACGACACGACAGTGATGCGAGATGAAGAGGAGGAGGTGGTGGTGGTGGGGAGCGCGATGCGGTGCGATCGTGGAGCAGGACAGGGCAGCGGTGGGGAAAGTTGGCAAGGAAAGGGGGACACCCCCCCCCCCACGTTAAGGGTCCGTCCATAAATGACGTCACGCACCTGGGGGGGGGTCAGACATTTGTGACGATGGGGGGGGGGGTTTGAGAAATGTGACGTCACATCAAAATGCAGCAACTTTAAATAGATATAGACACAACACGTTCTACTTAATTAAATACTTTTTAATAAATGTTTTCTCCTACAACATCAGAGTGCAGCGCCACATCAAATACGCACTACAATGTGACAATAGTTTAAAGCGATTTGAAGCGTGTGTTTTATTTTTTTGGGGGGGGCGGGGCAGAGCTTTGTGACGTCATATTTGAGGGGGGGGTCTGACTTTTTGTGACACCGTGTGACGAGGGGGGGGGGGGGGAGTCAAAAATCGCGTGACGTCATTTATGGACGGCCCCGAAGACGTTAAAACACCAAACTGAAACCTTTGTGCAAGGAATCACACGTCTGCATTGAGCACGCGTACTCGCGGTGAACGTGCAAACAATTCAAACATGCACTTGGTTCTTTTGGTAAAGTCACGAAGAAGGGAAACAATAAAATAATAAAAATATAAAACAATAAAATAATAAAATATAAAACAATAAAATATAAGACGATAAAATATAAAACAATAAAATAAAATATAAAACAATAAAATAAAATATTAAAAATAAAATTCTCACATTCTTAGCTCTTTCGGTAAAGTCACGTTGAAGGGAAACAATAAAATAATATATATAAAACAATAAAAATTCTCACGACGTTTCGACCATAACACAAACCGACACACCTGATGACGACCGTTTGCGTTATGGTCGAAACGTCGTGAGAATTTTTGTTTTATATATATTTTATTATTTTTTTGTTTCCCTTCAACGTGACTTTACCGAAAGAGCTAAGAATATGAATTACTGCAGTCACGAAAGATTTAAATCAAAATTTAAATTCTCACAATTAAATTCTCACAATATTGAGAATTTTGGTTTATATTGAGAATTTTATTGTTTTATATTTTTATTATTTTATTGTTCCCCTTCTACGTGACTTTACCAAAATAACCAAGAATATGAATCCCTGCAGTCACGTAAGCTTTAAATCAAAATTCAAACATGTTCTGCTAGGTATATGATGCATTGTCTTTGAAACGGAATTGGTCCACACCAGATGACAAGTTTCTTTTAGATCAGGAGTGGGAAACGTTCCGGCCCGCGAAATCATTTGGGTCTCTGTCCCTGCCGAGGCAACCGCAGGCGGGACTCGAAATTCAACAAATCTAGAAGCAAACCTGGAAAAGCAGTTGCGAGTAGCGACAACATCGCCAATAGCCGGCTAACATCAATACCAGCTAACATCATCGCCACGCCTCGCCAAAGAGAAGCGGTTCCAGCCCATCGCATTACGGGCGAGTTCATTCAATGTTTGACCAAATGCAACGGGCTCATTTTCAAGTTGATTATTTTGTATGGCCCGCGAATGATGTTACGTAAATATCCAGACTGGCCCTTGGCAGGAAAAAGGTTCCCCACCCTCTGCTTTAGGGCCTCGTCTCAAACAGCGTTAGACCAGAGGGCGCCAAAAGGCGAACAGCATTTGGGGGGGGGGGGGGGGGTTGGGGCAGGCCCTGGGCTTGGACGTTTCGCTATCAGATGCGAGTCATTCGTCTGGGCGGGGGGCACGCGGTGGGGTTCGCCCCGTGCCCAGCAACCTCCACGTTATGGACGGCCCCGGCTCTGAATTAAAGAGGGGGGGGGGCACGATGGGGTTCACCCCGAGCCCCACCGCCCCCCTCCCCCAACTTATCGATGGCCCCGACTCTGAATTAAAGAAGGGGGGTGGGGTGCACACGGTGGGGTTTACCCCAGGCCCAACCCCCCCCCCCCCCAACTTATCGACGGCCCCGACTCTGAATGAGAAGGGGGGTAGGGCTTGCAGGGGGCACCGCGTCACGGTGGTCTCGAGGCTCCAAGCGCGGAGCAACGGCAGCCGGAGGAGGGAACTCGTCCGCCTCACGGAGAACCATTGGGAAGTGAATGGGGGGGGGACACTTGGGGGGGGGGGGTCACCGATGGTCTTCAATGCTTGGGGTGGGGCCACCACAACCAAACTTGCCGATAACCCTCGACCAACAAAAGTAGAGCAGGCAGTTTTTATTTTAAAAAAATTTGTTTGTTAGCTGAAAAAAATAGAAAGCCTTAATATTACCAGGAGCCGCGCAATGCAAAGTTGTGAACAACGAGAGGGGGGGAGAGGGGCCCCTTAATAAACAAAGTCACGACAGCGAGTCCCTTGAAGGGCCTCCCCGCACGCGGCTACCGGAGCGTCAGGATTCCGGGGAGCCCCAGACCTTGGAGAATGCCGGCGGCTACAATCGAACCAAACCGATTAAAAATGGCGGAATAAAAAAAATTAAAACACAAATCAGAATGAAGAATCTTTATTTTAGACTGCAGGAGGGATCCGATGGGCTACGAAGCGCTTTAACACGAGGTGTCCAGTAGTGGCACCGGGAGTCAGTAAGTAACAATAAAATACAAAAGTTATCCCAACTTTAGTTTTGACCAGCCGGCCCTTCAGCCATCATAGCCATGCTGCTCTGAAGGGTCAATTTCTGAAGCGTCACTTATCACGCGAATATTTATAGGTCGCCGCTGGTATCCTGGCTGTCTGGGTGTTGTTTATTGGGGGGGGGGTCATCATAATGGCCGTGTCAAGAGACACAGCCAACACCGCTGGTATTCTGACTGTCTGGGTGTTGTTTATTGGGGGGGGGGGTCATAATGGCCGTGTCAAGAGACACTGAGCTGGCACCGCTGAGATCCTCGTTTCAAGGGTTCGTTGCCGTGTTGGGTTCATCGCAGATTCTGCCACTTCCTTACAGAGTCCTTCAACACCCCCGAGTTTGCGAATGCACCACAGAGACATCGCCTGGGAGTCTGCTCCAAAACAATTGACTTGGAATTTTTTTTAAAAAATATATATTAATTATAGACGCACGTTTCTAATAGCAAACAAAAAAAATAGGCCAATTTTAGTTTCCTTTCTACCAGGTGTAAACTTGTTTCGTTGCCGGGATATTATGCACACACGCTCCGGCAACAACTCAACTTTGTTTCTGAACGGGAAAACGAAACGACGTCTCATTCCCCAACACGTTCTCTTACAAACCGAATATCCGTTCAGCGGAGCGTCTTAGAACTCCAACCGGCCCCCCCCCCCCCCGAAATCCGGGGCCCCCTCCTCCTGGAATCGAGGTCGTGCTGATACCAAACAGAGAGCCTCTCTCTTCCCAACTCTGCCACGACTCCCACCCGTCGCTTCTCTCCTCTCTCCGCCGCCCATCGCGACGATTTCTCTCTCTCTCTGGCTCAGGACAACGCCGGGGCGGCTTCTCCCCCACCGCCGCCGCCCTTCGCGAGCCTCGCACGCTTCCCTCCGTCCTCGCTGTCGCTCGCTTCTCCGCGAGTCGGCGCGCTCCTCTTGGTCGACGATTGTTCCGAGAACTCTGACGGGGTTTCCACCGCGGGAAGTGCTGCGGCTGCTGCGGCGGGTTTGTCTGACGCATCGTCCCGCTTCTTCTGCTCCCCAAGCGACAGATTCTGCTGCTGCTGCTGCTCCCCAAGCGACAGATTCTGCTGCTGCTGCTGCTGTTGCCGTTTCTTCTGCTCCCCAAGCGACAGATTCTGCTGCTGCTGCTGTTGCCGCTTTTTCTGCTCCCCTTGCGACAGATTCTGCTGCTGCTGATTACGTTGCTTCTGCTGCTGCTGCTGCTGTTTCTGCTGTTGATGGTCCTGCTGCTGCTGCTGATGCTGCTGCTGATGCTGCTGACGAATGCACCTCTTGTCCTTGCGCTCCTCCATTTCTTCGATGTCCTCTGCAAACAGGGCCTTGAGCGGAGGGATCAGTTTGGGGAGAATGGAAAAGTCCGAGAACCGGACCTGTGGCGTGGGGAGGGGGGGGGACACGACAGAAGAAGGAAAAAACAACGCACGAATCAGAGGTGGCATCCAATCGCCGTCCTCATCATCAAACACGATCAATCCACTGCTGGATGGAGGTCTGCTGCTCCCCTCTACCCAAGCCGCCACCGCCCCCCCGGTCGCCCACGGTTCACGACGTAGGAATCCACCCTCCCCGCCGCCCGCAGTCACCTGGCCAGGCAGGAACTGATTCTGTCGCCCCATCTCAGCTTAGCGATGTTTGATGCCACGGTGACGGCTGCCGTCCCTAGTGGCAATATCTTGGAATCCATAAGAGGATTTTTAATGGGTTTGATCGCGTAAATAAAAACGCGTCGTGAAACCCGTCGCCACGCGACACAGCCAATTAATGGGGTTTGTCACGTCAACAAAACGTGACAATTCGTTATTAGTAACATCCACAGCATTACGAGTAACTCCAGAACACTCAGAGATAACGTTGTGGATTTACTCTCCAACACACCGGTGTGCTGGGCTAGTAACGAGTTGGCACGTTCTGTTTGACGCGACAAACCTCACTGATTGGCTGTGCTGGGTGGTGGTGGGCTTAAGGACACATTTATATTCACGTGATCTATCCCAAAAAAACCTCGATTATGGATTCCAGATATTTGCCACGAGGACGGCAGCCGTTATCATGGCATCAAACATCGCTAAGCCCTTGTGCAGCAACAGCTGAACATCAGCAAGAGAACAGCAGACCGGGTCTCAGGGCCTTGAGACTCGGCTCCAGGAGACCGGGTCTCAGGGCCTTGAGACTCGGCTCCAGGAGACCGGGTCTCAGGGTCTTGAGGCTCTGCTCCAGGAGACTGGGTCTCAGTGTCTTGAGACTCTCGGCTCCAGGAGACCGGGTCTCAGGGTCTTGAGACTCTGCTCCAGGAGACCGGGTCTCAGGGTCTTGAGACTCTGCTCCAGGAGACCGGGTCTCAGGGTCTTGAGGCTCTGCTCCAGGAGACTGGGTCTCAGTGTCTTGAGACTCTCGGCTCCAGGAGACCGGGTCTCAGGGGTCTGGAGACTCTGCTCCAGGAGACTGGGTCTCAGGGTCTTGAGACTCTGCTCCAGGAGACCGGGTCTCAGGGTCTTGAGACTTGGCTCCAGGAGACCGGGTCTCAGGGTCTTGAGGCTCTGCTCCAGGAGACTGGGTCTCAGTGTCTTGAGACTCTCGGCTCCAGGAGACCGGGTCTCAGGGGTCTGGAGACTCTGCTCCAGGAGACCGGGTCTCAGGGGTCTGGAGACTCTGCTCCAGGAGACCGGGTCTCAGGGTCTTGAGACTCTGCTCCAGGAGACTGGGTCTCAGGGTCTTGAGGCTCTGCTCCAGCAGACCGAGTCTCAGGGACTTGAGACTTGGCTCCAGGAGACCGGGTCTCAGGGGTCTGGAGACTCTGCTCCAGGAGACCGGGTCTCAGGGTCTTGAGATTGCTCCAGGAGACCGGGTCTCAGGGTCTTGAGGCTCTGCTCCAGCAGACCGGGTCTCAGGGTCTTGAGGCTCTGCTCCAGCAGACCGGGTCTCAGGGTCTTGAGACTCTGCTCCAGGAGACCGGGTCTCAGGGTCTTGAGACTCGGCTCCAGGGGACCGGGTCTCAGGGACTTGAGACTTGGCTCCAGGAGACCGGGTCTCAGGGTCTTGAGACTTGGCTCCAGGAGACCGGGTCTCAGGGGTCTGGAGACTCTGCTCCAGGAGACCGGGTCTCAGGGTCTTTAGACTCTGCTCCAGGAGACCGGGTCTCAGGGTCTTGAGACTTGGCTCCAGGAGACCGGGTCTCACAGGGAGGCTCGACCCACCTGCATGTGGTCGAAGGTGACTCCAACGCGAGCCGTGAGGTCCTGGATGAGCGGGATCTTGGCGTATCTCTGGCTGAAGTGGTTGAGCAGTGTGAACTCGGCGCCCATCCGGATGCCCACGTCGATAGCCTGGGACGTGGTGCTGCCACACGCACAGAGACGATGACCCGGGGGTGGTCGTGGGAGGTTGGGGGGGGGGGGCGGGGGAGGTGGTGGAGTGCGAGTTTTCTGGATTACAAGATGCTCGGAAAAGTAAGATGCACGGCAGACCCTCGCGGTTGATAAGAAACACAACGCGGTTTCACAACGGAAGGGAGAGTGTCACTGCACTGAGACGCACGCACGGCATGCCGATGCTGCTGCTACGATTTGCTACTGCTGCCAAGACCACTACAAATACTACTGCTGCTTCTGCTACCGCTGTTGCTGCTACTACACTACATCTGCTGCTACAACTCCTGCTGCTGCTCCGACAGCAGCTGCTGCTGCTACCGCTGCTGGTGCTGCTACTGCTGCTACCGCTGCTGCTGGCGCTGTTGCTACTGCTGCTGGTGTTGCTACAACTGCTGCTGCTACGACTGCAACTGCTGCTGGTACTACTACTGCTGCTACTGCTACTGCCACTACTCCTGCCGTTTCTGCTGCGACAACTAATTCGGCTGCTACTACTGCTGTTGCTGCTACTGCTGCTGTTGCTACTCCTACTGCTAATGCTGCTACTACTGCTGCTACTGCTGTTGCTGCTACTACGACTGCTACTACTTCTGCTGCTGCTACTGCTGCTACTACTACTGCTACTCCTACTGCTAATGCTGCTACTACTACTGCTGCTGCTGCTACTGCTGCTGTTGCTACTCCTACTGCTAATGCTGCTACTACTGCTGCTACTACTGCTGATGTTACTGCTGCTGTTGCTACTACTACTGCTGCTGCTGCTACTACTGCTGTTGCTACTGCTGCTGCTACTACTAATCCTGCTACCGCTACTACTGCTGTTACCACTACTACTACTACTGCTGCTACTGCTGCTGCTACTACTATTACTGCTGCTGCTACTACTGCTGCTACTTCTACTACTGCTGCTGCTACTACTGCTCCTGCTACTACTGCTGCTGCTACTACTGCTCCTGCTGATACTGCTCCGGCTACTACTAATCCTGCTACCGCTACTACTGCTGTTACCACTACTACTACTACTGCTACGGCTCATCCTGCTACGACTGCTCCTGCTGCTGGCACTACTAATCCTGCTACTACTGCTGCTGGCACTACTAATCCTGCTACTACTGCTGCTACTCCTGCTGCTGGCACTACTAATCCTGCTACTACTGCTGCTACTACTGCTGCTGGCACTACTAATCCTGCTGCTACTGCTGCTGGCACTACTAATCCTGCTGCTACTACTGCTGCTGGCACTACTACTGCTGCTACTCCTGCTGCTGGCACTACTACTGCTACTACTCCTGCTGCTGGCACTACTAATCCTGCTACTACTGCTGCTGGCACTACTAATCCTGCTGCTACTACTCCTGCTGCTGGCACTACTAATCCTGCTGCTACTACTCCTGCTGCTGGCACTACTAATCCTGCTGCTACTCCTGCTGCTGCCACCTGTGCGTCTTTTCCAGAGCCTCCTCCTCCAGGCCGTCCTCCAGCGTCGCCTCGTGGATGAGCAGCGTCGCCCCCTTCCCTGCGGCGACAAAGCACGACCACTCGGTGGGGGGGGGCGGTGAGAGGGGGGGGCTCTTCTCGCCCCCCCCTACGTACGCGCAGACGCTTTTGCTCAATCCACTGCTGGATGAGAGCCTTGCCGCGCCGTGCTTCAGGGGGTTGCGGTGGCTATGAGACGTTATCTCCCTCGCCTGGTTTGCGGGAGGTCGTGGGTTCCATCCCGACCCTGACGCCTGCTGCTGTGTGTTTGGAGTTTGCGTGTCTCTCTCTCTCATCATCATCACGGTGGCTAGGAGATGTTAACTACCTCGCCTGGTGTGCGGGAGGTCGTGGAGTTCGTCCCGACCCTGATGATGCCTGCTATATATTTAGAGTCTGCGTGTCTCTCTCTCATCATCATCACGGTGGCTAGGAGATGTTAACTGTCTCGCCTGGTATACAGGAGGTCGTGGCTTAGATCCCGACCCTGACGCCTGCTGCTGTATATTTGGAGTTTGTGTCTCTCTCTTCCCCGTGGTCGCGTGGATTTTTCTCCGAGCCTTCCGGTTTTTCCCTCCACGTTTACACTCAACGTCGCGTGTTTAGAGCATTTGGCTGCTATACATTTCCACGCGATAAGCCACTTTGTTGAGCTGTCATTTGTGATAGCCGGGTGGTCGCTTCATAAAAATAAACTACGCAGCGCAGTGCGGCCTTACCTGGCGAATAAAAAAATATATAGTTAAATAGTGACATAGCCATTGCCCGATGTTAGAAAGCTACTGGAGCTTGGCACTTTTAATTCATCATCCGGATTGAAAACTAATTTCTTTGAAAACTACTTTTCGTGTTTAGTTTGGTGTCCTTCCCCCCGCACCTCCAATCAGTGCTGCTGGCTACGTACGGTGTGAAAGAAGTTCAACATACGTACATGAACCTCTTTGAAAAGAAAAGAGAGGTGCAGCCAGACCCCAGCGTTTGAATCTCTGGCCAAAGGATCCCATTGCTTATGGTTTAGTGTCTTGGACACAGCAATAACATAGCCGTTACGAAGCTAGCACAGCAATTATGAAGCTAACACGGCCACCATGGAGCCAACACTGTCACCGTGAAGCCAACACGGCCATCTTGAAGCCAACACTGTCACCATGAAGCCAACATGGCCATCTTGAAGCCAACACGGCCATCTTGAAGCCAACACTGCCATCTTGAAGCCAACACGGCCATCTTGAAGCCAACACGGCCATCTTGAAGCCAACACTGTCATCTTGAAGCCAACACGGCCATCTTGAAGCCAACACGGCCATCTTGAAGCCAACACGGCCATCTTGAAGCCAACACGGCCATCTTGAAGCCAACACTGTCACCATGAAGCCAACACGGCCATCTTGAAGCTAACACGGCCATCTTGAAGCCAACACTGTCACCGTGAAGCCAACACTGTCACCGTGAAGCCAACACTGTCACCGTGAAGCCAACACTGTCACCGTGAAGCCAACACTGTCACCGTGAAGCCAACACTGTCACCGTGAAGCCAACACTGTCACCGTAAAGCCAACACTGTCACCGTAAAGCCAACACTGTCACCGTGAAGCCAACACTGTCACCGTGAAGCCAACACTGTCACCATGAAGCCAACACTGTCACCATGAAGCCAACACTGTCACCATGAAGCCAACACGGCCATCTTGAAGCTAACACTGTCACCGTGAAGCCAACACGGCCATCTTGAAGCCAACACGGCCATCTTGAAGCCAACACTGTCACCATGAAGCCAACACTGCCACCATGGAGCCAACACTGTCACCGTGAAGCCAACACGGCCATCTTGAAGCCAACACTGTCACCATGAAGCCAACACGGCCATCTTGAAGCCAACACGGCCATCTTGAAGCTAACACTGTCACCGTGAAGCCAACACGGCCATCTTGAAGCCAACACTGTCACCGTGAAGCCAACACTCTCACCGTGAAGCCAACACTGTCACCGTGAAGCCAACACGGTCACCGTGAAGCCAACACGGCCACTGTGAAGCCAACACTGTCACCGTGAATCCAACACTCACCGTGAAGCCAACACTGTCACCGTGAAGCCAACACTGTCACCGTGAAGCCAACACGGCCATCTTGAAGCCAACACTGTCACCGTGAAGCCAACACGGCCATCTTGAAGCCAACACTGTCACCGTGAAGCCAACACTGTCACCGTGAAGCCAACACGGCCATCTTGAAGCCAACACGGCCATCTTGAAGCCAACACGCCCATCTTGAAGCCAACACTGCCATCTTGAAGCCAACACGGCCATCTTGAAGCCAACACGGCCATCTTGAAGCCAACACGGCCATCTTGAAGCCAACACGGCCATCTTGAAGCCAACACGGCCATCTTGAAGCCAACACGGCCATCTTGAAGCCAACACTGCCACCATGAAGCCAACACGGCCATCTTGAAGCCAACACGGCCAACTTGAAGCCAACACGGCCATCTTGAAGCCAACACGGCCATCTTGAAGCCAACACGGCCATCTTGAAGCCAACACGGCCATCTTGAGGCCAACACGGCCAACTTGAAGCCAACACGGCCATCTTGAAGCTAACACGGCCATCACTGTGTACATCTTCGGTGATGTACATCTTCGGTGGTGATAATCTTCAGGAAATTTTTGGTGTCCGATCCCTGGTCCATTCTGAGAACGTGACCGATGTCTCGTGCGCGTGATGTTAGGACGACCGGGTCTTTTTGCACGGTTCGGTGTCGTGGATTTTGTTTGGCCAGAAGATGGCGACGATAACAATATAATAATCCCACTCGTAAAGCGGCCTTTCATCAACGACCTCCTAGCGCTGTACAGGTCACAGCAGCAGCTCAGCATGAAACTTGTACTGATAATAAGATGCAGCAGATTGTCCTGCCGGCATCTGTTATGGAAAGCCAGCGAGTAGTTCGGTCACGAATCCCAAACCACCGACCCACATCGTAAACACTCCGCTACTGCCGAAGCCTTTACATCTTTGAAGGAGGAGCGGACGACGATCCACTCCTGCTTCTGAACAGACAATGGGGTTGGCTGACAACATCTCAAATTGCATCTTCAATCCGCCGCTATTAATCCGTAACGAAAGGAAGAAGCTGGAAGAATGAAAAATGAAAGCAAGAAGAAAGGAATAAGGACTAAGAAGCAAGATGGAAGAATAAGGAAGGAGGAATATAAATCATCGCCCCCCCTCCTGCTACTGGCAGGCTAAAGCACCGTCAAAGGCACTCTTGCAAGTGAGATGAATCCTGGTCTCGTGCGTTCTCACCCCCGTCAGGTAAAAGAAACCGAAACCTTGAGAGCGAGAGAGAGAGAGGAGGAGGGTAACGCCGAGACCCGGCAGCTCTTAAAAACCAAGATCCTCTGCCCCAGTGTCTCGGACACGGCCGTTGCGAAGCTAACGGGACAGCCCCCAAGGCTCAAGCCCAGGAGTGTCCGCGTCGCTGCGTGTAACCACGTTGTTGAACCGTCTCTCCACAATTCAGCAACACTTCAGGAATTCATCTTCTTTGGTTCTTTCGGTAAAGTCACGTAGAATGAGAATAAAATAATAAATTTTAAAAATAACACAATAAAATTCTCACGACGTTCATTGTGTTATTTTATTTTATTAATTTATTATTTCATTCTCATTCTACGTGGTGACTTTACCGAAAGAACCAAAGAAGATGAATCCTTGCAGTCACGAAAGCTTTAAATCGAAATTTCAGGCATTCTTCACGCAACCCACCGCGTGGAGAGACAGATACACGAAGGAGACATCATCTGCCGGTTTGTTCGTTTTTGTCCTCCGCAACAACGCAAATTATTCCTCCCCCTTGCTAACATCACCCCCCTCCCCCTCCATCTCCCTACCATCGGCCTCCCTCACCATAATCCCCCTCACCCTCACTAACCTCGCCCCTCGCTTCCCCTATCACCACCCTTCCTTGCCATCCCTTCCCCTCCTCAGCACTCAAAGCCCATCCCCCTTTTCCCCCATCGGCCAATAACGAATGCACACTGTATAATCCTTGTAGGGCGCTGTGACAACAGCGCAACGTTAAATCCGAGATAAGATTATTTTGCGCTGCGTGCAATATCATAATAAAGGTTTTTGGGGTTAAATCGCGTTATTTATAAATGTGTCGTAACCCTCCACCACCCGACACGGCCAATCAGCAAAAAAAGTGTCACGTTGACAAAAGACAAAATAGTTCACTACTTTAGCCCACCGGGTGTGTTGAAGAGTGAATCCACAACATTTACAATTTTTGTGGATTCACTCAACAACAACACACCGGTGGGCTAAAGTAGTAAACTATTTTGTCTTTTGTCAACGTGACACTTTTATTCACCGATTGGCCGCGTCGGGTGGTGGAGGGTTACGACACATTTATAAACAACGCGATCTAACCCAAAAACCTTTATTATGAACGATATTGGTCGCGAAAGCCTACGTGTTAAGCTATGTGCAATGTCATTTTGTGTGTGAACTCGGGACACATCTCAAAAGGGAGGGGTTTTTCTTTGCCCTAAACTACCCGGCAGTTCGCCAGCATTGATTCCGGCGAGCTTGAAGCCTGCTGATGAGACGCTGTGTATCGCAACCCCGTGTGTGCGCGTTCAACTCCCCGTCGCGCCGTACGTGGCCAACCGCGCGGAGGCGTGGGGACGCGGATGCAGCGCCGTAGCTGGGCCGCACTTACCGGCAGCGGTAGACGGGGCCCACCCGCAGGCGGTACCTCGTACCGCCAGGGGGGAGAGGCTGCAGCGCCAGCCCAAGAGGGGAGGGGCTGCTGAGGGCTGCTGTGGGCTCGGGATCCCCAGACAGCTAAGCCCCTCGGCGCCCCCCAACGGGACGGGGGGGGGGGGGGGGGGGGCGGCTGCGGGGGGTCTAGGATCCCTCGCAGCCCCACCCCTCGATGGGCAAGGGGCATCAAAGGGGACCTCCCCAGCCGATCGGGGCCAGTCGCCGACCGAAGAACCAAGAGCAGCAGCTAGATACGACCCTGGACCCCCTCGCCCTGCTGCCCTTGTAAGGGCGAGGACGCTGTGCGGGCCGTTGGTGGGACTCTGGGACTCCCGGCCCCGCTGCCCTTGTAAGGGCGCGGGGCCGAGGAAGCCAGAGGTCTCGACCCGCACCTTGGCTGGGTGGGGTCAGGGTAGCCTCCCCTAGGGTGATCATAGCCCGAGGACCCTAGAGCATTGTCAGTGTCACGGCACGCTAGGAGTAGGCTGTGTCCCACAGGCTGTGTCAGGACTGTTGGCGAGGTTTGTTGTAATGAAGAGTCGCCTCTACAAGCGTCTCCAGAACCCATTACAAGGACATAAAAACCGTGGCCATCCCAGTATCCCGGGCATGGCCGTTGTGAAACCCCTGCAGCTGGAACTGGCTCGAGTGAGGAGCGACGGGAGAAAGGCTCACCCATGCTGATGAGCGCATCGCAAGGCATCGTGTCTCCGGAGAACACGACCTTCCAGCCGGACGCGTGAGTCAGAGCGCATCCAAACGCGTTGAAGCAGTGGTGCACGTAGCACGTTTCAAACTGCACACGCGCACAAAGACAAAGATCCCACCCCACCCCGGTGCTGTTAGCGAGTAGCAATCATGAAGGCCGGAAACACACAAGAGGTGGTGGGTGGCCGGCACCCACGCCGGGCTGTCTTTGTCTCCCCAGTGGCGATGTTTTCACACACCGCACCGTTTGAGGCTGAGTCGACCTAGGGGGAGGCCCCAGGACCGGCTCAGATAACCTTCAATCGGTGTTGGCCGTGAGCGGGAATCGAAGCCGGGTCGCCGGGTTCGTTACGCAGCGCGTTAACCGCGACACTACCGCACAGACGCACGCACGCACACACACACACTCAGACACTCAAACACACAAACACACACACTCAGACACACACACACACTCAGACACACACGCACACACACACTCAGACACACAGACACACACACTCAGACACACACGCACACACTTAAGACACACACACACACAGACACACACACTCAGAAACACAAACACACTCAGACACACACGCACACACTAAGACACACACACAGACACACACACACTCAGACACACAAAGATCCCCGTATGGCCTTAACAGACTGTCGCTGTAGGGGGCAAGTGCTGTTAACGAGCACCTACAAAGGCCGGCACGGCACACGAGGGGTGGGTGGCCAGCACCTCCCCCGACCGCCTTTGTCTTCCCAGTGGCGATGTTTACACACCAGGTACTCATTTAAGGCTAGCGGAGGCCCAGGACTGGTTCAGATAATCGTCACTGGTGTTGGCTGTAAAGCGGCAATCGAACGCGGGTCGTCGGGTTCGTAGCGCAGCGCAACTAACCCGCTACACTACCGCTCTCCACACACAGACACACAGACACACGTACGCACACGCACGCACACACAGGAGAAGTCCTGAAACCGCTCACTCATGCGACTGCCGGCAGAAGGGGGCCTCTCTCTCTCACCACTTCTCGCAGAGGTTCGCAGTCGAATCCGGTGGCTAGGAGATGGTAACTACCCCGCCTGGTCGTGGGTTTCATCCCGACCCCGACACCTGCTGCTGTATATTTGGAGTTTGCGTGTCTCTCTCTCATCATCATCACGGTGGCTAGGAGATGTTAACTACCTCGCCCGGTATACAGGAGGTCGTGGGTTCGATCCTGACCCTGACGATGCCTGCTGCTGTATATTTCACGTTTGCGTCTCTCTCTCTCTCTCTCCCTGTGGCAATGATAATTTATTCTCCAGGTCCTCCGATTTAGAATCGACGTCACGCGTTTAGAGTATTTGGCTGCTTATAAATTTCCACGTGATGATGATGACGATGATGCTGACGAGCCGCTTTGTTGAGCCGTCATTTGTGATAGCCCACGTGGTTGCTTCTGAAAAAGAGCCACAGCGTAGCAGCTCAGCGGGGGCCTTACACCTGGTAAAATAAAATTCCCTTTTCGCACCATCAATATGTAAACTCCACCTCCCCCCCTCGCCGGTCTGCACGTTTTCCCCTCTCTACACCGTTCATCATGTTAAGTCCGCCAATTAAATGCTAATTTTTATGCTAATTCCTTTGTCAAGGCGCTCTGTTTCCTCTCACACAAGCTTAAAGGTCGCGGTCTGAGCTTGGCTGTGTTCACTCCAGCGCTGTCCTCGAGACAGTCTGGTCCCTTCACCTGATGAAGGCCACTTGTGTTGTGGCTGAAACGTCGTGAATTTTTTGATTTTTATTGTTTTATACTTTTACGTGACTTTACCGAACAGAACCAAAGAGTATGGATCCTTGCAGTCACGAAAGCTTCAAATCTAGAAAAAAAAAAAAACGACTTTTTATTCGCGTGGAAACGTATAAGCAGCCAAATGCTCTAAACGCGTGACGTTGATTCTAAATCGGGGGACCTGGAGAATAAATTATTCAGGTTAATACAGCGGCTCCTTGTGTGCATCTGCCGTGGATCGCTACACGGCGGCTGCTTCGCTTGTGGAAGATCGCCCAGTCGCAACACTTCCCGTGCCACACACTCAAGCGGGAGGAGCTTAGGAATTTGCAACCAGGTGAGTCCCCCTCGATTCAGTACCTGCGGTTAAATTATACGGTGGGGCAGGGGGGGGCAGCCGGGGAGGGGGAGAGACCAAAAGAGGGGACAGGTTGTGAAAAGTAAAAACAAAAAAGGCCACATGTATATTCTTGGTTCTTTCGGTAAAGTCACCACGTAGAAGGGAAACAATAAAATAATTAAAATATAAAACAATAAAATTCCCACGACTGCAACACAAGCAATCATCTTGTTGTGGTTTTCACACCTGATGATGATTGCTTGTGTTGCAGTCGAAACGTCGTGAGAATTTTATATTTTTATTATTTTATTGTTTCCCTTCTACGTGGTGACTTTTTCCAAAAGAACCAAGAATATGAATCCCTGCAGTCACGAAAGCTTTAAATACAAATTTAAGGCCACATGTAGCTCAGGTTACTCCCCCCGCCCGCCACATTCCCGTGTCAGAGACGCTCCTCCTCCTCCCCGCCCCCCTTGTCACACCCCACGGAAGACATCCGCAGACCTCGCGGGAACTTCACAGGTCACCCCGAGGACCACACGTCCGGCTCATGCGGGACCCCCCCCACACCTCACCGCGCACACCAAAAGTGCGCGTTCAAAGAATGAGCGCCCCGCGCAGCGCGCTGTGACGGTGCCTGCGAGTTGTTTTGTTGAAATGAAGTTTTGCTGTGTAGGAACCTCCTGGTTACTACACCACCAGCAGCCCACAGGGGATCATTGTGTCCGTCTGTCGTGCATCCAAAAATGGGAGGGGTGGGGCTGGGTGGAGAGGGGAGGGTGGGGAGGGGCTGGGTGGGGAGGGAGGGGCTGGGTGGGGAGGGGTGGGGCTGGGTGGGGAGGGGCTGGTCACCCCGTGGTGCCCTTATAAAACTCAACGTGTAACCTACTCACGCCGGCTTGTGCCCGCCCTCACAGTCGGGCACATTGTGCTGAATGCACCACGTGGTGGTGCCGCCGTTGACCCTGGCCATTGACCGAGCAACCCAACATTCCTACTACCAGCTCTCTCCACAGGAGAACGTGTTTTAACAAAGATGAAAAGATCTCCCCGCGACCTCGCTCCGAGAAAAACAAAAAAATAATTCAGACGAAAAATATATTAAGCCGTTGGCGATGCCAGCGTCGCGGTTAAAAAATTTCAGAAAAAAATGTTCACACCGCAAGCCGCTCAATTTGGCTCGCACGTTGCAACGTCGCCCCCCTACCGACAGCCTCACGCCCATCGAGACGCCGTGTGGCCGCGGCAAGCATGCCTGCACACGTGCTCCATCTACGTGCGATCCACCGACCCCCCCCCCAGTCCAGGTAGACGACAGCTGGAGGAGCTCGAATCCCGACTCACGTGGCTGATGTCCAGTTCCTTGTAGAGGTCATGCACTGACTCGGGAAGATCCTCAGAGTCCTGGGAGATTTTCAGGAAAGTCTGAGATGGAATAAACCTAGAGGAGGAGACAAAGAACCATCAGAGGTCACGATCAGTCTCTTGAGACTCTGCTCCAGGAGACCGGTTCTCAGGGTCTTGAGACTCTGATCCAGGAGACCGGGTCTCAGGGTCTTGAGACTTTGCCCCAGGAGACCGGGTCTCAGTGTCTTGAGACTTGGGGCTCCAGGAGACCGGGTCTCAGGGTCTTGAGGCTCTGCTCCAGGAGACCGGGTCTCAGTGTCTTGAGACTTGGGGCTCCAGGAGACCGGGTCTCAGGGTCTTGAGGCTCTGCTCCAGGAGACCGGGTCTCAGGGTCTTGAGACTTGGCTCCAGGAGACTGAGTTCAGGAGCTCATATCAATGGCAATGAGTTGTGTGAGTGAGATGCATGGAGTCTTACGTCAGCAGGTGGAGGACTGCCTGGCAGTGCTCATGGTAGATGTTGAGCCAGTTCATGATTTTGGGAGGCCCAATCACGATGAGCGGCTTCCAGGGCCTCCCCAGTGCACTCTGGGAACAAACAGTCACTGTGATGTCACATTCTCTGACCAATCCGAAAACACATCCCCAGTGTATGTGAATATGTATCTGCACATGTGTATGTGAGTGTATTTAAGTCGTGGTTTAGTGGTAATTAATTGAAGGTGGAGGGGTTACCAGCCCCTCGCACCCGTCCAGAGCCCCCATTTAGCCACTGTGGTGGTCACAGACGCCATGAGGGGAGAGGCCAATCGGAACTGGCCCTCCCCCCACAGCACTGTCCACGACGTCACCGCCACTTAGTGGCGAATGGCGGTTGTTGTTGTGAGTGTATACACGTACGCACGGCAGTGGTAGTGTAGCGGTTAGCGTGCTGCGTTACGAACCAGGCGACCCGAGTTCGATTCCCGCTCATAACCAACATCAGTGGCGAATATCTCAACCGGTCCTGGGCATTCCCCTAGGTCAACTCAGCCTCAAATGAGTCCCTGGTGCGGTTTGTAAAACATGAGCCATGCCTGGTGCAGGCAACCCACCCCCTCGTGTGCCTTGCCGGCTTCCATCGGTGCTTGTTAACAGTGCTTGCCCCCAACAATCTGATAAAGGCTATATGGGAGACTTTGTCTGTGTGTATGTGTGTGTACGGGAGTGGGGCCTCCCCTAGTCCTGGTCTTCTCCCAGGTCGACTCAGCCTGAAATGAGTACCTGGTGCGGTGTGTAAACATCGCCACTGGGGAGACAAAGGCGGTCGGGCGTGGTGCTGGCCACCCACCCCCTCTTGTACCGTTCCGGCCTTCATAGGTGCTTGCTAACAGCACTTGCCCCTACAGTCTGTTACAGGCTATACGGGGGATCTTTGTCTTTGTACGGCAGTGGAGCGATCAGCGCACTGCGCTACGAACCCGGTGACCCAAGTTTGATTCCCGTTCATGGCCAACACCAGTGACGATGATCTTGAACGGGTCCTGGGCTTCCCCTGGGTCAACTCAGCCTCAAATAAGTACCTGGTGCAGTGTGTAGTAAACATCACTAAGAAGGAGACAAAGGCCGCCGAGCGTGGTGATGGCCACCCACGCCCTCGTGTGCCGTTCCGGCCTTTGTAGGCGCTACTCGCTGACAGCACTGGCCTGTTAAGGCTATACGGGCGATCTTTGTCTTTGTGTGTGTGTGTGTGTAAGTGAGTGAGTGGGGCAATACACACCAAGGCTCTCTCTCGGTGAAGCAATAAATTAATAAGCCCCTGCAAAGAGAAGAAAACCCGCACCCAGCGTCAAAACGACAACGCGCGGCACAGCAACTGAGAACCCCAAAGTTTGGCGAAGCTATATCACGGCACATCAACAAAAGTAATGAAAAATAAGAAAATGTGTTTACCCTTTCTGGCACTAAAATAGGAGTTGTGTTAAGGTGTTCAAACACCACATTGAAACCTTTCGCTAGGAATTAAGCTACTGCATGAACCACGAACAGTACCTGCGGTGAACATGCAAGCACAAAACATGACTTGATAATATATGATAATAATTATACAGAGTAAAACTTTGGATTGCGAGTAACTTGGTCTGCGAGTGTTTCGCAAGACGAGCAAAAAATTGTAAATAAATATTAATTTGGCAAACGAGCGAGGGTCTTGCAATACGAGTAGTAGTACGTGTACACGCTTTGTACTGCCGAGCGTCACGTGATCACAACTGATACACGAGTGCTTTGGATTACAAAACACGTTTCCGGAACGAATCACGGTCGCAATTCAAGGTTTTACTGTATAGCTCTTTGAAACGGATTCGCCTACAACAGAGACAGCGGCCTTCTTTACGGCCTTCTCTCACCGCCAGCGTCATACCAGAGAACGCCAAATGGCGAACGGTGCGAAGACGTAATACCGGTATTTGTTCTTGGGGGGTTAGATATATAAATGTGTCGTTAAACCCGCCACCACCCGACTACACAGCCAAACGGTAAGGGGATTGTCACGTAAACAAAACGTGCCAATTCGTTACCAGTTCAGCACACGCCGGTCGTGTGTTGGAGAGTGAACCCACTGCAACATTTAAAATTCGAGCACGGTGAAGAGACAATGCAGGTGTCGTAGTGTTTGACGACGCTGCCCGCAAGGCGTGGCGGTTGACGCGAGCGCCGCTCGCCGCAGAGGTCTGCGGGTTCGAATTTCAGCAGCCGCCCGTGGTTGGTGCCGGCGGCGTTTGTCTATTCGCGGCAAGCGACCAGCCGCCTGCTTCGCCCGCAGCGGGATCGCGATGACGCGTCGCGATCCCGCGGCCGTAGTCCGTGGGATCGGTTGCCATCGCGTGCCGGCGACGGGAGGCCCCGAGTCGCCAACTTTTCGAAAAAAGTTACGCCACAAATTGCTCAAATTGGGATTTAATCCGTCGGCATCGCCTTCCGCCGACGGGCTAAAGCGGCCCAAGGTCGCTCTTGCAGTGAGACTCATCCTGGTCTCTTGCGTTCCCACGTGGTTAATCTAGAACAGATTATAGCGGGGCGGGAGGGGGGGTGCGGTGTTGGGTTTGGGTCCCCAGCAGGGCGCGTGCCGCGGGCCCACCGCACGGGGCCGCCGGCCTCACCGTGTGGTGGTCGGCGTGCATGTGCGACACGAAGACGGCGCGCAGAGCGCACAGCGGCGCGTCCACGCCCTCGCCAAAGTGCCGCGTCAGCTGGCCCAGGGTCCCCTCCCCGCAGTCCAGCATCACCGCTCGCTCGGCGCTGAACACGCACACGCACGCATGCACGTGCGTATGCACACACGCACACGTGCACACACACGCACGCACGAGCGCAGACACACATGCACGCACTCACACGCGCACACACAGGCACCTTCAATCAGCACGGTTGGCTACGTACGGTGCACGAAAGCGTCATCAGAATCAGAGCACTTATTTAAACTGCAGGAGGAATTCCGATGACCTATCAAAACCCTTTTCTGTCGATGTCCACAGTAGGGGGCCATGTGGGGGGCGGGAGCGGCGCGGGTGGGCGGGGGGTGGGGGGGAGCTCTGACCTCATGCGGAGGAAGGTGGCGCTGACGTTCCGCGTCTTCATCGGCATTGCGGAGCCCGTCCCCAGGAACACGACCTCCGGCCATCGTGAGGCTCCCTCTGGGGGCGCGGACACACAGAGGGAGCAGAAGGAGAGACGGGGGTGAGGGTGGCGCTGGCGGTGATGCCACCGCCACCGACTGGCGAATGGTGGGTTAACGCGCTGCGCTACGAACTTGGTGGCCCGAGTTCAATTCCCGCTCACAGCCAACACCGGTGAGAGTTTATCCTGAACCGGTCCTGGGCCTCCTACCCGAGGTCAACTCTAATGAGCACCTGGCGTGGCGTGTAAAAACATCGCCACTGGGGAGACAAAGGCGGTCGGGCGTGATGCTGGCCACCCACCCCCTCGTGTGCCGTGCCGGCCTTCATAACAGCACTTGCCCCAACCGTCTGTTAAGGCTACACGGGGGATCTTTGTCTGTGTTTTGGTGATGGCGGTGTTGGTGAGGAGCAGAGGCACGGCAGCAAACCCCACCCCTCCCCCGGCACAGACCCGAGTTCGATTCCTGCTCACGGCCACCCCAACACCGACGATACGATTCATTATGACGACGACGATGACGGCGATGGCGGCGATTGTGATGAGGACGAGACCTGCGGCGGCGTCACTGCCGGCCTCGCGCTCGATCTCCCCGACCCTCGCAGCGAACTCGGCGCATTCCATCGCCTCCTGGCGACACTGATCCTCGTCCAGCACCGGCAGTAAGTTCCTGCGCGGAGGGAGACACATGAGGGGGGGGGGGGGGCTTGACTCCGACGCGCCGGTGCCACGGTGGCTATGAGATGTTAACTACCTCGCCCGGTATACAGGAGGTCGTGGGTTCGATGCAGACCCTGACGCCTGCTGTATATTTGGAGTTTGCGCGTCTCTCTCATCATGATCATCATCACGGTGGCTAGGAGATGTTCACTACCTCGCCTGGTATGCAAGAGGTCGTGGGTTCCATCCCGACCCTGACACCTGCTGCTGTAGATTTGGAGTTTGCGTTTCTCTCTCTCATCATCATGGTGGCTAGGAAATGTTCACTACCTCGCCTGGTATGCAGGAGGTCGTGGGTTCCATCCAGACCCTGACACCTGCTGCTGTAGATTTGGAGTTTGCGTTTCTCTCTCTCATCATCACGGTGGCTAGGAGATGTTAACTATCACGCCTGGTATGCAGGAGGTCGTGGGTCCTGACCCTGACGCCTGCTGCTGTATATTTGGAGTCTCTGTGTCTCTGTCTCTCTCTCTCTCTCCCCGTGGCCTCGTGGATATATCTCTGGGTACTCCGGTTAGAATCAACGTCACGCGTCTAGAGCAGTGGTTCTTAACCTTGTTGGAGGTACCGAACCCCACCAGTTTCATATGCGCATTCACCGAAACCCCTCTTTAGTGAAAAATAAAATGTGATTTTTTTCAAATTCAAGACATAGATGTTTTTTACTGGTACACAAAATGAGCCGTGCATGAACATTACCTTGTTCAAAGAATAAAACCAACACAATGCATAAACTCACAACAAATTACATACCTGGAAATCAATGTGACTTCTGCTGTTGCCTTTGAGAGATCAGTTCAGATATGCGTGGCTTCACCTTGGCAAGTGCCACTCTCATGTCATTTTCACAGCAAAGTCTGTTCCTTTTCTTCGTTTTTATGTCCAGCATCCTCGAAAAGGATTGCTCACAAAGATATGTTGCAACAAATGGTATAAAAAAATCCAGGGCTTTCTTAGCAATAACTGGATACTTGTTCATTTGTCGACACCAAAACGTTGAGAGCGTTGTTGTTCTGAAGAGTTGCTGTTGAACCTGGCTCTGCTGAATTTCAATGATTTCGTCGAGGAATTCATCACTGACATCTGCTGTTTCAACAGCAAACGTGAACGGCTGTCTCACCCATGCTGGATATGACTCTCTTGTAGGGAAATATCCGTCGAGAGACTTTGCAAGCTCATCTAAGTGCGTGGCAATTGTTTGCTTCAGTTCCGTGGATACAGAAATATCTCCGATTCCAGACACATCTTCGATCTTACTTGCACAGTCGTCCAGAAGCGGGAAGTTTGCGAAGTTATTGTTCTCTGTTCGTCGTTTCCATAACGGTAGCTTTTTTTGAAAAGCCTTCAGGTGTTCTTCCGCTTCCATGATATTGACTCCACCACCCTGCATCTGCTGATTGAGATGATTGAGAGCTGCGAATATATCAGCCATGTACGCTAAAATGAGAATGAACTCAGGATTTTTGAAGCAATCTGCATGGCAGTGTTGGTGCTCTTGCAAAAACAGGGCTAATTCCACACGCATGGCAAAAACACGATTCAGCACCTGTCCCCGGGATAACCACCGAATATTAGAATGGAGCAGAAGTACCTCAAATTCAGAGCCCATTTCTTTACACAGCTCACTGAAGATGCGGTGCCTCAGAGCACTTTTTCGCACATAGTTCACACATTCCACCACAGTTTTTAATACTTCTGCCATTTTTGGAGGTAAGGTTTTTGTTGCCAACGCATGCCTGTGCAGAATACAATGCGTCACAATGATGTGTGGTGCATTGGCCTTTACTAGTGCACCAAAACCAGACTTTCTTCCCAGCATGACTGGAGCTCCATCCGTACAAACTGCAGAAACCATATCCCATGAAAGATTGTTGTCTCTGAAGAAGTCATCCACAAGCTTCTTCACATCAGCTGCCTTCGTTGTTGTTGTAAGAGGCTTACAAAATAAAAACTCTTCTTTTATCATGTCGTCTTTCACATAGCGTACAAAAACAGCAAGCTGGCTTAGATCAGAAACGTCTGTGGTTTCGTCGAGTTGAAGGCTGAATTTTGCCGGGCTTGAAATCAGATCCGCGACTACTTGAGCCAAGATGTCTTTACTCATGTCTTCTATTCTGTCACTGACGGTGTCATTTGAAAGGGAAATTTGGGATCATTTACCTTCGGCCGCTGTTCCGAGTATCAGATTCGCCATCTTTAATGCAGCTGGTTTCACAAGTGTTTCACCAATGGTGTGTGGCTTGCCCTGCTTTGCGATCAGGTAAGCAACTTCGTACGATGCTGTCAGGATCGGTTTGTTAACAGGTACAAATCCAAGAGCAGGCAGAGTGGCCCTTTCATCGAATCTGGCTCTCTTCACCCTGAATTCAGCAAGTGTTGTGTTCTTGTATTCCCCGTCTCCATGCAGCTTCAAGAAGTGTTCCTTTAGTTTTGCCGGTGCAAGACTAGAGTTGCTCAACTTGGCGTTGCAAATCATGCAGATAGGACGCTCACTCCCATCACGTTCCGTGATACATGAGAATCCATGTTGTACATATTCGTCCGACCACTTTCTTCTTTTGCCCGACATAGTTAGTATGGATAAAATATTAAAGAAATCACACGACGTACGACAACAACAGTCACACGTTGACTACTGAGTACGCACTAAATTCCCCGCAGCGCTGATTGGCCAAGCAGTGTAGCATGATCATCTGCAGCCAGTGATGGCCAAGCGGGCCGTGTGTGTCATCACAAATTTACACAATAATTCAAGTGTGTCCGGACCTCCGTGGCGGGGGCTCTGCCGAACCCCTGAGATCGACTCACCGAACCCCTGGGGTTCGATCGAACCCAGGTTAAGAACCACGCGTCTAGAGTATTTGGCCGCGATAAATTTCCACGCGATGAGCCACATCTCGTTGGGCTATCATTTGTGATGGCCGGGTCGTTTCTGGAATGACAGCCACTATATAGCTCAGTGGGCCTTAAAAGCTGATAAAATAACAATAACAGTGAAACCTTGGATTGCGAGTAACTTGGTCTGCGAGTGTTTTGCAAGACGAGTATAACGCTTTGTCTGCCGAGCGTCACGTGATCACAACTGAGCCAATGGTTCTTCTCTCTCTCTCGCTGCGGGATTGTGGGTAATCATCTCCCATGCTCGGTCTCAGTCGGCGTGTCTCACTCGTATAGTCAACATCCGTGCGAGTGTATACTGTTTACTACAGTACTGTATAGCGTTGTGAGCACGTGTGTACTGTTTACTACAGTGTTGTGACCACGTGTATACTGTTTACTATAGTACTATAGTGTTGTGACCACGTGTATACCGTTTACTACAGTACTATAGTGTTGTGACCACGTGTATACTGTTTACTATAGTACTATAGTGTTGTGACCACGTGTATACTGTTTACTATAGTACTATAGTGTTGTAACCACGTGTATAGTGTTTACTACAGTATAGTGTTGTGACCACGTGTATACTGTTTGCTACAGTACTATAGTGTTGTGACCACGTGTATACTGTTTACTACAGTATAGTGTTGTGACCACATGTATACTGTTTACTATAGTGTTGTGACCACGTGTATACTGTTTACTACAGTACTATAGTGTTGTGACCACGTGTGTGTGCGTAAAGCATGTTTTTATTTTGTGTTCAAGTGTAGTGACTGTTCGTTAGTAACTGTACTGCAAGTGAAAGTCGTCCTATACAATAACCATCCTCCTCCTCTCTCTCGTCTCTCTCAGCCACGATTAAATGTAACCAATACATTTGATTACTTCATGTTAAATTCAAATAAATAAAAATATAAAAAGGTATTTTGCATTCATCATTTTGACGTGAATATAGTATTCGTGGGTTGTGGAACGAACCGTCTGAGTTTTGATGTACGAGTGCTTTGGATTACGAGCACGTTTCCGGAACGAATCATGCTCGCAATCCAAGGTGTTTCACCGTTAGTTCGTCATTTCTCGAGGACCTGGCGCGGCGCCTCTCCCGACGCGTCGTTCCGAGCGCCGATCCCGAAGGCGTACCTCTGCCACGTGACATTGGGCCTCAGCTGGTACTTGAGGAGGCACTCTCCCATCACGAGCGGCAGCTTGAAATCGGGGCGCTTCTCCTGCGTCGCAGCAGCAGCAGCAGCAGCAACACAAAGATCAACGTCGCGATGAGCTCGATAGCCCGGACCATTGCCCGAAAGACTACCACCCCGTCGATTCCCTCACCCACGTTGAGGACTCAACGTGCCGGGCGGACTGCGTGGTGCGTGGGGGAAGACGCCGGGAGGGTGCAGCAGTGCAGCTGAGAAACTCACGGAGGACGTGGGGGAGTGGCCGGGTTCGTGGTGCGTGGGGGAAGACACAGGGGTGGTGCAGCAGTGCAGCTGAGACACTCACGGAGGACGTGGGGGAGTGGCCGGGCCCGTGGAGCGTGGGGAAGATGCGGGGATGCACCAGGTGCAGCTGCGTCTGGATCTGGAGGCTGCGGAGGTGGTGCAGTGACCCCGTCCGCTCGTTCAGCAACAAGTGCTCCGTGGAGCCGCCGAACCTTACGGGGGGGGGGGGGGGTCACGGTGGAGGAGGGGAGAGGTCACGTGCAATTATTGCGATGCATTGCTTTGCTGTGTATTGCACCGGACTGCATTGCGTTCTATATTATTGTATCGGATTGTATTCCGATGCACTGCATTGTATTGCATTAAACTAAACTACTGTAAAACCTTGGATCGCGAGTAACTTGGCCTGCGAGTGTTTTGCAAGACGAGCAAAAAATTGCAAATAAATATTAATTTGATAATCGAGCGAGGGTCTTGCAATACGAGTAGTAGCAGTACGTGTACATGCTTTGCACTGCCGAGCGTCACGTGATCACGTTTCCGGAACGAATTGCGCTCGCAATCCAACGTTTTACTGCATAGACAATTTTTATTTTTCACCAGGTAAGGCCCCACTGGGCTATGTGGCTCTTTTTCAGAAACGACCCGGCCACAAATGACAGCTCAACGAAGTGGCTCATCATCATCATCATCACGTGGGAATTTACACTCGTAAACGCGTGGTGATGCCGATTCTGAACCTGCAGGGGAAGAACCGGAGGACCCGGAGAAAAATCCACGCGACCACATGAAGAGAAACACGCACACTACAAATATACAGCAGCAGCAGCAGCAGGCGTTGTCAGGGTCGGGATCGAACCCACGACCGCCCGCATACCAGGCGAGGTAGTTAACATCTCATAGCCACCGTGATGATGATGATGATGATGAGAGAGAGACACGCACACTACAAATATACAGCAGCAGCAGCAGGCGTTGTCAGGGTCGGGATCGAACCCACGACCGCCCGCATACCAGGCGAGGTAGTTAACATCTCATAGCCACCGTGATGATGATGATGAGAGAGAGACACGCACACTACAAATATACAGCAGCAGCAGCAGGCGTTGTCAGGGTCTGGATCGAACCCACGACCGCCCGCGTACCAGGCGAGAAACTAAACACCTCGCCAATGTTACCACTTCGCTCGCCACCCAGCCGCTCTTGAGGGCCGCTCCCAAGCGGTGGGACCTCGTGGTGCCGTGTGGCACGGGGTCACGGACCAAAGCCTCATCACGCTGGGGCTGACCTCGCACCGCTGCATCTGTCGTGGGTTAAATACCTAGAAGAGGGCTTCTCTGAGGCAACACAGTTTTCTTTAACAATTAACACTTAACACGGAGGCGTAATGGCCCCTCCCACGCGATACACTATGGAGGTAGACCCCTCCAGACTACTAAATACCTCTCTCTCACGGGCTAATCTACAAGTCCTCCGTGAGTGAAGCTTGGATCTCCACCGGTATATAAAGCTTGAGCCCACCCTTGCCATGGGGTACGGCACTGCCCTTGGGGGTCTTCAGTCTCCAGGAGGATTCTTGCCTTCAGCTGGACGACGGCTGACTGGGACCGTTCAGAGGTCCGTCTTTTATACAGCGCCATGCCTCGCTCCGCCCCAGCCACGCATTCCTTCTAGGACCTTCCAGCAGGTCCTGGGGTTTGCGTCCCAGGATACGTTATCCCATAGGGGTTTACCGTTGGCCACTTGGGCCGTAGTCCTTTAACACTGGGCTCAATCACACTACCACCCCCCCGATTGACGCGTGCGGGATGCTACCGGCTGACAGAATGGGGAGTTGCACAAAAATACCTCTACACATCTACAGCCTCACCACCCCGGTGGGGGTGGTCTCACCACCCCGGGTGTGGCCTCACCTCTACACATCCACAGCCTCACCACCCCGGGTGTGGCCTCACCTCCGCATCCACAGCCTCACCACCCCAGGGGGGTGGTCTCACCACGCCGGGTGTGGCCTCACCTCTACACATCCGCAGCCTCGTACCACGCCGGGGGCTAGCCTCACCTCTGCATCCAGTCCTGGTAGAGCGGGTGGCAGACCACGTGGTCTGGAGCCATGTGCACGACGAGGGAGAGCATCCTCCGATCCCCGCCCGCCTGGTACCTGCACGGCGGCGACAGAACGACGGCGTCTCAACGCCAGCGACGTCGCAAACTCTCTCCCCCACCTCTTCGTCTCCTCCTCGTCCTGACAGACCCAGCGGCTCTTGCATGGTCAACGTTCAGCCGACGATGCCGGCGGTTCGGCGGCCGTCTGGAAAGCCTCTTCCTTCCGCTATTAGGAAGCCACTGGGAGCCATGCACTTATAAATCATCAAGATTAAAAAAAAAACTCGTTTCTTCAGGACTTTTTGTGTTTTAATGTGTGTTCCGCCCCCCACCCCCGCACCTCCGATGAGCAAGGTTGGCTACGTACGATGAGAAAGAAGTTCAACAAACAGCACGGTTGACTACGTACGATAAGAAAGAAGTTCAACATACACACACACACACAGCACAGTTGGCTACGTACGATGAGAAAGAAGTTCAACACACACAGCACAGTTGGCTACGTACGGTGCGAAAAAAGTTCAACTTACACACACACAGCACAGTTGACTACAAATGGTGCAAGTTCAACGTATTCAAGTTTGAGATTGGGCGATAGTTTGTGGGGTCACTATGACGATCACTCCCTCTATCACTACACCCATCTCTATCCCTATCACTACCCCTAAAACTACCCCTATCACTACCCCTATCACTACCCCTATCACTGCCCCTATCTCTATCATTAACCCTATCACTACCCTTACCCTTATCACTGCCCCTATCTCTATAACTACCCCTATCACTACCCCTATCACTCCCCCTATCACTACACCTATCACTACCTGTACTCCTATCACTACCCCTATCACTACTCCTACCCCTATCACTACCCCTATCACTATCACTACCGCTATCACTACTCCTATCTCTATCACTACCCCTATCACTACCCCTATCACTACCCCTATCACTACCCCAACCCCTATCACTACCCCTATCACTACCCCTATCACTACCCCTATCACTACCCTTACCCTTATCACTGCCCCTATCTCTATCACTACCCCTATCACTCCCCCTATCACTACACCTATCACTACCCATACCCCTATCACTACCCCTATCACTACCCCTACCCCTATCACTACCCCTATCACTACCGCTATCACTACTCCTATTTCTATCACTACTCCTATTTCTGTCACTACTCCTATTTCTATCACTACCCCTATCACTACCCCTATCACTACCCCTATCACTACCCCAACCCCTATCACTACCCCTATCACCACCCCTATCACCACCCCTATCACCACCCCTATCACCACCCCTATCACCACCCCTATCACCACCCCTATCACCACCCCTATCACCACCCCTATCACCACCCGCATCACCACCCCTATCACTATCACCACCCCTATCACCACCCCTATCACCACCCCTATCACCACCCCTATCACAAATCTCGGCAAGATTATGGGCGAGCCCGGCTCGAGTTTGGCCGAGCGCGGTGAGCGAGCCTCGTCGCGGCTGATCACCGGTGGAGGGCGGCGTTGGAGGTGACGGGGCTCACGAAGGACGCGTCCGGACATTCGATGACCAGGAACATGGGACCCGGGTCCGAGGGCGTCAGCACCTCCTCCGGTCGGATCTGCACAAAAGGGATTCCCACACGGTGGTCTGAGACCCGGTCTCCTGGGGCAGAGTCTCAAGACCCTGAGACCCGGTCTCCTGGAGCCGAGTCTCAAGACCCTGAGACCCGGTCTCCTGGAGTCCCGAGTCTCAAGACCCTGAGACCCGGTCTCCTGGAGCAAAGTCTCAAGACTCTGAGACCCGGTCTCCTGGGGCAGAGTCTCAAGACCCTGAGACCCGGTCTCCTGGAGCAGAGTCTCAAGACCCTGAGACCCGGTCTCCTGGGGCAGAGTCTCAAAACCCTGAGACCCGGTCTCCTGGAGCAGAGTCTCAAGACCCCGAGACCCGGTCTCCTGGAGCAGAGTCTCAAGACCCTGAGACCCGGTCTCTTGGAGCAGAGTCTCAAGACCCTGAGACCTGGTCTCCTGGGGCAGAGTCTCAAGACCCTGAGACCCGGTCTCCTGGAGCCGAGTCTCAAGACCCTGAGACCCGGTCTCCTGGGGCAGAGTCTCAAGACCCTGAGACCCGGTCTCCTGGGGCAGAGTCTCAAGACCCTGAGACCCGGTCTCCTGGGGCAGAGTCTCAAGACCCTGAGACCCGGTCACCTGGAGCCGAGTCTCAAGACCCTGAGACCCGGTCTCCTGGAGCCGAGAGTCTCAAGACCCTGAGACCCGGTCTCCTGGAGCAGAGTCTCAAGACCCTGAGACCCGGTCTCCTGGGGCAGAGTCTCAAGACCCTGAGACCCGGTCTCCTGGGGCAGAGTCTCAAGACCCTGAGACCTGGTCTCCTGGAGCCGAGTCTCAAGACCCTGAGACCCGGTCTCCTGGAGCAGAGTCTCAAGACTCTGAGACCCGGTCTCCTGGAGCAGAGTCTCAAGACCCTGAGACCCGGTCTCCTGGGGCAGAGTCTCAAGACCCTGAGACCCGGTCTCCTGGAGCCGAGTCTCAAGACCCTGAGACCCGGTCTCCTGGAGCAGAGTCTCAAGACTCTGAGACCGGGTCTCCTGGAGCAGAGTCTCAAGACCCTGAGACGCGGTCTCCCAATGCATTAGTCACAAAAAACACAAACATTAACAATGCCAAAGATCCCCCGTGTAGCCTACACAGGCCATTGGGGCAAGTGCTGTTAGCAAGTACTTATGAAGGCCGGCACAGCGCACGAGGGGGTGGATTGCCAGCCCTACATTAAGCCACCTTTGTATCCCCCAGTGCCAATATGTACAACCGCACCAGGTACTCACTTAAGGTTGAGTTACTCTCGTGGAGAGACAGGACCGGTTTAGATGTCCGTCACTGATGTTGGCCATGAGTGGGAATCAAACTCAGGTGACCGGGTTCCTAGGACGGTGTGGCTAGTGCCACGCCGCCTTTGTCTCGACCGTGCTGATGTTTGCACGCAGCATCAGGTACTTATTTAAGGCTGAGTCTACCTAGGGGAGGCTCAGGACTGGTTCAAATATCAAGGCGCTGGGATACGAAGGACAGGTACAGAAACCATTCGCCACTGAGGTGTGCGCCATGGTTGGGAATCGAACCCAGGTGGCTGGGTCCACAGCACAGTGCACAAAGAACTGAGCCACTGACATTTACACGCAGACACACGCAGACACACGCAGACACACACACAACACACGCAGACAAACAGACACACGCAGACACACGCACAACACACGCACACACACGCACAACACACGCAGACAAACAGACACACGCAGACACACGCACAACACACGCACACACACGCACAACACACGCACACACACGCACAACACACGCAGACACACGCACAACACACGCAGACACACGCACAACACACGCAGACACACGCACAACACACGCAGACACACGCACAACACACACAGACACACGCTCAACACACGTAGACATGCACAACACACGTAGACACACGGAGACACACACGCAGACACACGCAGACAAACAGACACACGCAGAAACACGCAGACACAAGCAGACACACACAACACACGCAGACACACACAACACACGCAGACACACACAACACACGCAGACACACGCACAATACACGCACAACACACGCAGACACACAAACAACACACGCAGACATACACACAACACACGCACAACACACACACAACACACGCAGACACACGCAGACACACGCAGACACACACAACACACACAACACACGCACAACACACGCAGACACACGCAGACACACGCAGACACACACAACACACACAACACACGCAGACACACGCACAACACACGCACAACACACGCAGACACACAATGCACCGACCTCTCGTCCGTTGAACACCACCGACTTGCCGTTTTTAAAATCTGTGACCATGGGTCCCAGGTCTTTAGTTCCTCTGCAAACGCAAATAACAAAAAAGAGAGATCATCAAACACGGTCGTTGCGAGAACACACCCATCGCCCCCTCCAATTGACTGGCTCACTTCACAGATTAAAGCTCCCGCCAACACAACGATACCTCGGCCAAGTGAACGTGAATGGTCTGGAGGTCACTTGCGGGGGCATCTGGGATGGACAGATGGTTCAGGGGTTCTCAACGGCTGTGTCTGACGTGCTAAAGCCAGCAACCGCTGAGATCCTGGGATCCAGGTTCCAGCTAAAAACCTTGGTGTCTCTCGGTGTCTCACAAGGTTCACACTATTCTTGTTTTTTTATTTTATTGTTTCCCTTCAACGTGACTTTACCGAAAGAACCAAGAATATGATTCACTGCGGTCACGAAAGCTTTAAATCACAATTTAAGGTTCATAATGTTCTTGGTTCTTTCGGTAAAGTGACCACGCAGAAGGGAAACAATAAAATAATAAAAATATACAATAAAATTCTCACGACGTTTCGACTGCAACACAAGCAATCATCATCAGGTGTGAAAACCACAGCAAGAAAATTTGAAAAAAGTGGCGGGTTTTTTTTGCTGTGGTTTTCACACCTGATGATGAGTGCTTGTGTTGCAGTCGAAACGTCGTGAGAATTTTATTGTTTTATATTTTTATTATTTGGTTTCCCTTCATTTATTATTTATTTTATTTTTTCCCCCTATCTGCGTGACTTTACCGAAAGAACCAAGAACATGAATCCCTGCAGTCACGAAAGCTTTAAATCAAAATTTAAGGTTCATAATGGCCGTGGAACAGACGCTAAGCCAGCAACACTAAGGCCATGGGTTCAATCACTAGGCCTGGGTCTCTCTCTCTCGGGGTTCACAATGGCCATGCCAGATACACAAAGCCAGCAACACTGAGATCATGGGATCCAGGTTAAAGCCAAAAGTCTGTATCTCTCTGTGTCTCACGAGGTTCATAATGGCCGTGGAACAGACGCTGAGCCAACGCCACCGAGATCCTGGGTTCAATCACCGGGGCCTGGATGTCTCCGTGTCTCAGGCGATTCGTAATGGCCGTGAGACACAGATGATCTCGTGAGCGTGATGTGGGTGAGGCTGCCGGTGTGTGACGGGCAGGCGAACTTACATGGGCAGCCCCAGGGCCTTCGCGTTCGTTAGAAGGAAGCTCCCTTTGCGTTCATGGAGCTGTTGAGACACAAAGATCCACCCGTTTAAGCCTCAAAACAATGTAGGGGCAAGTGCTGTGAGCGAGTAGCGAGCACCTACGAAGGCCGGCACCGTGGCACACGAGGGGGTGGGTGGCCAGCACCACGCCCGGCCGCCTTTGTCTCCCCAACGGTGATGTTTACTACACCCCAAAAGGTACACATTTAATGCCGAGTCGACCTGGGAGAAGACCAGGACCGGTTCAGATATTCGCCCATGGTAACACTGGACTTCCATGGTAACACTGGATTTTCCCATGGTAACACTGGACTTCCCATAGTAAAACTGGGCTCCCATGGTAAAACTAGACTCCCATGGTAAACTAGACTCCCATAGTAAAACTGGACTCCCATAGTAAAACTAGACTTCCCATGGTAACACTAGACTCCCATGGTAAAACTAGACTCCCATGGTAAAACTAGACTCCCATGGTAACACTAGACTTCCCATTGTAACACTAGACTCCCATGGTAAAACTAGACTCCCATGGTAAAACTAGACTCCCATGGTAAAACTAGACTCCCATAGTAAAACTGGACTTCCATAGTAAAACTAGACTCCCATGGTAACACTAGACTTCCCATTGTAACACTAGACTCCCATGGTAAAACTAGACTCCCATGGTAAAACTGGACTTCCCATTGTAACACTAGACTCCCATGGTAAAACTAGACTTCCCATGGTAACACTAGACTCCCATGGTAAAACTAGACTCCCATGGTAAAACTAGACTCCCATGGTAAAACTAGACTCCCATGGTAAAACTAGACTCCCATGGTAACACTAGACTTCCCATCGTAACACTAGACTCCCATGGTAAAACTAGACTCCCATGGTAAAACTAGACTCCCATGGTAAAACTAGACTCCCATTGTAACACTAGACTTCCCATTGTAACACTGGACTCCCATGGTAACACTAGACTCCCATGGTAACACTAGACTCCCATGGTAAAACTAGACTTCCCATAGTAAAACTAGACTCCTGTGGTAACACTGGACTTCCCATGGTAACACTAGACTCCCATGGTAAGACTAGACTTCCATGGTAACACTAGACTTCCCATAGTAAAACTGGGCTCCCATGGTAAAACTAGACTCCCATGGTAAACTAGACTCCCATAGTAAAACTGGACTCCCATAGTAAAACTAGACTTCCCATGGTAACACTAGACTCCCATGGTAAAACTAGACTCCCATGGTAAAACTAGACTCCCATGGTAACACTAGACTTCCCATTGTAACACTAGACTCCCATGGTAAAACTAGACTCCCATGGTAAAACTAGACTCCCATGGTAAAACTAGACTCCCATGGTAAAACTAGACTCCCATGGTAAAACTAGACTCCCATAGTAAAACTGGACTTCCATAGTAAAACTAGACTCCCATGGTAACACTAGACTTCCCATTGTAACACTAGACTCCCATGGTAAAACTAGACTCCCATGGTAAAACTGGACTTCCCATTGTAACACTAGACTCCCATGGTAAAACTAGACTTCCCATGGTAACACTAGACTCCCATGGTAAAACTAGACTCCCATTGTAACACTAGACTCCCATGGTAAAACTAGACTCCCATGGTAAAACTAGACTCCCATGGTAAAACTAGACTCCCATGGTAAAACTAGACTTCCCATTGTAACACTGGACTCCCATGGTAACACTAGACTCCCATGGTAACACTAGACTCCCATGGTAAAACTAGACTTCCCATAGTAAAACTAGACTCCTGTGGTAACACTGGACTTCCCATGGTAACACTAGACTCCCATGGTAAGACTAGACTTCCATGGTAACACTAGACTTCCCATTGTAACACTAGACTCCCATGGTAAAACTAGACTCCCATGGTAACACTAGACTTCCCATTGTAACACTAGACTCCCATGGTAAAACTAGACTTCCCATGGTAACACTAGACTCCCATGGTAAAACTAGACTCCCATGGTAACACTAGACTCCCATGGTAACACTAGACTCCCATGGTAAAACTAGCCTCCCATGGTAAAACTAGACTCCCATGGTAACACTGGACTCCCATGGTAACACTAGACTTCCCATGGTAAAACTAGACTTCCCATGGTAAAACTAGACTTCCCATGGTAAAACTAGACTCCCATGGTAAAACTAGACTCCCATGGTAAAAATAGACTCCCATGGTAAAACTAGACTTCCCATGGTAAAACTAGACTTCCCATGGTAAAACTAGACTCCCATGGTAAAACTAGACTCCCATGGTAAAACTAGACTCCCATGGTAAAACTAGACTCCCATGGTAACACTAGACCCACACAGTCAAATGAGAGGGCTCCAGGAGATGAGTGTTCGACAGGTGCTGCAACTATCATCACCTTGCAGAGATAAGCCACAGTCAGGGACGGGTTGTCAGCCTTCGAGTTATCTCCTGCAGACAGAATTCATCGTCAGTCAACACTGATGTGCACATCAGCACCAAATGCCGTTTGCGAGCGCCTATCAACGCACACAACAGCTACGTGGTGGTGGTGAAGTCACCACGGCGCTTGTGCCAGGCTATGTGCACCCCGAGGCAGCGTGAAGCGTCGATGGCTCGCTGGCTGGAGGAGGTCACAGGACAGACCCAGCTGCTATGGCTTGACTGAGTTGACTGGCAGATACACCACCTGTACCCTCGAATGTGCCACCTGTACCCTCGAATGTGCCACCTGTATCCTCGAATGTGCCACCTGTACCCTCGAATGTGCCACCTGGCTGCATTATAGCCGCTCGGCACTTCGCTCGCACACATTCACACACACTCACACGCGTTCTCACACACATTCACACACATTCGCACAATCAAACACGCGCTCACGCACAATCACACACATTCACACTCACGCGCGCGATCACACATTCACACACATTCACACAATCACACACGCGCTCACACACATTCACACAATCACACACGCGCTCACACATTCACACACATTCACAATCACACGAGCGCGATCACACAATCACACACATTCACACACTCAACAACAACAACCGCCATTCGCCACTAAGTGGCGGTGACGTCACCATGACGCTTGTGCCAGGCCATGTGCACCTTGAGGCCACGTGAAGTGTCGAACGGCCGCGGGCAGGTCACGGGGCAGACCCAGGTGCCACGGGTCGACTGACTGAGATGACTGGCTGGTGCACCACCTGTGCCCCCTACTGTGCCAACCTGCTGTGCTTTAGCCACCCGGCACTCCGCTCGTTGTTGTGAGCGTCGCTCCTCCGCCCTCCGTTGTTGTTGGAGGGCGACTGCCTCCAACTGCCCAATAGCGTCCTTCACGAGCCTCCTCCACAGAGGCCGATCTTGACACCGCTGGTACCAGTCATCGGCAAGTCCACTCAGCTCCACGTCCTCCTGTACCACATCACTCCATCTCTTCTCTAGCCCGTGCCGCGCCCGTTTAGCCCCCTCGATCCGGCCGAACAAAAGCTGTTTCGGCATGCGGTGGCTGGGCATGTGGGCTACATGACCCAGCCAATGAAGCCTTGCTTGCCGGAGGAGCTCACCAATGGGACCTTGCCCAGATCTTTCAAGGATTTTTGAGCTCCTCACACAATCCAGCCTTGTTAAACCCAGGATGGATCGTAGGCAGGCCAGCCTAAATGTTTCCAACCGGCGAAGATGCTCCATTAAGGGGGTCCACGTTTCGCAAGCGTAGAGAAGGGAGGGAATGACCGTGGCCGAGAAGACCTGAAGCTTAGTGCGGAGCGACAGACCAGGTAGCTTCCACACAGCGTTACGCAACCGATGAAAAGATATTGCTGCTCGACTGATTCGGAGTGAGACCTCTGCTATTAAACTGGAGCCGGTCATAAGCACACTGCCCAGGTATGGGAAACTCTCCACTCTCTCCACAACTGCCCCATCACCGATTGGGAGTTGTGGGGGTGGTGTGTCCAATGGAACAAAATACCCAGGCAGGTGCTTAGTTTTGGTGGGGCTGATGGTAAGGCCCCATGTCTTAGTGGCACGCTCCAGTCTCAGCAGCAGCGTCTCCAACTCCTTCTCTGAATGAGCAGCTATTACCTAATCATCAGCATACATAACGTGGTTGAGCAATAGGGAGCCATCCCTTGAACGCACCCGGGCATTGATCAGCCTCCCATTATATCTGTACCAAATGGAGATTCCCCCGGTACAGCTATTGAAGTATTGAAGGCTTCACGAACTATGTGGTCAAAATAGATGTTAAATAATGTGGGAGCCAGAGGACATCCCTGTCGCACCCCAAGGTGTACAGGGAATGGCTCTGACTCCCGGACACGTAGTTTTAACCGGGCCCGCTCACCATCATGAAGGTCCTTAATGATCGTGAGCAGAGGGTCAGGGACTCCAAAAGCACGAAGAACAACCCAGAGCCCAGGCCTACTGATGGTATCATAGGCCTTGACCAGGTCAATAAAGCAGAGATGTAGGTCTTGTTGGATTCCCTACACCTCTGCTGTAGCAGACGGACAGAAAAATTCACACAATCACACACGCGCTCACACACATTCACACACATTCACACACATTCACACAATCACCCACGCGCTCACACACATTCACACACTCACACACGCGCTCATACACATTCACACACATTCACACAAACACACACGCGCTCACACACATTCACACATTCACACGCGCTCACACACATTCACACATTCACACACGCGCTCACACACACTCACACATTCACACACGCGCTCACACACACTCACACACGCGCTCACACACATTCACACACAATCACACACGCGCTCACACACATTCACACACAATCACACACGCGCTCACACACATTCACACACATTCACACACATTCACACACGCGCTCACACACATTCACACACAATCACACACGCGCTCACACACATTCACACACAATCACACACGCGCTCACACACATTCACACACAATCACACACGCGCTCACACACTCACACGCGCTCACACACATTCACACACAATCACACACGCGCTCACACACAATCACACACGCGCTCACACACATTCAGACAATCACAGACACGCGCGATCACACATTTACACGCACAAAAATATGCACAAAAACAAAGATTCCCCGTGTAGCCTGAACAAACTGTTGGGCAAAGTTCTTCATGCGAGCACCTATGAAGACCGGCACGGCACACGAGGGGGTGGATGGCCAGCACCAAGCCCGGCCGCCTTTGTCTCCCCAGCGGCGATGTTTACTACACACCGCTACACCAGGCACTCATTTGAGTCTGAGTCGACCTAGGAGTGACCCAGGGACCGGTTCAGATGACCGTCACTTGTGTTGGCCGTGAGAGGGAATCGAACCTGGCTTCCCAGGGTTCGTAGCGCAGTGTGCTAACCACTTCGCTAACTGCTACAACACGCACACACACACACGCACGCACACGCGCATGCGCACACGTACGCACGCACACACGCACGCAAACACACGCACGCACACACACACACGCACACACACACACACACGCACACACGCACACACACACACGCACAAGCACACGCACGCACACAAAACAAAGATCCCCCGGATAAACTTTGACTTAAAACTTTCTTGACTGCGGGGATTCACATTCTTGCGGTTAAAATTCACGCAGATAGGAAATAAAAATAAAATAAAAATTAATTAAATAAAATTAAAAATAAAATAAGAAATTTAATAAAAAAATCAACCGGTCTTCATCAGGCGCCTGATGAGGACCGCTTGTGTTGCGATCGAAACGTGGTGGGGTTTTTTGCTTTTAATTTAATTTTTAGTTTATTATATTTGTATTTTCTCCCTCCGTGACTTTACCGAAATAACCCAGAATGAGTCCCCTGCGTCGCCTTAACAAAATGTTGGGCAAAGTTCTTTTAGGGAGCAGCAGCGCCTATGAAGGCCCAACACGGCACACGAGGGGGGTGGGTGGCCAGCAACCACGCCTGGCCGCCTTCGTCTCCCCAGTGGCGATGTTTACTACACACCGCTACACCAGCTACTCATTTGAGTCCGAGTCGACACACACACACAATCAAACACACACCCAATCTCACACATTCACACTCACGCACGCACACACGCACCCACAACCGGCGCAGGCAGACACAAACACCATCTCACACGCTGCCGTTATCGCCGGTGGTGCCGAGGCCCGTGACGGACATTCCACATTCCTAGGGCAGGACCGAACCACCGGCACCGCATCAAGAAGCGTCCTCACCGAGTATGGGGATCTGCTGCACCGCCATCGTCTCATCCACCGACTCCATCTCCGTGCACGGCTCCACCACTGCCAAACAACACACAGCAGCGTCATCATCCCGCTGCCGCCCCCCCGCCCACCCCGCGCCATTGCTCCCTTCCTGCTGCCAGATTCCACACACTGCCAGCGACAACGTCCCACCGGGATCACTTGTACAGCAGCAGCATCATCATCATCACCATCATCACCATCGATCGTCTTCATGGCCAGCTGGTTTCACACGTCTTCTTCCCCTTGTCATGGAGAGACACCCTGACCCAGGGATTGAACCTTCAACCCAGAAACTCAGCGGCGATCGGCTCAGTGCCACTTACGTGGCCATTATGAGCCTCCTACCAGCCACCAAGCCTGTCGACTTGAACCCAGGATCACAAAAAGGTGTAGCGTCCTTGACATAGCCATTATGAACCCCTTGAGAGAGATATCCCGAACCCAGGATCTCAGCAGTGCTGTGCACAGCAGCTCCGACACGGCCAATATAAACCCAGCCGAGTCATCTGACCTCCCTTATAAAGTAAATATTTTTGTTACAATCACGAACGCATCGGATAATTTGATTAGCACACCATTACAACTACGTACATATACTTTGCAATCCGCAGTGGCTAAGGAGATGATAACTACCTCGCCTGCTTTGCAGGAGGTCGTGGGTTCGATCCCAAGCCAACACAATGCCCGCTGTATATGTGGAGTTTGCGTGTCTCTCTCCCCTGCGGTCGTGTGGATTTTTCTCCGGATTTTCCCTCCGCATTTAGAAGCGTGCATCTAGAGTATTTGGCAGCCGTCAATTTCCACGCGACGATAAGCCACTTCGTTGGGCTGTCATTGCGAAAGCCAGGCCACTTCTGGAAAAGAGCTACGTAGCTCGGTGAGCCTTACCTGGTAAAATAAATAAAAATAAACAAAAATATATATCTTTTTTATATATTCTTGGTTCTTTCGGTAAAGTCGCCGCATAGAAGGGAAACAATAAAATATTAAAAATATAAAACAATTAAATTCTCACGACGTTTCCACTGCAACACAAGCAATCATCATCAGGTGCGAAAACCACGACGCCTGATGAAGACCGCTTTTATGGTCTATTTAATTCATTCATTATTTATTTCATTTTTATTTCCTATCTGCGTGACTTTACCGAAAGAACCAAGAATATGAATCCCTGCAGTCACGAAAGCTTTAAATCAATTTTTTTTTTAAATATATATAGTTTAGTTATTTTAGCGGAGAGGATGGCGGGATTTGAACTGTCAGACCTGCTGCTTGGCGGGAAAATGCTCTTACATTTGGGCCATGCTTCTGGTTATAGAAGATTCCGGTGGAGAGAGGGGGGTGGGAGGGGGGTGGGAGGGGGGGGGGGAAGAGGGGGGGTGAGGAGGAGGGGGGGGGGCGGTCACCCACCCAACTTGAGGTCGTGGATGTTGGCGGCAAACACGTTGACTCCTTCCAGGTACCTCTCCTGCGAGAGACACACGGCGCACCGCCCCGCTCACCGCCGCACGTCAATGCCACGGACCGTCGCGATGAAACGCCTCCGATTGGCACGGTTGGCTACGCGCAATGTGTGTGCGCGCGGGCGCATACATCGCGCAAAGAGGGGATCGGAGGGAAGGGCAACTCGCGGCTTCACGCGGGATCGAGAAACATTTTGCGCGAAACGTAAAATCGCCGTCAAGCAATGCAGTCGGCTCGCGTGGATTGTGTTTAGGCTGACCGGAGGTGCAACTGCAACATTAAGATACAGAAACGTGGGGAAGAAATTTAAACTCAACACGGCTCTCAACGGTTGTCTGTTCATGCCCCAGAACACCAGAAATGTCATTGTGTCAAGCTGATGGAATTACATAGAGACCCACAGACTCACACAGCGACCCATAGACTCACACGGAGACCCAGAGACTCACACGGATAACCACAGACTCACACGGAGACCAATAGACTCACACGGATAGCCACAGACTCACACGGAGATCCATAAATTCACAAGGATAGCCACAGACTCACACTGAGACCCACACTCACACTGACACCCATAAACTCACACGGATAGCCAGAGACTTATAGAGACCCACAGACTCACAAGACCAACAGACCCATAGACTCACACGGAGACCCACAGACTCACACTGAGACCCACAGACTCCCACGGATATCCAGAGACTCATACAGAGACCCACAGACTCACACGGAGACCAACAGACCCACAGACTCACACAGAGACCCACAGACTCACATGGAGACCAATACACTCAGACTCACACTGAGACCCACAGACTCACACGGATAGCCAAAAACTCATACAGAGACCCACAGACTCACAGAGACCCACAGACTCACACGGAGAGCCAGAGACTCACACGGAGACTCATAGACTCACACAGAGTCCCACAGGCTCACACGGAGACCAATAGACTCACAGACTCACACAGACCCCCACAGACTCTCAAGGAGATCCGCAGACTCGGACCTGCACATGAGCCAATTCCATCGCTCCATCTCCCCAGCGGACGAATCTGCCCGGTGCGTTCTTTCCTTAAGACTGCCGCTCCATTGTTTGCCTCGACCGCTAGCCACCATCCCTTGCCATGCTTCACCACGGTGGGTCAGTGAGGGTTGACAAAGGCGGAGGAGATACCCAGGACAGGTTGCAATACAATCTTCCCCTGATGTTAGCCACGGCCGGGAATCAAACTCAGATGTCTGGGCAGGTAGCCTATTGGCGCTAACCATCGCCTCCACAGCTTCTCACACGCACAGGGACACACGCGGTGAAATTGACTTGTACTCACAAGCTGTGGGGGTCCAAACAAGCTGCACTCGGGAATGTTGATGTCTTTCATGGTAAGAATCATTCCTGCAAAAACAAACACGCAGCAAAAACACGTGATAACCAGCTCCAGCAGACCGGGTCTCAGGGTCTTGAGACTCGGCTCCAGGAGACCGAGTCTCAGAATCTTGAGACTCGGCTCCAGGAGACCGGGTCTCAGCGTCTTGAGACTCTGCTCCAGGAGACCGGGTCTCAGGGTCTTGAGACTCTGCTTCAGGAGACCGGGTCTCAGGGTCTTGAGACTTGGCTACAGCAGCACTGGGTTTAAGAGGACACATTTACCAGAAAGTCCTCCCACGTTGTTCCAGCTCATCCTCGTGAAGAAAATCTTGTCAAGCCGAGACATTTTGAGCCTAAACATGGGATGGAGAAATCATAAGACACACACAAAAGGACAAAGATCCCCCGCATAGCCTTAACAAAATGTTGGGCCAAGTTCTTTGAGCGAGCATCTATGAAGGCCGACACGGTACATGAGGGGGTGGGTGGCCAGCTCCACTCCCGGCCGACTTTGTCTCCCCAGTGGCGATGTTTACTACACACCGCACCAGGTACTAATTTGAGGCCAAGTCGACCTAGGAGAGGCCCAGGGACCGGTTCAGATAATCGTTACCGGTGTTGGCCGTGAGCGGGAATCCAACTCGGGTTGCCGGGTTCGCAGAGTAGCGCTAAACGCTACTTCACCACCGCCAGCACACAACCGCGTAGACAATATACAGCGTGCTTCAAAAGTGTTTGCAACGCTTCTGAGAATTTGCAACAATAACCACGAGAAACCCGCTGGCTGCCTCCGCGCTCTGGAGAAGATTCCAGGCCACGCGTTGACAATGATGGTGAACAAGTGGGAGACTCTTAAGACTTTCTGAAGCTATTAACATTACATTTGTTATTGTGTTACAGCGTACTGCTGCTGCATTGGCATTTCTGCTGCATTGGCATTGCTGCTACATTGGCATTGTTGCTACATTGGCATTGTTGTTACATTGGCATTGTTGTTACATTGGCATTGTTGCTGCATTGGCATGGTTGCTACATTGTTGCTACATTGGCATTGTTGCTGCATTGGCATTGTTGTTGCATTGGCATTGTTGCTGCTACATTGGCATTGTTGCTTCTACATTGGCATTGTTGCTGCTGCATTGGCATTTCTGCTGCATTGGCATTGCTGCTACATTGGCATTGTTGTTGTATTGGCATTGTTGTTGCATTGGCATTGTTGTTGTATTGGCATTATTGCTGCTACATTGGCATTGCTGCTACATTGACATTGTTGCTACATTGGCATTGTTGTTGTATTGGCATTGTTGCTGCATTTGCATTGTTGCTGTTGTTGCTGCATTGACATTGTTGCTGTTGTTACTACATTGACATTGTTGCTACATTGGCGTTGTTGCTACATGGCATTGTTGCTGCATTGGCATTGTTGCTACATTGGCATTGCTGCTACAATGGCACTCGTACACCGCCCGTGCTCCTGGTGCTGTTGATACATTTGGGCTACGCCCATCCCCAAATCTTTATAAACAGTTTGCCTTTAGAGGCCGACTCCTTCGCCTGATGACGACCGCTTGTGTTGCGATCGAAACGTCGTGAATCGTTTTATTGTATTTCTAACCACGTGACTTTACCGACAGAACCAAAGAGTGTGGATTCCCGCAGCCACGAAAGCTTCAAATCAACATGACAGCGTAGTATTACCCGTTTCTTTTCCCATTACAAACGCTGGTCCCATACAAGTGTGAAAAAACAACATGCCAGCACCCTGTACATGGAGGGGGACACTTACTTGTGCTCCATCATCACTCTCTGGACCCCTTCTCCGCAGTTGAAGAGATATCTACGTGACACAGAGAGAACAACAAACGCACGCATCAGGGGCAAGCGGGACGCCGTAATGGTAACGGGGCGGCTGGTCGGCTCCGAGGTGACGTCGCTCAGAGCCAGCACGGGATGAGAACCCTGGGGTCGAATCGGGGTTTCTGCGACGACTTGCGCGCGGCGGCTTGGTGGTCTCAGCCCCGGTCATCGACGACCGCTCAACAACAAAAAAAACCACCGCCGCTGAAACGTTCAGAACGGTTCTGCCCTTTCATTTGGAATTATTAAAATGTTGCTTAGAGGCGGGAACGTTCCTTCCCCGTAACTCCGCGTGGACCAGAGCGCCACCTCACAGGGGGTCTCAAGGGGGAGCTCTGCGACATCCGGTTCTGGGAGCCGTTGTCCAACACGGAGGGTGTCGCCGCGCTAACATCCCAAATGGTTTATTGTACAGTGAAACACCTTGCATTGCGAGCAGAATTCGCTCCGGAAACGTGCTCGTAATACAAAGCACCCGTATATCAAAAGCGAATTTCCTGGAAACTTAAGGTGATTCGTTCCATAACCCAAAAAATATTCACAAAAAAATTATTAATGGAAAATACCGTTTTATATTTTTATTATTTTTATTTAATATAAAGTAATCAAATTTATTCATTACATTTAATCGTGGCTGAGAGACACGAGAGAGAGGAGGATGGTTATTGTATAGGACAACTTTCACTTGCAGTACAGTTACTAAAGAACAGTCACTACACTTGGACACAACACTATAGTACTATAGTAAATAGTATACACGTAGTCACAACACTATAGTAAACAGCATACACGTGGTCACAACACTATAGTACTATAGTAAACAGTATACACGTGGTCACAACACTATAGTACTGTAGTAAACAGTATACACGTGGTCACAACACTATAGTACTATAGTAAACAGTATACACGTGGTCACAACACTACAGTACTGCAGTAAACAGTATACACGTGATCACAACACTATAGTACTATAGTAAACAGTATACACGTGGTCACAACACTATAGAACTGTAGTAAACAGTATACACGTGGTCACAACACTATACTGTAGTAAACACTATACACGTGGTTACAACACTATAGTACTATAGTAAACAGTGTACACGTGGTTACAACACTCTAGTACTGTAGTAAACAGTATACACGTGGTCACAACACTATAGTACTGTAGTAAACAGTATACACGTGGTCACAACACTATAGTACTATAGTAAACAGTATACACGTGGTCACAAAACTATAGTACTGTAGTAAACAGTATACACGTGGTCACAACACTATACTGTAGTAAACAGTATACACGTGGTCACAACACTATAGTACTGTAGTAAACAGTACACACGTGGTCACAACACCATAGTACTGTAGTAAACAGTATACACGTGGTCACAACACTATAGTACTATAGTAAACAGTATACACGTGGTCACAACACTATAGTACTGTAGTAAACAGTATACGCTCGCACGGATGTTGACTATAAGAGTGAGACACGCCGACCGAGACCGAGCATGGGAGTCGATTACCCACAATCCCGCAGCGAGAGAGAGAGAAGAACCATTGGCTCAGTTGTGATCACGTGACGCTCGGCAGACAAAGCGTTATACTGCACACGTACTGCTCGTATTGCAAGACATCGCTCGTTTATAAAAATTAATATTTATTTAAGAAAATTACTCGTCTTGCAAAACACTCGCAGACCAAGTTACTCGCAATCCAAGGTTTCACTGTTATTTCTTTGTGTGGGCATCTGCATTGGACGATGAAACAAAACAAATCTAAACTGTATTCTTGGTTCTTTCGGTAAAGTCACGTAGAAGGGAAACAATAAAATAATGTGGTTTTCACACCTGATGATGATTGCTTGTGTTGCGGTCGAAACGACGTGAGAATTTGATTGTTTTAGATTTTTTATTATTTTATTGCTTCCCTTCTACGTGGTGGTGACTTTACCGAAAGAACCAAGAATATGAATCCCTGCAGTCACGAAAGCTTTAAATAAAAATTCAATCTAAACTGTTTTTGTTTTCTTTATTTTACCCGGTAAGGCCCACTGACCTACATGGCCACAGACAATTGCTCGACCAGGCAGCTTATCACTTGGAAATTGACACCAGCCACATACTCTCGATGTATGCCAACTCTAATTGTGGAGGGGAAAAGCAGAGGACGCAGAAAAAAAATGTCATACACCCATTGTGAGAGAGGCATGCAAACTCCAAATATAGAGATGTTAGGGTCGGGGTGAAACCCACGACCTCCTGCATACCAGGCGAGGGTGATAACATCTCCTAGCCACCGTGGCATCTACCATCTATTAACGATAACTATATATAAACTTTATTTTTGTATTTTGCCAGGTAAGGGCCACGGAGCGATGTAGCTCTTTTTCAGAAGCGAGCTGGACTACAAATGATAGCTCGACTAAGTGGAATTAGCACGTGGAATTTCTGGTATCCACGTTTTCAAACGTGGAGAAAAATGCACGCGACTACGGGGAGAGAGAGAGATACGCAAACTCTAAAAATACAGCAGGCGTCAGGGTTGGGATCGAACCCACGACCTCCTGTATACCAGGCGAGGTAGTTAACATCTCCTAGCCACCGTGATGATGATGAGACACGCAAACTCCAAATAAACAGCAGGCGTCAGGGTCGGGATCGAACCCACGACCTCCTGTATACCGAGCGAGGTAGTTAACATCTCATAACCACCGTGATGATGATGAGAGAGAGACACGCAGACTCCAAATATACAGCAGGCGTCAGGGTCGGGATCGAACCCACGACCTCCTGCACACCAGGCGAGGTAGTTAACATCTCATAACCACCGTGATGATGATGAGAGAGAGACACGCAGACTCCAAATATACAGCAGCAGCAGGCGTCAGGGTCAGGATCGAACCCACGACCTCCTGTATACCGGGCGAGGTAGTTAACATCTCCTAGCCACCGTGATGATGATGAGACACGCAAACTCCAAATAAACAGCAGGCGTCAGGGTCGGGATCGAACCCACGACCTCCTGTATACCGGGCGATGTAGTTAACATCTCATAACCACCGTGATGATGATGAGAGAGAGACACGCAGACTCCAAATATACAGCAGGCGTCAGGGTCGGGATCGAACCCACGACCTCCTGCACACCAGGCGAGGTAGTTAACATCTCATAGCCAGCGTGGGCCAATGAAGTCACTGGGCAGAGGGTAGATGGGGGCAGGGTTATGGGGCAGGGTTATGGGGCAGGGTTATGGGGCAGGGTTATGGGGCAGGGTTATGGGGCAGGGTTATGGGGCAGGGTTATGGGGGCAGGGTTATGGGGGCAGGGTAGATGGGGGCAGGGTTATGGGGGCAGGGTTATGGGGTAGGGTTATGGGGCATGGTTATGGGGCAGGATTTTGGGGGCAGGGTTATGGGGCAGGGTAGATGGGGGCAGGGTTATGGGGCAGGGTTATGGGGCAGGGTTATGGGGCAGGGTTATGGGGCAGGGTTATGGGGCAGGGGAGTGGTTGGTGTCACCTGTTGAAATCGGAGAACAGGAAGAGAGCTGGTCCAGACCCCCTCTGCCCAGAGTTCACCACCTGGGCGGAGAGATTGATAAGCGATTAAGTTAGAATCAGAAAATTCATTTACATAGATGAGCTATAAAGCTATTTTTTTTAACGATGTCCAGTAGAGGCAGGTCAGAACGTTACAACAACGCATAGAAAACACGTTAAGAGTGCAAAGTATAGGAAATGCAAATAAATGACTTGATAAAATATACAAACAAATGTGTTTTTTTTATCTTACCAGGTAAAGCCCACTGAGCTATTAGATTATCTTTTTATAAAAGCGACCTGGCCACAAACGATAGCTCAACGCAGTGGCTCATCGCGTGGAAATTTAAGGCAGCAAAATAGTCCAAAACAATCTAAACGCTGCTGATTTTCTAAACATGGAGGGGGAAAAACCCAAGGACTCGGAGAGAAAAAAAAATCGACACGACCGTGGTGGTGTGGGAACTGTGACTCTGTACTTGGGGAACGATGGTGGTGAGGATGGGGTCGAGGAGAGGAAGCCTGTTACATTCTTGGTTCTATTAAAGAATTAAAGCTTTCGTGACTGCATAAAATAACTCATTGGTTTTTTTCCGGTAAAGTCACGTATGTAGGAATACAATAGAATTATATTAAAATAAATCAATGACGACGTGACTTTACCGAAGGGGGCGTGGCCGGGGGCGGAGCCAGGCCACGCTGAGAGTAAAAGAGGGGCCCCGGGAGGGAACCTCGGGGCTGTCGTGTGGAGTGGGGTCCCCGTCGCGCCGCTGCCCGGAGTCTTCACCATCGTCTCCATCTTCACCATCTCGGCGTCGTCAGCCAGACAGTCTACCGGCTGTCCTGTTACTGTCAGGTCGTGTTAATAAACCAGAGTGCCTCCTACTATTAGTGTCTCCGAGTCAGTCACGACACATGTATCACCCATCTGGCATGTCTCTAAAACCATCTCCACGACTCCCAGACATCTTCTCTCCAGCATCTCCAATATAGTACCCCCTCTCACTCACCTCGCAGTGGCTGGAGATGTTAACTACCTCGTCTGGCATACAGCAGGTCATGGGTCCGCTCCCATCCCAGACGCCTGCTGTGTATTTGGAGTTTGCGTGTCTCTCTCATCATCACGGTGGCTAGGAGATGTTGACTACCTCGCCCGGTATGCAAGAGGTCGTGGGTTCCATCCCGACCCTGACGCCTGCTGCTGCTGCTGTATATTTGGAGTTTGCGTGTCTCTCTCTCTCATCATCATCATAGTGGCTAGGAGATGTTAACTACCTCGCCTGGTATACAGGAAGTCGTGGGTTCGATCCCGACCCTGACGCCTGCTGCTGTAGATTTGGAGTTTGCGTGTCTCTCTCTCTCATCATCATCACGGTGGCTAGGAATGTTAACTACCTCGCTTGGTATACAGGAGGGCGTGGGTTCCATCCCGACCCTGACGCCTGCTGCTGCTGTAGATTTGGAGTTTGCGTGTCTCTCATCATCATCACGGTGGCTAGGAGATGTTAACTACCTCGCCTGGTCTACAGGAGGTTGTGGGTTCCATCCCGACCCTGACGCCTGCTGCTGCTGTAGATTTGGAGTTTGCGTGTCTCTCATCATCATCATCACGGTGGCTATGAGATGTTAACTACCTCGCCTGGTATACAGGAGGTCGTGGGTTCCATCCCGACCCTGACGCCTGCTGCTGCTGTAGATTTGGAGTTTGCGAGTCTCTCTCTCTCTCCCTTCCCGAGGTCGCGTGGATTTTTCTCAGGGTCCTCCGGTTTCCCCCCCCCCCCACCCACGTTTATAATGAACATCACGCGTTGAGAGCACTGTAATTGGCTCCCATCAATTTCCACGCAGATAAGCCACATCGTTGCGCCATCATTCTCGATAGCCAGGTCACTATTCATTCTCGATAGCCAGGTCACTATTCTCACGACGTTTCGGCCACAACACAAGCGGCCTTCATCAGGTGAAGGGACGAGACTGTCTGGTAGGACAGCGCTGGAGTACTCCTGTCCTACCAGACAGTCTCGTCCCTTCACCTGATGAAGGCCGCTTGTGTTGTGGCCGAAACGTCGTGAGAATATTATTGTGTTATTTTATTTTATCAATTTATTATTTTATTCTCATTCTACGTGGTGACTTTACCGAAAGAACCAAAGAAGATGAATCATTGCAGTCACGAAAGCTTTAAATCGAAATTTAACTGTTGAGTTATTTTAGTCATCAACCGTTAATTTCTCTTCCCGTGCCACATCCATCACTCATCATCATTCTCCATCGCTCACCGTGAAAATTCACAAGCCTTGACAACGATAGTCCCCACGAGAGGAACCAATCCCGCGTGGTCACCACGACGTCTACAGGCGGTGGCCGGGGTATCAATGGGCAATGGTCACGACGCAGTCCCTCGAAAGATACCCCCCCCACCAACCCCCCTTGCATGCGGCTCACCAGGTTGGCGACCCCCTTTGTCCTCGGAGCAGGGGGGACCAGGGGGAGCAGGGGGGACCAGAGGGAGCAGGGGGAGCAGGGGGACCAGGGGGGACCAGGGGGGACCAGCGGGAGCAGGGGGGGACCAGGGGGAGCAGGGGGGACCAGGGGGAGCAGGGGGGGGGACCAGGGGGATCAGGGGGGACCAGCGGGAGCAGGGGAGACCAGGGGGAGCAGCGGGACCAGAGGGATCAGGGAGAGCAAGGGGAGCAGGGGACCAGGAGGACCAGGGGGAGCAGGGGGGGACCAGGGGGGCCAGCGGGAGCGGGGGGACCAGCGGGAGCAGCGGGACCAGAGGGATCAGGGAGAGCAAGGGGAGCAGGGGGACCAGGAGGACCAGGGGGAGCAGGGGGGGACCAGGGGGGCCAGCGGGAGCGGGGGGACCAGCGGGAGCAGGGGGGGACCAGGGGGACCAGGGGGATCAGGGGGGACCAGGGGGAACCAGGGGGAGTGGGGGGACCAGCGGGGGCAGGGGGGGACCAGGGGGAGCAGGGGGACCAGGGGGACCAGGGGGATCAGGGGGGACCAAGAGAACCCCCCCCAGGACCGTGCACCACCACCACCACCACTCGCCTGCAGGAAGACCCAGGAGGGGGTGTGCGTGAGGGCGTACACAGCGCCGGCTGTGCGCCTCTTGTCTCTGCTCTTCAGATGCTTCAGGGTCGGCTGGGGCCCTTGAGTCCAAGCGGGGCCCGCGTTCATCTCGGCGGCGGCGGCCCTCGGAAATTTATTCGCGGGGCGAGACGACGCCCACGACGCCGCAGCGCTTCGAGGCTGCGCGTCTCGCCGCGTCCCGCTGCTCAATCGCCGCAGACTTTTCAGGCAACGCAGGCTCCTAACGGCCCGACCCGAGGCCCCGAGCGCTCTGGCGGCAACGAGCGGAGAATTCATCAAAATCTGTGCCGCCGCCGAGCTCAGCGTGGCGGCATTGCGTGGCTTCCAGACAGTTAAAGTTATTATTAGCGAACTGTGTTTTGTGAAGGTTGACAGGGGGGGGAGGAGGTAAAGTGCACGTTGTGTGACACACAGACACACACACACGCGCACGTGTCGAACAGCTGATTCCGGCTGAGGTGCCCAAGGGTCGCGCTTCGCCATTGGTCGGCTCGGCGAGACGTCGGGGTGACGTCGCGCGTCCGTGGAACGCGTCCGGGCGGGAGGGCGAAGTCGACTTCCCCGCCGCCATATTGGGTGGGGGTGTGTAGGTGTGGGTGTGTGGGTGTGGGTGTGTGGGTGTGGGTGTGTGGGTGTGGGTGTGTGGGTGTGTGGGTGTGGGTGTGTGGGTGTGGGTGTGTGGGTGTGGGTGTGTGGGTGTGTGGGTGTGGGTGTGTGGGTGTGTGGGTGTGTAGGTGTGGGTGTGTAGGTGTGGGTGTGTAGGTGTGGGTGTGTAGGTGTGGGTGTGTAGGTGTGGGTGTGTAGGTGTGGGTGTGTAGGTGTGGGTGTGTAGGTGTGGGTGTGTAGGTGTGGGTGTGTAGGTGTGGGTGTGTAGGTGTGGGTGTGTAGGTGTGGGTGTGTAGGTGTGGGTGTGTAGGTGTGGGTGTGTAGGTGTGGGTGTGTAGGTGTGGGTGTGTAGGTGTGGGTGTGTAGGTGTGGGTGTGTAGGTGTGGGTGTGTAGGTGTGGGTGTGTAGGTGTGGGTGTGTAGGTGTGTAGGTGTGGGTGTGTAGGTGTGGGTGTGTGGGTGTGGGTGTGTGGGTGTGGGTGTGTGGGTGTGGGTGTGTGGGTGTGGGTGTGTGGGTGTGGGTGTGTGGGTGTGGGTGTGTGGGTGTGGGTGTGTGGGTGTGGGTGTGTGGGTGTGGGTGTGTGGGTGTGGGTGTGTGGGTGTGGGTGTGTGGGTGTGGGTGTGTGGGTGTGGGTGTGTGGGTGTGGGTGTGTGGGTGTGGGTGTGTGGGTGTGGGTGTGTGGGTGTGGGTGTGTGGGTGTGGGTGTGTGGGTGTGGGTGTGTGGGTGTGGGTGTGTGGGTGTGGGTGTGTGGGTGTGGGTGTGTGGGTGTGGGTGTGTGGGTGTGGGTGTGTGGGTGTGGGTGTGTGGGTGTGGGTGTGTGGGTGTGGGTGTGTGGGTGTGGGTGTGTGGGTGTGGGTGTGTGGGTGTGTAGGTGTGGGTGTGTAGGTGTGGGTGTGTAGGTGTGGGTGTGTAGGTGTGGGTGTGTAGGTGTGGGTGTGTAGGTGTGGGTGTGTAGGTGTGGGTGTGTAGGTGTGGGTGTGTAGGTGTGGGTGTGTAGGTGTGGGTGTGTAGGTGTGGGTGTGTAGGTGTGGGTGTGTAGGTGTGGGTGTGTAGGTGTGGGTGTGTAGGTGTGGGTGTGTAGGTGTGGGTGTGTAGGTGTGGGTGTGTAGGTGTGGGTGTGTAGGTGTGGGTGTGTAGGTGTGGGTGTGTAGGTGTGGGTGTGTAGGTGTGGGTGTGTAGGTGTGGGTGTGTAGGTGTGGGTGTGTAGGTGTGGGTGTGTAGGTGTGGGTGTGTAGGTGTGGGTGTGTAGGTGTGGGTGTGTAGGTGGGTGGAGTGATTGGAGGGCATGGGCCAGATCAGCTCAATAACAACGGTAGGAGGCTGCTAGATTTTTGTGCAGCCCATGGGCTTGTAATTACCAACACGCTGTTCCGGCATCGGCGCATCCACACAACATCATGGATGCATGCCGGGTCCAAGCAAGAACATCTGCTGGACTACATAGTGACGGACCAGCGAATGCGAGCCCATGTCCTTGACACCAGGACCTACCGTGGAGCTGATCTGCCCTCTGACCTTCGACTAGTCATCTGTAAGATGCGCCTGCCATTCTTCCACTCCGGTGGTGGGTGTACACCCAGGACCCCATTCCAACCTAAAGTGGCCTGGTCTCAGTTATCTGATGAAAGTTGCAAGCCAGAATTTCATCATCGCTTGCGGCTGGGGTTGTCATCGTCCCCCACTCCTCCGGATGTCAAGGGTAAATGGGCGAGGTTTAGGACTGTGACTCATGCAGCTGCAATGGCTGCTTTGGGTACGCGGTCCAGACCTCCCCAGAGACCCTGGCTGACAGAGGAGGTGTTCAGGATGGTTGAGAAAAAGCGACAGGCCCACTGTCATCGGCTACAGAATCCCACGTCAGAGAATGAGGAGGCTTATCGCAGCCTTCGCTCGGAGGTTCGGAGAGCCGTGAGGCGCTGCAAGGATGGGTGGTAGTCGCGGGTTGCTGAGGAGATGGAGTCTGCCTCAGTGGCCCGTGATCATAAAACTCTATTTGACTCCATCAAAAAAGTAACCTGCAGCGCCACACCTATTACCATCATTAGGGGAAAAAACGGTGATCCAATCTCCGACCCCCAGGAACTGGTTCGCAGATTTGCTGAGCATTTCTGTGAGGTCCTGGGGGAGGGAAAATCCCTCAGCCAGGAAAACATCGTGGCAAAAAGTGAGGCTGACCCTGTTGAGGCTGCGGTGCCTCAAATATTGGAAGAAGTCACCCCCTGTGAGTGGCTGGCTGAGGTGCCATCTGCTGAGGATCAAGAGTCTGAGATCAGGAAAGGCAGCGGGCAGAGATGATCTCCCATGCGAAATGCTGAGGGAGGGTGGCGTTTGTGCACAGACTGCCCTATATGACATCATAACAACAGTCTGGACCACTGGACGGGTTCCGCAGGATTGGAAGGATGCCCTGGTGGTCCCCCTTTTTAAGAAGGGGGACCGCACAGACTGTAACAACTACAGGGGCATCTCACTCCTCAGTGTGCCGGGAAAGGTCCTGGCAAGGATTATTCAGCATCGCCTTGCCAGGCACGCTGAGGAGAGGCTTGCGGAGCCCCAATGCGGTTTCAGGAAAGGGCGGTCCTGCACAGATGCCATATTTTCTGTCCGTTTGCTACAGCAGAGGTGTAGGGAATTCTAACAAGACCTACATCTCTGCTTTATTGACCTGGTCAAGGCCTATGATACCATCAGTAGGCCCGGGCTCTGAGTCGTTCTTCGTGCTTTTGGAGTACCTGACCTGCTCACGATCATTAAGGACCTTCATGATGGTGAGCGGGCCCGGGTAAAACTACGTGGCCGGGAGTCAGAGCCATTCCCTGTACACCTTGGGGTGCGACAGGGATGTCCTCTGGCTCCCACATTATTTAACATCTATTTTGACCACGTAGTTCGTGAAGCCTTCAATAGCTGTACCGGGGGAATCTCCATATGGTACAGATATAATGGGAGGCTAATCGATGCCTGGGTGCGGTCAAGGGATGGCTCCCTATTGCTCAACCACGTTATGTATGCTGATGATTTGGTAATAGCTGCTCAGTCAGAGGAGGAGTTGGAGACGCTGCTGCTGAGACGGGAGCGTGCCACTAAGAGGTGGGGCCTTACCATCAGCCCCACCAAAACTAAGCACCTGCCTGGGTATTTTGTACCATCGGACACTCCACCCCCACAACTCCCAATCGGTGATGGGGCAGTTGTGGAGAGAGTGGAGAGTTTCCCATACCTGGGCAGTGTGCTTATGACTGGCTCCAGTTTAACAGCAGAGGTCTCACTCCGAATCAGTCGAGCGGCAATATCTTTTCATCGGTTACGTAACGCTGTGTGGAAGCTACCTGGTCTGTCGCTCCGCACTAAGCTTCAGGTCTTCTCGGCCACGGTCATTCCCTCCCTTCTCTACGCTTGAGAAACGTGGACCCCCCTAATGGAACATCTTCGCCGGTTAGAAACAGGCTGGCCTGCCTACGATCCATCCTGGGTTTAACCAGACTGGATTGTGTGAGGAGCTCACAAATCCTTGAAAGATCTGGGCAGGGTCCCATCGGTGAGCTCCTCCGGCAGGCAAGGCTGCGATGGCTGGGTCATGTAGCCCGCATGCCCAGCCACCGCATGCCGAAACAGCTTTTGTTTGGCCGGATTGAGGGGGCTAAGCGGGCGCGGCACGGGCTAGAGAAGAGATGGAGTGATGTGGTGCAGGAGGACGTGGAGCTGAGTGGACTTGCCGATGACTGGTACCAGCGGTGTCAAGATCGGCCTCTGTGGAGGAGGCTTGTGAAGGATGCTACTGGGCAGTTGGAGGCAGTCGCCCTCCAACAACAATGGAGGACGGAGGAGTGACGCTCAGAACAACGAGCGGAGCGCCGGGTGGCTAAAGCACTGCAGGTTGGCACAGTTGGGGGCACAGGTGGTGCATTAGCCAGTCATCTCAGTCAGTCGTCCCGTGGCACCTGGGTCTGCCCCGTGACCTCCTGCCAGCGGGCGTTCGACACTTCACGTGGCCTCAGGGTGCACATAGCCTGGCACAAGCGTCGTTGTGACGTCACCGCCACTTAGTGGCGAATGGCGGTTGTTGTTGTTGTGTGTAGGTGGGCGTGTGTAGGTGTATGTGTAGGTGGGTGGGTGTAGGTAGGTGGGTGTGTGTGTAGGTGGGTGTAGGTGGGTGGGTGTGTGTAGGTGGGTGTAGGTGGGTGGGTGTGTGTAGGTAGGTGTAGGTGGGTGGGTGTGTGTAGGTGGGAGTGTGTGTGTAGGTGTGACCACGTAGTTCGTGAAGCCTTCAATAGCTGTACCGGGGGAATCTCCATATGGTACAGATATAATGGGAGGCTGATCGATGCCCGGGTGCAGTCAAGGGATGGCTCCCTATTGCTCAACCACGTTATGTATGCTGATGATTTGGTAATAGCTGCTCATTCAGAGGAGGAGTTAGAGACGCTGCTGCTGAGACTGGAGCGTGCCACTAAGAGATGGGGCCTTACCATCAGCCCCACCAAAACTAAGCACCTGCCTGGGTATTTTGTACCATCGGACACAACACCCCCACAACTCCCAATCTGTGATGGGGCAGTTGTGGAGAGAGTGGAGAGTTTCCCATACCTGGGCAGTGTGCTTATGACTGGCTCCAGTTTAACAGCAGAGGTCTCACTCCGAATCAGTCGAGCGGCAATATCTTTTCATCGCTTGCGTAACGCTGTGTGGAAGCTACCTGGTCTGTCGCTCCGCACTAAGCTTCAGGTCTTCTCGGCCACGGTCATTCCCTCCCTTCTCTACGCTTGCGAAACGTGGACCCCCATAATGGAACATCTTCGCCAGTTAGAAACATTTAGGCTGGCCTGCCTACGATCCATGCTGGGTTTAACCAGGCTGGATTGTGTGAGGAGCTCACAAATCCTTGAA